GCCATGTAGATTATATTATTAGGAAGGTCATGAAGAGAATTGGTGCCATGTATAGAAGTAAAGCACTGCTACCCATTAAATATAGGAAAATGTTTGCCAATGCACTCATGTTGCCACAATTCGATTATTTAGACACGATCTATTGTAGAGCTGGCAAGACAAAACTTGCTGAACTTGACACTCTGTACAAAAAGGTAGCCAAAATAGCTCTCAACGTTCCACAAACAGAGAGCAGCCTTAATGTTTATAGAGACATGAAATGGTTACCACTCCATCTTAGACGACAACTCCATCTGTCAATTTATATGTTTAGAATCATCCATGACAATTGTCCTACGAACTTTATGAACAAATTTTGCTACATATCAGGAGGTAGTAGGAGCGGCGAAAGCTGCAACCTATATGTTAATAGATCAACATCACATAAAAACTTTCAATACTTGGGGGCAAAATGTTGGAATAATGTTCCAACAGATCTACGAAATCTGCCCGATGTTAAAAGCTTAAGTGATTCGTATAAGAAACAGCTACTCTCATCTATAACAACAGACCCTAATTATACCGTCGACAATTCATATGACAAATTTTACACTGCAATCATAGTCGACGATAACTAAGTATCTTCTAATTCTTTTAAATCTGAGGCATTTATAATTGATGTATCGAAAGGATATTCCCTTTTTACCACCTTACCATTCTGATTGATTTTTCACATGACTGATATGTTTTAACTGGAGTAGGGGTTCGCACAGTGGTAGTTTTATAAACCACTTTTAATTTATTGACCTATTATACTTAGTGGTAGTTTTATAGACCACATTTAATTTATTAACTTATTATACTTAGTATTTATTTTTGGTGACTGTATCACCCAGTTTTAACATTTGATAATTGTACAGTTTATTGACAACACATTGACTGAATGTTATTTTATATTCTAATCTATATTCTAGATATTTTATTTATTTTTCAACAGACGACAACTTCCTGTTTTTTTTTTCTACAGGGTGGGCCAAAAGTCAGTGTGCAAACGTTGGGTCTTATACCTCCGCCGTGTTTTATATTTGAGAGCTGTTGCTTTGCAGATGGCATACTGTACTTACTGGTTCGAGGATTCCGTCGTCAAAATTTGAAAATTCGAATATTTTAGACCACGCCCATTCAATATTAAAACACCTATATTGTTTTCTCTGAACATGCTGAACGCCTAATTTTTTCAGAGACGGTAGATTATCAAATGTTGCATATGATCTGAAAACATGAGGCAAAACGGATTAGAAATGACGAAGTTATCAAGCATTTTGTGTATCTCGTTAACAAAATTGACTGGGTGATTATGTGACACCGTGACACGACACCTTAATTGGGCACCCTTAACAATTCCCATAATGTTTAACGGGGTAGTTAACGGGGTCACCTTATCACGTGATTAGGTAAACCAATCACCTGATCACACGTAATGAATAAACTCGTTATGCTTCATATCTCGGTCATCTGAGAAGCTACAGTTCTAATTTTTTCAGGACAAACGTAATTCGAATGGCCAAACACAATTCAATATAATTTAGCTTGATCCGACTATCCAAACTATCAAATAAATGTGAAAATGAACCTCCATTTGAAAAAAATGAACGCGAATATTTTTCGAGTTGACAAATTCCTCGAACCAGTGGTGGTACTAAGTCATACCAGAAGAAAGTATTTCAATTGGGCACTCAGTGACTGAGCTATTAAGGCCAACGTTTGCACACTGACTTTTGGCCCACCCTGTATATTAGTTACTCATATCTCTTGTACAGACTGTTTTACAAGGACATTGACAGATGATACTCACATTAGGCATTCATTATTGCATCTAAATTATTTCACTTGCATTAGGTTTAGAAATTTATTCTCTGGTTAACAGATTTCAAATGTTTAATTAATTTGTAGTATGACAGTAAGGTATATAAGAAGTTATTTAATTTTGCTTGGGCTATTATATTAACTATTGAGGTTTAATGATGATATGGAATTTATATAAATTTACACTATGTGGTTGGGGCATTTTGCATAGTAAATATGGTTACTACTCCTATATATCATATTATTTGATTGGTATTCGATTTCTGATTATTTCCCTAGGAATATGATTATTATATCTCAATTTGGCTTTAGGTAGGGTGCCCCGCTAAAAGAACTGGATTCTTTCAGGAAGCATCCCGTGCACAGAGCTTGGTCTACATATATATTAAATTATTAAACATTCATTCTGTATGTGCACGAAAATTTATTTCAATCAAAAGAAACAATTAAATGTTTCCAAATGTGAGCAAACACATAACTTAACTAAAAGAAATTGTTACAACTTACCTTCTATACTATTTCATAATCATCAATGGCGGGAATAAGAAAAAAAACACAATTATAACCGATAATTTTACTGGCTATTCCCATTTAAAAGAGCGTATTTTGAATTCCTAAACAACATTAAACAATCAATTTCAGGAATACTGCAGCTGTTAACTAAAGAAGAAAGAACTTGTGTGGCGGATAAGGTGTGTGCTATACCAGATGATGAAGATGATTTTGGTTGTTCCAGAAGTCATAGAGAGGATATTCGGTACGGAGTTCTGTGCTAATTTTAGAGACTTCTACACCGATAATAACGAGGTGCAGTTCAGACTGGATATGACATTCTTGACAAGTACATTAAGGGGGCAGGGGGGGGTCTTCATGGAAATTTTCTCAAAATCGACTTTTTAGTTGTTTCTGATAGAGGGGAGTAATATCTATCAGATGCTTTTGATCCCGCGGAAAAATATCGTTCCTATCCGAAATTATTGCTGTTCAAAGGTCAGCGCGTGTGTGTAATTGTATTGCGCGAGCGATTTTTGATCACGTGCCTTGAAAATCGAGTCTAAAAATCTATCTTCTCCTACATTCTTTGAGCAATTTCCCTGAAACTTTCAGGATATGTTCTAGGGATCATTTAGAAGAGATGAGCCGGGCAGAATTTTGAGATGGGCCTTTTAAAATTTTTTATTCGATTTTGAAAATCGTGGACCTCGTTTTTTGATGATTTTTCGAGGTCCACGATTTCCAAAATCGAATAAAAATTTTTTAAAGGCCTATCTCAAAATTCTGCCCGGCTCATCTCTTCTAAATGATCCCTGGAACATATCCTGAAAGTTTCAGGGTGATTGCTCAAAAAATGTAGGAGAAGATAGATTTTTAGACTCGATTTTCAGGGCACGTGATCAAAAATCGCTCGCGCAATACAATTACACACACGCGCTGACCTTTGACCAGTAATAATTTCGGCTAGGAACGATATTTTTCCACGGGATTAAAAGCATCTGATAGATATTACTCCCCTCTATCAGAAACAACTAAAAAGTCGATTTTGAGAAAATTTCCATGAAGACCCCCCCCTGCCCCCTTAAGTTCAGATGGGACACATCAAGATCGGAAATGTATTGTCGATTATGGAATTCCCCAGTTCATACTGGAAAACTGTACAGAATCATACATGGTACTTATTGTAGTAATACTTCTCAGAGACATTATATCATATAAAGATAACTTGGAACATCTACCAAGTCTTGTAAAAGATGAGTTGTACAGCAAGATAAAAGAATTACTTGTTAAGTGAGGAAGAAATGATGATATTCTATTGTCGTTGCTCCGCATGATAGTAAGAATTGTTTCTCATGAGACACCTGATTCCAAAGACTCTTCTGGGGAAAGAAAGATTAGTTGAAACGTTAAGAAATAGCTCGGATATTTTCAGAGACATTATTAAATCTAGTACTACAAGAAGTAATCGTGCTAGCAGCGATACTCCTTCATGAATATATATTAAGCCCGTGAAGAGCTCAGAACTGTTAGATATACTTGTACCTATAAACAATTTTACCCCACAAGAGATAAGCAAGTTAGCTAACAACATAAAAGAAATACCTGCAATTGAGGAAGATGTGAAACAAGTTATCAGTAAACTTGTAACAATCAACTTTATCGACAAGTCCTGTGGGCTGTATGAGGATAACACTGAACAACAATATCGGAGGGACCTGACTTATATCATCAGACAAGTAGCGGCACTAGCGAATGATAAAGAGAAAAGATTACTGGTCAGGAAAGGCGTCGCTGAACTGTTAATTACAGAGTGTAAACAATGTACTGATAAAGAGGTAGTGCACAATATCACTGATACTTTAGGTGATATAGCAGATCTCAACACTAACTGCCTCTACCTCGTGTACCTTTAACTTACAAACTATCTAGCTTTGAAAAGTTATGTCGTGCAGCTGATGGTAAATGTAGTACCCTCACCGGGATACAGACAAATCTTGTTTTCATAGCAAAATTTACTGCTGTATCATCTCGCATCATGATATGCCTCATTCTGTACAGTGCACACCTTATCAGCGTATATTAACAAGACTTGGATATTAGTTGCTGGTATTGGACTACACATGATTATTACACTGATAATTCACTTATCAGCTTATCACAGGAGATTTGATCCATATGAACTTGATTCGACTCAGAGGAAGTTTGCAACATGGGAATTGGGACTACTTAGTGAGAGAGGGCGGTTACAAGAACTCAACATTAGTCACGTTAGCACGATTTGTGCTGATACTGTTTTTGATCTAAGACTGTTTTGTAAATGTTTTTATTTTTTGAATGTTTTGAGTGAAATATTAGGAAGAATAGAGGTATTAATTATGTTAATACAGTGAAACCCTGACTTACCGAGTCCAAACAAGGCTAGACATACATAACGCGAACAAACAAAACCCCAATTTACTGCAAAAATCAATCATTGCGTTTGTCTCCTTTCCCCCAAACTCTGCAGTAAATCAGGGTTTCACTATACAATAAATAAAAAGCATAATGATTGTCTTTTATTATCTCGGAGGAAAGTGCTGGAGTAACTTACCAATTTACAAAATTATCAAAACAATTATAACAACAAAATTATCATAACAAAATTAATGCAAGTATCACAATCCATTGTGCAATATTGAAAACCATTCAATTTAGGTATGGGAACAACAGTAAGTGATGACGTTCAGAAGATAACATTTCATAATCATCGCCCACTACTGTCGCATTTTTATGTTGGACCATTCTTGTTTCTTTACACTCTCTGGGCTGCTTTTGCATTTCAGGTAATCTAATAGTCTATTCAGCGCCAGCATCATTATATATAGGGAACTTTTACATCTAACTTCACAGCCACAGGTTTCAAACAGGGCTAAAAGTGATTTAGGTGAAGACTTTTCAAAAGATATAATTAGTTGATGAAAAATATATTCCTGCACATTTGATTTTTCATTCGTAAGGATTCACTGCTCTCTAGCTATTCTAGACATGTATCTTTTATAAAATTACAAAAAGGTTGTATTGTATGCTGCTGCTTGAAAATTGAAAGTTTGCTATGATTTTAAGTATTAGAAAATTCCTTAAATTTAAAATAGATGTTGATCAAAATCTTGATCTTTAAATTATATAAACTGTAAAAGCATTGACGTTTTCCTGATGTAGAATGTTGTTTATGTCCAGTCACGATAAAAATCGTCCTTGCAGAAATTGATAATATACAATTAGTATAATTTGTATTCTAACTCAATCATTTCCCAGACTGAACATTCCATTGAGGTTATATCCATAGCTCTTGCAGCATGTGGCATATTACACGTACTTTGTGGATTATTTTGCGTATGGAGTGTGGAATGGAAGACGTTGTGTATGTACTCAACAATACCTGATGCTCTTAATGCTACTTTAGCTAAAGTTGTTCCTACTAAAAACAATGGCAGCACTGTACTTTGTCCTATAAACAAACGATCAAAGAGTGATGGGTCTGAAGAGTTGTGGATTGATTTTCAGCAAACTAAGTACCATTGTTTGGATGGAAAATTCTTTCATCCAGTTCCCTTTCCTGTGAATTCTCCACTGCAGGTTATAAAATCAGCAACTTTTTACTCTTTGAAATAATTTATCATTTAATCTAAGTAAAGTTTATTATTGATATTAAGCAGTTACAATTACATCACTGCTTATTATGTGATAACATTATTTTCACAACTTTGAGTTGTGAAAATAGTTTTATCCAACGAGTTTGACGAGTTGGATAAAACGATAAAACGAGTTACATACCGAGGTTTGACCGAGGTGTGTAACTCATGTTATCATATTATAAGCAGTGATGTAACTGCTTGTAGTAGAGAATACTATTTTTACCTACTATAGCTATGTTTTGCACTTGTCTATTTACCTGTATATTCACGAATATTATTATATCTCCTGTAGACGACATCTAGGTACTAGATTAATTGCGAAATATTGAAATATCATTTAAATGTGAAGCAATACAAAAGAATATCTTTAAAAGAATAATACATATCTATTATATTTGTATCTTTAGATAATAGATAGTAAATACAGTGTTTCGTTCGTGGATGATAATGAGTTGTAATGAATGAATCCCATCTATAGATTGCTACTATTATAAATACATATTATAACATGTTGAATGATGATATGATACTAGCAACTGGTCTGCACATGTGTAAGAGGATTGCTGAAAGTGTGCTATGAAATCTGACTGACTTTATCATATTACTCAGGATTACATAGGCACAAAAGGGCTTGGGAGTGATCAAATAAAAGAGGCTGAAACGACATGGGGTTCCAATGAGATGAGGATAGTTCTTCCTACCTTCCAAGAATTATTTGTAGAGAGAGCCACAGCTCCATTCTTTGTCTTCCAAGTGTTCTGTGTTGGACTTTGGTGCTTGGATGAGTATTGGTATGTTGAAAATTCCATTCCCTTCTTCCTTGTTGTTGTCATGTACAGTACCTGATTGTGATATATCATCACACTGGAAAACAATTGACTTTTGAAGTATTTGAAAGTTTATGTCTTTACGTCCAATTTATGATTAGTAATAATGTTAATGAGCTACTAATCACCAGGTATTATTCTCTGTTTACTCTTGGTATGTTGGCTATGTTTGAAGCTACAGTTGTAAAACAACAAATGAAAAGCATGTCAGAAATCAAGAAAATGACACAGGTTTGAATTTTACTATTTCAACACTATCAGCTTATTTAATTCAGTTATATATATATATATAGAATGCTAATCAATAATTATACTGGGTGGTACCAGGGGAAACGCAATAAATAATCGTGCATTTTTGTAGTATTGATTATACAAAATAGATTGTCATATAACACCATTCAAGCTTAAATTCAAATTCATTTATCCTTTTCTTCCTACAAAGTCACTAAATAAATATTAATAAAAACTGTTTACCCCTTCTCAGAAGTGAATGGTTAATTTTCCTTTTGATTTTCCCAATTGGGCTCCCTCACATTTGAAGATAAGAAAAACTAACAGATAACCAGAAAAGTATTAATGTTCACGGTATCTCTTCCAGGAGCCCTACATTATGAACGTGTACAGAAACAAGAGGTGGGAGAAGGTAAAGTCGAACCAGCTGTACCCTGGTGACCTTGTCTCTCTGACACGCCGTAGTGAGACAGTCCCTGCTGATCTGCTACTCTTACATGGACAGTGTGTAGTAGATGAGAGCATGTTGACTGGAGAGTCAGTTCCTTTAATGAAGGTTTTTTGGAATCATTATTACTTGTTAAACTTTTAGAATGGTTAGCAACATCCAGCTGGAATGATTCATGATGTTATGTGATAATTCACACTTCACTGTACAAATCAATAATTCAACAGAGATTTGGATTATAGTTTTCAATTAATCAATCACATGATATGAATCAATGATATGAATTAACCAATTACCTGATATGAAATATAAGTTTATATATTTTTACCCAGGAAGCAGTAGTATCAGAGGACGGGAGTTGCTGTTACCAAGGCAACCTTGATTTAGATGCACACAGTAGGCTACATGTAGTATTTGGGGGCACTAAAGTCATACAACACACAGCAGCAACCAACAAACAATTCTTAAAATGTAAGAAGATTTACTTTTCAGTTAACTTTATTTGTTCATTGAGGAATTTATCTAATAATTCAACTAGATACTTAGATAAAAACTCAACTGATAACTCACCTTAAAACTTAACTTAATCCAGCACCGGATGGAGGGAGTCTGGCGTACGTTTTGAGAACTGGTTTCAACACTGCTCAGGGTAAACTGCTGCGTACTATAATGTACAGTGTCCAGCGAGTCACTGCTAACAACTTTGAGACCTTTATGTTCATACTCTTCCTCCTTCAGTTTGCTATTGCAGCTAGTGCTTACGTATGGATTGAAGGTCAGTAAATTGTCAGTAATTTAATTGAATTTTTATAAATTCTTGCTCACCCCGAAATATTTAACCGCAAAAACACTCAAAAAATGGTGAGGAGAATCACAATATATAAATAAAAATATATTCCTTCAGTTAAAATAACAGTCATACTAGCACCTTACAATGGTAACTACAACTCTTATCTTAACTTCAGGATCTAAAGATCCAGACCGTAACCGGTACAAACTATTCCTGGAATGTACCCTGATTTTAACAAGCGTAGTTCCACCTGAACTACCAATAGAGCTTTCTCTTGCTGTTAACAGTTCCCTTCTCAGTCTCATCAAAATGGGTTTGTAAAATCATTTTTATAGCAAATTTACCCAAATCTAAAATCTGGTTACAGCAGGCATTCTCTTATTATAAATGTGTTTTCCCTCTCTGAAGACAGAAATATGATTCTTTCAGTTGTCTTCTCGTTCTGCTGAACAACCCTCATCTATAAATCCACAGTTTATTATTCGTGTGGTATCTTTGTAAAGATTTGTATCCTCTAATTCCTTTATCTTCATCCTCTGACATTTGATTCTTCTTATTTTCTCAGAAACTATAGTATAGTGGCATCATATCTGATTTTTTTTTTATGAAAATCTTTTCAAAATTTACATACAATATAACATGTGGCGCAAAATAAAAACAAAATATAACTGATTGCGATCTCTAAAGGACAGATGTATGTAAATTTCAAAGGGAAACCAGAACGCAGTAAAATTGTAGTCGAAACCACACCGCACAAGCCTAGTCCCTGGTAAATGAAAATCAATTAAATAATATGTTGATAAAAAATCATATCCCATCAGTCCTTCTCGGAGCTTACGATCTTATTGTTCCTTATAACATGAACTCGCTGAGGCTCCAATTCCCGTTTCTGCTTAACTTCAAGAACTAACTTTCTGAAGGCAGCTCTCTGCTCGGCTGATCGGTCGGGGCTAATGTACACTGAGTCATACCCCTCCACTTCTCTTAGTTTTCTCGCTTTGCTCAACACTTGCCGCACATGATCTGAGCCGCTGAGAGTGAACTTGATAGGTTTAACGGCTGGTCCTCCATCTGATACAGTTCTCCCCATCCTACAGCAAGAAACGATTCGAGGTTTCTCATCTATGTTTTCTAGTACCTCAAGCACTCTCTTTTCCAGGATTTCTTCACTCTTTTCTGGTAGACCGTAGATGACCAGATTTTGACTACGATCCTCTTCCTCGGAGGCACGTTTCAGAGCAGCTTTCATTTTCTTAGGCGCTAGCGCCTTGCTGCATGAATTCTTCACAACTGACGACCAGGCTTTGAGTTCGCTTTTCACTGTCGTCTGAACAGAGGTCAAATCTTCACTTTTCTTCTCAAGCAATTGACCTTGCAGTTTAATCACAGTGTTCTGATCTGCAATCTTTTCGTCCTTCAGTTGGTCGATTTCATCTTGTAGTTTGGTGGCTGAAAACAACAGCGGTGAACAATAACTGTCGAGAATGTCGATAAAAGTTTCCATCCAATCACACAGCGTAGCCTTGGTGATCTGAGGCTTGTTGAGCGTTTCTTTACGTAACACATTGGATTTCTGAACACCTGCCGCTTGACGCATATCGTTGAGTAGCATAATCTGAGCACCCAAAATCTGTTCAGCATACATTGATCTGAATTTGAGTGTAGAGTAATTCAACGCTATTTCATTGTCAAGATTCTCCAAGTATTTGTTAACCATGATGTACAATGTACACGCAGGGCCAGTTTAATATACACGAGTATATTATCTGCTACACAGTGAGAGCTGTTTAAACCGACGCAAAAGCAATTAACTGATAATATTTCAGTAAGATTTCAGTAAAATAATATTTATCAAATAGTTATCTTTGGGAATAGAACTTTCAGTACCTCAATCGTGTCCTGTAAGAGCTATTTTCAGTGACCCTGCTATATTCAAGAAAAATTCAGTAAAAACAGTGAAATTTGAGTCGCGGAAAGCTGAACTTTGAAAATGTCCTACCACCGGAAAGACATTTTCAAAATTTACATACCATCAAGGTTTTCTCCGGATATACATATTTCAGTACCTTGATGGCGACTTGTGTTACTCTCACCGACCTCACTGATTGGTCGCTGGTAAAAAATGTAATCAAAACCGCGAAAACTCAGTCTATAGGGAGTCTACTAGGAGACGGCAGAAAAGCTTCTCTCTAAAAATCTACCAAAATCTCTTTTTCTATTCTCATGATTTTCCATTTTATAACCTACTTTTCATAACTTAATTTTTAAATTATACTTCTCCCTCAGGTATTTACTGTACAGAGCCGTTTAGAATACCATTCGCTGGGAAAGTGCACGTGTGTTGTTTTGATAAGACCGGAACATTAACCTCCGATAAACTTGAACTAACAGGTAACAACTAATAATAACAAGTAACAACTAATAACAGGTAACAACTAATAATAACAGGTAACAACTAATGAGGTTGTTGTTTTGATTAACTTTTGGGGGAGAAGATGTTCTCATCAACTTTTCGAAGTATGAACCCCCAATTTGTATCTGAATCTTTTATTCTGAATTGATTTTAAGTAAGTTCGAAGAGCTTACATGTTATGATATACTTGTAACCATGTCAAATATTTCAAATATTTCGCAGGAGTTTGTGGGTTGTCAGACAAATCTGACTTAATGCAAATAAATGAAGTTCCCATAGAAACATGCCAAGTGCTAGCCACATGTCACTCCCTAATGCATGTTGAAGATAAACTGATAGGGGACCCAATAGAGAAGGCTACTTTATCAGTGCTCCCCTGGACTCTGACTAAAGGGGACGTGGTCATGTGCAGGTCTCTCAAACAGAGCCTCAAAATTCAGAAGAGGTTCCATTTTAATAGGTCAGTTATTAGGACTTAGGTAGAGCCAAGTGCCAACCTACTTAATACTTATTAGGTAGTTTTCTCATCACATAACTGTTGGTGTGTTTTTTTTCCAAAATTCATACTTTTCCTATTAGACTATATAGTAGTGAACACAGTACAGTTGGCTGACTGTTCACCCCGAACGGTACCCTAAAACATTTTAAAAAGCCACCAGAAAACTCTCGTTTGTAATTTAAGGGTACCGTTTATTAACGAGCAAAAGGGAGTAGGTACCCTTATAAATAATACACTTATTTTATTACAAAACTCGTTGGAGTAAGTTAACTAGTAATAATAACTAATATGCCTGAATAACTTTCAGTACTCTCAAACGGATGAGTGTAATAGTTAGCAAGCAGGATGCGGCTTACAACTGCGAGTACTTCATCATGACAAAAGGAGCCCCTGAAGTTATCAGAAATATGTTGAAGGAGGTAAAATATCATTTGATGTTATTCATCATTGGGGATATTTCAAAGGGAGTAAAATATTGCAAGTTAATATTAAGTTATTATTGTTATTGTTAAGTTATTAAGGTCATGGCAAGTTATCATTAGGGATATTTTACTATTCAGGTACCAGTAAACTACGATTCTACACACAAACAGTACACTCTACAAGGGGGCAGAGTAATTGCTTTAGCCAGGAAGTCGCTTGGAAAAGAAGTCACAGTAAGGGATGTTCTGAGAGAGGAGGCTGAAAACGATTTGGAATTCTGCGGATTTGTGGTATTTAAAATATGTTTCTATATAATTGTTTTTGGACGTATCATTTCACAATTCCTCTTCCACTCAAATTCAAATACATTGTAATTTCAATCACCAGTTAAGTCTAACAAATCTATATTGTCTTACGTTTAATTGGCCTGGTAAGATGCTACAAGATACCACAGTTCTTGTAATTTAGTAAACGAATTCAATAGTAGAAGTTTGGGAGTTTCACAGATTATTCAAGAATGCTGATTTTGCTTAGTAAAATAAAAGTGCTAATATCACCCAAAAATTCCAGGTATTCTCCACTCCATTAAAGAAAGAGTCGAAGTCTGCCGTGGCAATGCTGAAAGAATCGTCCCACTACGTTGTTATGATAACAGGAGACAGTCCACTGACAGCTTGTTATGTGGCTAACCAACTTCGGATCACTAAAAAGATATTGATTCTAACTGATCACGGTAGGATATAATTAAAACATGTTCGGCCACCTCCTTTTAGCCCCCGACCCTCCCCCTCCGTTTCGTTCTCAGATACTTTCTTACGTTCTCAGGAAATTCTTTGTATCTGGTCAGTAAGCTGCTAGGGAGGTTTTCCCTATAGATTTTTGTCTTGCCTTGTTAGGTTTCGGGATAATTTTTAGGAATCTGCCAAAAAATATTGCTAGATATATCCATGGGTTTGGTGCGAAATCTCATGAAATTTACATGTGAGTGGCCCCAAATTTGCATGGTTTTGGACTGAGTGTTATATGAATCCCATTCAAATTTGCCCTTTTCTGTATTCTGTCATCTGTGGTGTAACTTCTACAAGTTTCGTCTTTTCGTAATCTTTGTCAAAAAAAAGTGTTCAAGTAGGGTCTGGCACGTTGCGCGCGAATATTTAAATGTATTAAAATGTCCTGTAAACGCATTTTGTAAAGCCACAGACACGCGCGCGGCTTGCGTCGTGAAGCAGGTTGCTTTAAGAGTCGATCGTGTCCAAACTTGAAGCACAACGGGTTATGGGGGCCGGGGAGACATCCTTAACTGTTTACTCTTACATAATATTACAATATATATGGCTTGAATGACACGTATTAATTTTTGCTGGCCAGCTGGCAGCTTAATCTGTCAAAAAGAAGTTAATGGCAGGGTGCTTTTGATATTATTTTTGTAACATTGAGTGTTAATATATTTGTTATGTAATTGTTGATATAATTGTTAGTATAATTGTTACCATTTCAGAGGATGGGTGGAGATGGGAGACCCCTGATGGTGCTGTAACTTTTCCACTCCACCAAGAAGACAAATCTTATTCTCTTTGTCTAACAGGCCCGGTAATTGTCCAACTTATTTTAAATTTCTGATAGCTAAAATAATCTATTCTTGTTGTGATAGGAGAGCTGTATGGTATTTGGTTTTGGGACGAGAATTTCTCTTTTCATTATTAAGTGTACTCTTTACAGGGCATGAATTTCTGCGTGAATACTCCTGCAACTAAGAAAAGGTCGCTATTTGATGAAATAGTTACTCGTGTGCTAGTGTTTGCTCGGGTTACTCCCAAGCAAAAGGAGGAAGTTATCACTACTCTTAAATCTCAAGGTAAAAAACTTGTTGTAACCTCAACCAATTGTTCCCCAAGAATCTTTCAAACAAGATTTCAGCCGTTAGACGTGTAAAAGGCTCGAAGAGGAATTCTATTGTTTAATCGTTGAACTGCACTGCTGTTTTGTAGTCTGTTAATCATAACATCTTTGTCCAGCTCGACGGTACAACAATGGTAGCAAACCATTAGGTGACAAATCCAGTATAAATTATACCGTGTCCCCTAGACTGGTAACCATGGTAACAAATCCAGTTTAAATAGAACTAACTCCCAGGATTAGTAACAGTGATGTGCGGTGACGGAACGAATGATGTAGGAGCTCTGAAACACGCTGATGTTGGGGTGGCTATCATTTCCAATGCTCCTGAGGTAATGTAGAGTTACAGAGTAGAATTATAATTAAGTAGGCTGTATTATACAGTAAGGGGCTCAAGCCTATTGAGGACGAAAGGGCTCAAGCCTATTGAGGACGAAAGTCACGTATTGATTGACCGTTTGCTCTACTCCTCAGTTAGGGAAAAATTCAATTTCCATCCCCTAAACATTACTGACCTAGTCGGTTTGCTCTCCAACAAAACTCTAGATCCTACCACACTCACTGCCACAGCAAGAGCAATCCATTCAATTCTCTCTGTGAACGAAAATTATACAGCCTATTATAAGAGCCCAGATTTCCACTCAAATACTGGCAAGTGCATAATGCTATAGGACCTTAAAATAAGATTGAACCATACAAACTCGATTTATCTATTTTTCTAAAACTAGCATTATATAACATTTCTAAATTATCCCTACACACTTGTAAATAATAAGAATTGTGTAACTTAAATTATTTCAGAATTACAACTATTGTGTACTCAATAAAGTAATTATCACTTTTGTATCCTTGTATCCTTGTATCCTTGTATCCTTGTATCCTTGTATCCTTGTATCCTACAGTGCGTGTTACGAGGGTAAACCACGTGTCACGATACTTAAATTTCAGGTAAGGCCAGAGAAAAAGGTATTACAAGAGAAGCAAAGCATGAAGACAACAATAATGCAGCAATTAGCTCAGGCCAAAGGAGATCGAAAGGTGAGTGAAATTTGACGTTTATGTTTGTAATGACATTTGATTTCAAATCTATTTCTTCTTGGCTAGTAACCATGGTAATTGGTAACCATGGTAATTGGTAACCATGGTAATTGGTAACCATGGTAATTGGTAACCATGGTAATTGGTAACCATGGTAATTGGTAACCATGGTAATTGGTAACCATGGTAATTGGTAACCATGGTAATTGGTAACCATGGTAATTGGTAACCATGGTAATTGGTAACCATGGTAATTGGTAACCATGGTAATTGGTAATTGGTAACCATGGTAATTGGTAACGCATCCCTTTCTCAGAGTTCTGTGTTGGAGAGACAGAAGATGTTGGAGGAGAAGTTGAAGGAATTGCAAGCAGAAGAGGATACTTTAGTGAAATTGGGGGATGCGAGTATCGCCTCCCCATTCACTAGCAAGTACAGCAGTGTCAAGTGTATCTGTAATATCATCAGACAGGTATACAATCTAATACAATACAATTCGGTACCTAACTATATAGGGCATAATTTATATAATATCACCATAATTTGTTTATCAATCACTTGCTCGGTATGTTATTCTGACAACAGATTATTATATGTCACTGGAGGATATTTCTTGATGATGTCTAGTATGTACGTAGTATTACGTAATAATATGTAACTATATTATTATTACTTTACCAGGGACGGTGTACCTTGGTTACAACATTACAAATGTTTAAGATTCTGGCACTGAACGCTCTGATAATAGCTTACTGTCAATCTGCCTTATACCTTGATGGAGTAAAGTTCAGTGATGGGTAAGTAGATTTGTAACCATGGCAAAAGTAACTAGGTAACAATGATTTTTACACTCTATTTGAAGCATTTCATACTTCTTTCTTTTCAAAACCCCTATTCACTGATATTGCTGTGTAAATAACTTATTATTTCAGACAAGCGACACTACAAGGGTTACTATTAGCGGGTTGTTTCCTCTTCATCTCCCGATCTAAACCTCTAGACAAACTGTCCAAGGCCCGTCCTCACGCCAATATATTCAACACCTACACTATCCTCACAGTGGTGCTGCAGTTCTGTGTTCATCTCTACACTATAATCCGGCTTGTTGACAAATGCCACGAGTTGGAGCCGCGCAGACCTAGCATTGATCTGGAGGCTGAGTTCGCTCCTTCTCTACTCAACTCCATAGTCTACATAGTGTCAGTCACCTTGCAGCTCAATACATTTGTAATCAACTACAGAGGACACCCCTACATGGAGTCTCTGAGAGAGAACAAACCCCTCTGCTACTCATCCGTCTTCACTGCTACTTTCATGGCAATCCTAACATTTGGCATCGCGCCAGAAATAAACAAAGAATTCTCCCTCCTGGTCCTTCCCGATCCTATACAGAACGAAGTGTTTATCGCTCTTCTTCTGGACTCTGTGCTTACATTCCTTATAGATAGAGTTCTCCTTTTTATATGCGGAGATGCTAAACTTAAACCCCTTTACTAATATATTACCCGCTTAGTGTTTCTAAACCCACTTAGTTTTACTAAACCAATACTGACCATGTCTGCAGCTTTTCGCCTTCTTTTCCCCAGATTTGTTTGCGTAACTATTGGTTTTTATTTTCATCGCTTTACTTTGGGTTTTTAGCCGATATATAAATTATTCCAGTTATCTCGGTGATAATGTTGATGAAGTTTTTGTGGGTCTATAATTATTAATACTAGTTCAATGGTAATAAGTAGTTCATTAGTGATCGGACTTTAGTGATTCTGCGTAGTTAGCATAGTCAGTAATGACCCTACATTACAGTAACTGTAGTAGTAACTAGTAACCCTACATTAAAGTAAAGAACATCGTAGATTTACCTCATTTAGAAGTACAACCAGACATGTACATCACTAATAAAATCTATTTCAGTTGATTAATCTTACGTTCAATTTCTTGTTATTTGTTTCTAGGATTCGTTATGTTAAATTCTGGTTCTTCACTTTATTTAGTTTAAATCAATTCTTTGGAGTATCAGTTGTTTGATTGACATTGTAAAACTTTATTGTAATTTACTCGGTGTTTCACAAAGTCTGCCGTAATTTAACTCTCTCTCCTTAACTAACGTTTAACTCATTAACTAACTAATTTAACTAACTAACTATTTATCTAACTAATTTAAATAACAATTAGTAATAGGAATATAGGATGCCGGGTTCTGACATAGTGACGGAGGAGGATGTAATCAGGAAGAGGTTGCTAATGGACGGGGAGGGTAGTGGCGAGGAGAAGAGAGTTGTTAACCTCCTCAAAACATTTGTCAAGTGGATTCGTGAGCCTGCTGCTGATGATGCGACTTTTCAGAGGGTGAGCAGACTTTCATCACTTTTTTCATTTCTTTTGAGTATTTAAATTATTTTACTCGTTTACTTACTTCCTTCATTTACTTCTTTCACTTCTCTTACTCCTATTACTTTCATTACTTATTTCTTTCGTTCCACTTTATACACTTAATACCATGGTATAACCCTGTAGATGGTTGCAGTGATAGCACAATGCGAGATGACAGTAGACAAACTACACGTTGTAAAGCAGATGAACGAGCAGGAAGCTAAAAACTACGCCAAACTTCACAAAGGTAACAAATACCCCGCCCCCGCCCCCCCCCCCCCCAACAAATACACCTCCTTTACACAAATTGGGCATTAAAGTACTGGTAGGGCCCTTTTAGGGAATAGGGATTAGGGATGCACATTTTAATGTTACAGGTTTTAATGTGGGACAATTATAATACCTCTCAAACTAAATATTTGAAGAGATACGTGTTATTATTACTGTTAATTATTGTGAGATATCAAAACTTTTCATTACAGAGATAGAAGGAGAGATAACAGCTGGAAAGGAACGGATAGAAAAGTACCAACAGCAACTGAGCAGGGCTAAACAGATAAAATCCCACAAACAGCAGTATGACGCTATAGCACAGATTATCAAACAGTACCCTTCTAAAGACGAAACTACAAGCTCTATATCTAGAGTAAGTGCTGTTACCATGGTAACTAAAAGATGATTAGCATAAAAGGGTTAAATAAACAGATCCTTATCTAAAACCACGTAATAATTAGTGATGTTCATTTAAATGCAGTTTCAAGGGTCGAGGTTAATTTCAGTAATATTCATTGGTGATAATCTGCGATTAATGATTAGCCAAAATTTGCAGACTGAAAAAGAAATTGAAGAATTAAAAAGGAAGAAAATATACTTTGAAGAAGAGGTCCAGAAGAGAAAGAGACAGTTCGAAGTACTAGTGTACAGTATACAGCAGCTACAATGTGAGCTCTCACAAGATCCAGTACAGAGTATGGAGGTGGACTCCTAGAAACTTCCTCAATTTTGCTGTTGTTTTAACTCTTTTTATACAGCTACATTTCACTGCCAAATGGAGCGTATTAACAGTCTAACAGACTGACTTGAAGCGGAGCAGTTTTATAATGCTATTTATTTGATTTTTAACTATTTCACGTTGTTATGACGCGACGTTGTTACTTGGTTACTATTTCAGTTACTTGGTTACTATTGCAGTTACTTGGTTACTATTGCAGTTACTTGGTTACTATTGAAGTTACTCGGTTACTATTGCAGTTACTTCGTTACTGTTGTTTCAAAAAAGGTTTTTTAACCGAGTTTTGAAAAACAAAAATTAAGAGTATATTATCTGGGAGTTATCATTGGTTGTTGAGCTGGTCCTCAGCAATGAAGCAATTCCTCAAGCAATTCCTCAATAACTGTACGTGGTTGTATTCCTTATATATACACTACAGGATCACACCAATTAACCACCTAATTAGAGACCTGGTCTTATAATCTGGTTTAGAACGTGGCAATGAAATACAACACTGCGAATGTAAGACGGGAAGTTTTGTAATTTGAAACTTAATAACCTACTTCCCTAAAAGCGCATTATTATTCACTTTATCAGTTTAAGATTTGTTTTATTTTTTCGTTTTATGTTCCATTTACTGAGGATCGCGTTCCGAGGTATGCACTCGATTATATAATCCACTAGATATTGTAGTGGAACAGCCACTATTAGTGCTTTTCAATACAAATTAAAACGAGCTCTTCATTGGAACAAGGGCTTGGACTGGCATTTACCCGCTTAAAACGATACATAATACTGAAATATAATACATTAACAATAAAATATGCAATCTCAACATTATGAGACCATACGGCATACCTACTCAACCCTTGGGTTTACCTCTGTTTTAGTTGGTAGCGTTTACACTTGCCTGGTATCGGTATCTGTGTATTTGAATATGAGATTATAATAAGCTTGTACCTTTTCTGTTGGATCTACACATAACACGGCGACAGTCAAAAATTATTTTATTTTCTGCAATCATAATTGAACCAGTTATATAATGTTAGTACATTCGTAATATGTACCAGTAGGTACTCGAGACTCGAGTATATACCGTTTCGTTAGGGTCTAACATATGCTTTTGCTTTTAGGATGTTATGTGAAATCTGATCGCTTACTTGGAACATTGAGAATACAATGTTACGAGTAACCACTAGTTACCACAAGTAACCACTAGCTGTTACTGGCTACTTACTGAAAGATGCGGATACCGATTTCCCAGGCTCAAGAAAGGACAGCGTTCAGCATCATCGACGGAGCTCGATTTTCATTAGAACAGGTACCCTCGAGATTAAACGAAATATTCTAATAACACTGAAGATTTTTCAAAACTGTTCTATGATTACTATAGTTACTACTTACTATGATTACTATGTTTATTGGTTACTATCATTACTATAGATCTTTGATTACCTTAGATCTATGATTACTATGGTTACTGTTGAACAGGAAATAATGTTCAGGTTCAGTACCTGTCCTCTATAGATGAAAACAGACCTCTTGGTATTGAAACGGACGAAGTACAAAAGTTTCTCTTTTACTGGGATCAAGTGTTTCTTTATGGGCTGAAGAGTGCTAAAAATGGCTACTGGAACTTTGTCTCTGCCTTCTCTCACCCCTCCCTAGTTAACGAGGTAACGTCTCTATCCCCCGACCCTCGGCCCCCTTCTCTCTCCCCCTCCTCAATTTTGACAAATATTTTAGAAGCTACTAGCCTTGAAACAAATCTCAATACTTTTACGAATATTAAAATTCAGGTAAAGAACACTCCTGGAGCAGTAAATGATTTGCTAAGAAGTAGACTCTGGTTGGGAACTATTCTTAACGAGAACGAACTGGAGAACTATCTTACTCTTGTTCAGTTTGAGCATAAACTACTCGGTAAGTAATTCACAGTCTCAGAATTTGTGCGATGATATCAGAATACCTAAGGGAGTTCCAGAAATTCATCAATATCAGAAATCACAATGTTTTAAATGTTGTAAGAAAAATATTTTATTGAAACTTTATCTCAGCTAAGTACTATCGTCCTCACGCTATCCTGAGGAACAGGAGTCAGCTGGAGGACCTCATATCAATATCCTGTGGACAGGAAAACACCCTCTTCGCTATTCATCTCGACTACATATGTTTCAGGTATCATTTCTGAAAACGTTAAACGATGCATGACTCTCAATAATTTATTTTGGTCGCTAATTTCTGGGCCCTTCCTTCCCTACAATATACCTTAGTTTTCTATTAATAATGTTGGATTCTCGACCAACAAATTCTCGTAAAAATTTAACTGTGATTAAATAGCTGAACATACCCTTGACCACTCTGAAATTAACGCCACAATATTTCAGAGCGCAGCAGCTGTTTGTAGGGCCGGGTGACAGGACATATTTTGATAAAATGTTTGACATAAAGTTTAACTGGGACGAAAGCGTCCGGACCCGGAGTTCCAGCTCAGTCAGTGTGGCTAGCAACTTCTTCTCCAGAACCCCAAGTTACAGCCGTCCCTCCTACAATTCTTTTAGCGGCTCCACTCCTGTTGGAGACCTGGCTCTCAACCCTGAGAACATGTTAGGATCCGACATTCCTCTCTCTAGAGACTTGACTAGTATCAGTGATCAGGGCGAGTTTATTCAGTTCTCTCCTACCGCACAATTAGCCGCATCCGCATCTGCTTCTCCTATTCCAGAGAGAAGATCCCTAACCCCTACACCTATATTGGAGAGCAGTGACATAACAACAGTGAGTGAAATCATTGCCAGGACTGAGATTCCAGCGGTGACTGAGACTCCAGCGGTGACTGAGACTTCGGCAGTAACTTATACTGTATCGGGGAGTGATGCTGCAACTGAGAGTCCAGCAGAGACTGAGATTTCAACTGAGGTGGAAGAAGTTTCGTCCTCTTTCTATCAGTTATCCGACATTCCTGAGTCCAATGACCCATATATAGTTGAATCTTCTTCTGTTTCCACTAGCGTCAACCCACCAGACAACCTTGTTTCCTCTTCAGCTACTGTAGAGCAGGTCAGTTTGGAATCTACACCGTCTACCAGCGAAATATTTACCTCCCAGACCCCTGTACCTACATTAGAAGAGGTATTACAGAATATCCCTATCAGAATATCAATCTCTGATCATAGTTCTGCTAACTCAGAATGTTCTACATCAGAAGATAAGCCACCACCCACTGATTATACAACAGCACTTGTTCGAGGTGACCAGTTAGCCTTGTCTCCGGGAAACCTACTGGCTCTGGATACGTTAATCCAACAATCTGCTCCAGACCCTGAGGAAATCCAGTCAGCTGAATCCTATGAGGTATCAGACTCGGAAAAAGAGCTCCAACAAGCAGCAGAGTCTGAGAGAGAAATGCATGCCCAACAAGTTGCAGACTTTTTAGTTGAAGAGGTGATGTTGGAGACAGGTGGAGGGTCCCCGACTCAGAGAGGCGCTCTGGACACTGAGGATCTATACTCCGATCCAGAATCTGAGGACATGTTCCTCCCTCCCGATGATACTGAGGAGATGTTCCTCCCTGCTGATACTGAGGACCATACTGTGCAGCACTCTACTCCGGGAAGTGATCCTTACATGCTTGATTCAGGTGCTGGTAGCCCTACTCTGCTTATCACGGATTTGATACCCACACCATCAGCTCAAGTCTCCGCTAGCTCTTGGTACGATAACGACCCAGTGGTTAATCAACATGAAGAAAACATTCCGGTAGAAAATGATAGCTTGTCTGAAGAGAACTTACCCGAAGAAATCCCGCCTGAAGATAGTTTGCCTAAGGAAAATGATGGCTCAGGTGTGGAAGCAGATACCATGGCTAATAGAGTAGAAGAGAGGGAGGAGACACTACAAGTCAGTGAAGACTTTAATCCTTTCAGTGAGAGTAATGAAGACGGAGCTGCTGATGAAAATATAACCAATGTTGATGCTGCTGAAGAACCACAACGGTCCTCATCGGTTAGTATGACCAAGGAAAAAGAGGTCCATATTGAAGTTCCTGACTTGAGTTACGGGACAATGGACAGGGAGCTTGGAGTTGTGATAGCTTCACAAAACCAGAAAATATCCTGGGCTGTTGAACTGTTCGGGGATAACGAGGACCTCTGTTTCATCTACCGGGTATGGTTGAAAGACAGCGCGGGGAATCTCGAGCTCAGCTATTTCCTCCTAACAACAAAGATGATCTACTTGCTGGATCCTTTATACCTGGTTAAACAGAGGTTGAGACTAGACAGAGTTCAGTACGGTAGAGGCATTAACTGGCAAGTAATCACCTTGTTCGCCTTGCAAGAAGACGGAACAACTGACCAGATAGATGTTATTACAGGGTGTGAGGCTATTAGTCGGGGAGTGATGGAGGGGATATCAGTTAACCCTTCTTATCCGGTTAACTGGGCGGTTGAAGACAGTTACAGTCAGATGAGGTTAAAGTACCATGTCAACGCTTTTCTTCAGGAGAGAGGAGCGTTCTCTATGAGAGCAATGGATGATCTGTATTATGGTTCTGTATCCTACCTCTCCCTCACTGCTCCGCCCGCTTCAGCTCTACATTGTCCTATATCTGAGGGACTGATGTGGTTGAAAGAGCCCACTCTTCTTTCCTACGTGTGGAACCAATACTACTTTTTCTTAGATAAACAGGGTACACTCTCCCAACTGGATGCTGAATGTACTGGGACCATAAAGAAAGAATACACTGTCATTGGGTCCGGGGCATGTCGCAAAATGACGAGAAAGGAAACCACCAAACAATGTGCTTTTAAATTTATCTCAGAAGAAGGGACGGAAGTGTTGTTGAACTGTGAGAACGCGCTAGAGCGAGACCGGTGGATGACAGCTATCAGTAAGGCAGCCATGGAGATTCCTCAGAGCACTAACGAAACAGGGTACGGTATGCAATGTAGTGCTATTATCAGCAGTAGTTATCTGGTGCTAGTCAGAGAGGGGGTCAAGTCTGCACATACTTTAGATTCTGCACTGATACAGGACATCACCGAGATAAGATGGGATAGTGACCATGAGATGTGTGTTGTAACCATTGATAAGAGACAGTGGTTAATTCTCTTCAGAGATAACTACGAGAAGACAAAGCTAATGGAGTGTGTGTGGGAGAGATGGCAGGAGATATTCAGGTGTCATGATCTACAACTTCTGTTTTCTAAGGTTAACTTTTCTGAGCTGGGGGGTCCGCTGGATATTCTCGGGCGGTATAGGAATCATTTGTTGGGAATCATTGATGAGACCGATAAATTGGAGTTTGAATGTGTGTGAAGTTAGAAAATCAGTTACCAATACCATGGTAACTACACATGTTACCATCGCGTGGTAAGTACGAATCACACACCAGTGTCCAGTAACCATGGTTATAGACTCTAGAATTGTTATCAGCTGTTTTTGTTATGACTATTTGTCCTGTTTTTGTTTGTTTTATACAAAGGCTCGGTTATTTATTTTGATATTCAATGGTTTAAAATATTTGTTAAAGACTGTCCTGGACGTTTAATAATCAAACAACCTTAAAGGTGGGGAGGTAATGACTCTCTCAGTCTCGACCCTCTCTAATTGTGATGATGTACATAGGGTGGAATTTGTGTGGTTATTGCTAACTGCTGAATTTTTTACAGTTTTCATTGAATATCAGATGTGAGAAAAAAATTGTTAATTGAAAGAGATTTACCAAAATAATATCAGATGTACATACTTGCTCTGGAATAGTATGATTTTTGACTCTGTATGATAATTTTAAATGTTTAATGTTTATAGACGATTGCTAACTGATTATGATTTATGTGATACAAGAGTTTAATTTCTGTTCCCGTGTTATTTTTATCTTATCACTGCTATCACTTCAATTTATAAACACTTGATTCAAGCCGAAATAAGTCTTATTCACCTAGATTTAAGTCTTATCGGTATGTTTCAAATCCCATTAAAATAAGGCCATTTAATTGTGATCGAAACTAAATTTAGTCCAAAATGGTTCAAATGGTGCTGTGCTATACAGTAAACAAGAATCACATACTAAATTAATTGAAGGATGGGTACTGTTAAATCAGAACCCAAGTACAAGAAGGGAGACAAAGTGTTGTGTTACGAACCAGACCCAATTAAACAACCAATTATCTACAACTCTGTGATACTGGAAGTGGAACACGAAGATATTACTGAGTTCCTTGGAAAGAAGGATCTTAAAAATAAGGCTGGTAACAACAAAAAAAGACCCGCAGGAGTGCAACCTATTTACCTGGTACATTTCCAGAATTGGGGTTCCCAGTATGATAGGTACTAATTATTTACTAATTATTTACTAATTATTAATAATGATAATATGATAGGTACTAATTATTTACTAATTATTGATAATAATTTTATTCGAAACAAGACTTTTATCATCCTTTCATGAACAATTTCAACGAATTCACAATTTTCAACTGATTCGATGGTTACGTGACATAACAAATGAATGTTCAATTTCTTTATTATAACTTTATAAACCCATTTTTAAGTTTTAACATACCTACTCCTTTCAGATGGGTGACAGAGGATTTGGTACTGGCAGATACCCCCTCAAACCTTGCAATTAAAGACGAACTGGAGAAACAGATTGTCGGAGCAAAAAATGCTTGTAGAAAACGTGGAATTAGAGGAAAACCTCTAGATAAATGTACTGATCTTAGTGAAAATCCAGAATCGAAATTCAAGATGGATCTCAACTTACCATTGACCATAAAACAGGCTTTAGAAAGAGACTTTGTAAATGTGACTCTGAGAAACCTGCTGGTGAATGTGCCGCGCACTCCCAATGTAGAGACGATTCTGGCTAAATTTGTAGAGGATGTATTGGTTACCAACCCACTGGAGGACAGGGGGTCTTTAGAGGAGTTTACACAGGTAGCCACTTTCTCTTTCACTTTCATTTTCACTTTCACTGCTATCTTTCATGTTATGTTATTTTCTTTCTTATATATTTTAAGAGAGCCCCAATATATCATTTATTTATTTCAGGGGATAATCACTTGTTTTGACTTCACTCTACCGTTACTGCTGCTCTACAAGGAGGAACGAAGTCAGTTAGAAAGAGAGGGGTTTGTGCAGTCTGGTTCCAGAATAAAGAGGCAGCAACTAGCGGGGCAAGTGAGCGGAGATTGGGTTTTATACCCCGGCTATTCCAGTTGGGGTAGTAAGACTGATGATCAGGACCCTGTCCCCGGACCTTTACAACCCTCTAAACTATACGGAGCTGAACATTTACTCAGACTGTTTGTAAAGTTACCGGAATTGTTGGACCACATGGAGACGGAGTATGTTAACAGTGTCGCTTATTATTGCCAGACTTTCTTAGACTTTGTAGCGAGGCATCGAGCGGAGGTGTTTGTGGAGATACAGCCTTATAAAGAGGCTGAGTTATGCGATCTGGGATGAGATCTCAACTTTATACTGAAAATTTTGTTTTATTTTAATGATTTTTTGGAGCCTCTTAAATTTTAAATTATCATTTTGTGCCCATGACATACCATTAGTTATGACAATTATAGCTTTATCATTGCCTTTTTTAACCAATAAAGTTATGAATGGTAAGGTTTCCTTTTCCTGTCCATATATAAATACTGTACCTCATGCTTCAATAAGTGTGAGAGGGCACGAGGGGCAACCATAGGTATTTAGAAACTATTTGTTGATGAATAAAAAATCGAAATATTGATTATATCAAAATATTGACTCATTCTCTGTAAAAAAATACTTCTGTAAACTTTTAAAATGTCTACATTAATTGTTTACTTGATCGTCTGCTTAAATTTCTCTGAGAATTGTTGCTTTCAGCCCCATCTTTGTTTTATGTACTGTATATTAGTTTATGTGAAGACAGTTCTCGGTTAGATATGAAACATGCCAGAGAGTCTAGTAACAGTGCTGGCAGTTGAAGGTGACGTTTACTACAATGCTTGCAATGTCTGCTCCAGTAAAGTTGAACTGGTACCTGCATCTAACAGGTAACTGGAGAAACTTAATCTTATTAATGTGAAATGTTTGGCATATCGAGAGATTAACATCCAAAAAGTAAGTAAATGTTTGGAGGTTACTGTTCTAAAACTTCAAATAATGAGTAATTCACATCACCAACTTACATGTGATAAACTGTAATAACAACAGGGGTTGGTGTAGAAAATGTAGAGCGTGTACTCACCCCAACAGAAGGTACAGACTCTCCCTGAAAATCAGTGAGCACTCCGCCCCCTTTCTCATCACCTTGTTCGGGTCACGTGCTGACAACCTGTTCGGATGTACTGCTCCTAATTTCTTCAGGTTTACTTCCACTTCTTCATGTATTACCCCAACCCTGTAAACCTCTCAGCCTGTCCTGTAGACCCATATCTACTAGATATTATCTAGATCCCATCATGTGGACCCCTCAGCTAGATCTCACCTCGCTACAATACCAATTATATCACCCAACCTCCTCAGGACAGTCCAGGAGTTGAATTTGTCGAACACACAAATTCTGCGTTCTGTTCAAAGAGCTCTCCTTAGTGAGGTTTGTTCTCACCAAATTGAAGAAACTTTTCGTTCTATGCCTCCACTTGGTATCTCAACTAAAAAGAGCATCAGTCACGCTAGGTTTAATGACAATAATTTAGATAACGTTATTGCTAATTCATAGTTAGTTTTGTACTTTTATAGAATTAAAACGTAATGTAGAAACTGCCCCTACCAGGTAGTCAAAGTGGCACGTAATGCTGAGGGCGGGATAACTGGTGCTGTATTTGCTGTCGAGAATAAGAGAATTGTCGATCACGTGCGCCAACTCGACCTTACAACTGGTAACTATGGTTACTTTTAACTGGTAACTGTGGTTACTATATTCAGCTGATTACTTCTTTAATCGATGATCTATTGTTATCCTTAAAATACATTTTAAAATATTATTTGTTCATCATAAACGTATAATGTTTATTCAGTTTCAAGTTTACCATCTACACAACATGTTTGTTACTATTATTCATTTCAGGCACCAATTTTTCACCCGTTCCTCTTCGCATTCCTGCTGACCGGCTTGAGATCAGCTCTCCTTCAAATTCTAACAACCGTCACCATGACAAATCTTTGCTGGTCCACAACTCAACGCCTCTTTTCTCTCAGCTCAGTTTAGAGGATCTGGGTGAGAACTTGGGCAGCCTCAGTCCTGTTGTATCTGATTTTAATATTAGCTCCACTACACATAATTCTCGGAGGTACCCAGAAAACGAATGTAGTAAGCATGGAAATAGCAACCATGACAATTCCAGTAACCATGGCAATCATTATAACCCTAGTAATAATTTGAGGCGTGGTAAACGCATGAGATGCAGAGTTCAGAATATCGTACACATCCCACTTACTCAAAACGATTCCCTGCATGAGAATATAAGACCGCCTGACTGTGACACATCAGTGAAAGAAACTCATCTGCTCAAAACTGAAACTTCTAGTGACAGTGATGTGATATTAGAGCTCATGAAATCAGATGACTTTAGTTTATTTGAAGATAAGGAGAACGTGCCGGTTATCTCAGATTTTATAGGTGTACAGAAAGATGATGTACAGAAAGATGATGTACAGAAAGATGATTTCAGTTTATTTGAAGAAACTGAAAATATGCTGAGTGTATCAGATTGTAAAGAGAGAAACATGAGCTGCAACCTAACTAACTCTCAAGACTTTGATAGTTTCGATGTAGGCAGTATTTCAGCTGCTCTCCCCACCCTCCCTCTCCCTACTAACAGTGTCACTACAAGTCCTCTGTGTTCAGATGACGATTTGTTTGCTAACTCTCCCGGAACTAAAGAAGAACCAGCATTGAGCGAACATGACTGGTCTAACTTTAGTGCTATGTCAGAGTGTAATACTAGCACTAAATCTAACGTGGTTCCCATGGTAACAGGGGTGCTCTCTGAACAAGATGAAGATGTATCAAACTGTTCGGTTGAACTGTTCTAGATTTAAAACCGTATTAGAATTAATTTATAATTATTTTGTCGTAAATCTAAGCTTTTTTAACTTTACCGGTTACCCTCTTTCTACTCGATAACCATAGGCCAAGGGCCCAGAATCACTTGTTCTAGTGTACAGTGACTGGGGGAGCTGTTATTTTATACAAAATATATTATGAAGGGTAGAATTGCTTGCTCTTAGATTCAAGCCTCGTTAAATACCTTTTCGCTTGACCGTAAACAAACGCTCAAACCACAAAAATGTGTTTTATCTGCCCGGGAAGAGATCAGAGATTTTTAGAGCCGATGCTGTTGAGCTTTATCAATTTGATGAATGGCTCAAAAACGGTACAATTAAAATGTTTGGTGCAATAAAATTGTTAATTTATATAGTGCAGCATTTATTTATGTTTAATTATGTTGTACACTAAAACTTATGTCATGTTTGAAATCATATTGATAATGATAATACAACGTGTATCTATTCGTATCTTTTTGAAGTTTTAACTTTTTAAGGTAAATACTAATTTAAGGGGTCGTTCACATATTAAGTAGTCGTAATCACCTTTTAGCCAATTTATGTGATGAAAAGTGGATAGTGAATATCGATACTAAGGCTAAGAGACCACCAAAAATGAACAAAATTACCCATATCTCGGTTCGTGAAATTGATTTCATTAAAATTACCGGCTTGCCGACAGCGGTGTGCGCCGCCGTGTTATACCAAAATCGGCGGCGGCGTGGCCAAAATTAGCGGCGGCGGCGTGGCCTGTGGACAATTGGCAGTTTCAGTTGTGACTCGACAAAATGGAAATTCATTGCTTAGGTCAAGGATTGACTTAGTATTAGTATTACTATTAATAAGGTTTAGACAGTTGCAAATTTCACTTCAATTCATCGTTGATCGAAATGATCGTATGACAGGAATTCACAATTTCATGAAACATTGCATATTATATGCTACATCGAACTACTTGACGTCAGACATGCTAGAGGGATTAAGATTTTATAATTACAGGGTGGGCCAAAAGTCAGTGTGCAAACGTTGGCCTTAATAGCTCAGTCACTGAGTGCCCAATTGAAATACTTCCTTCTGGTATGACTTAGTACCACCACTGGTTCGAGGAATTTGTCAACTCGAAAAATATTCACGGTCATTTTTTTCAAATGGAGGTTCATTTTCACATTTATTTGATAGTTTGGATAGTCGAATCAAGCTAAATGTTATTGAATTGTGTTTGGCCATTCGAATTACGTTTGTCCTGAAAGAATTAGAACTGTAGCTTCTCAGATGACTGAGATATGAAGCATAACGAGTTTATTCATTACGTGTGATCAGGTGATTGGTTTACCTAATCACGTGATAAGGTGACCCCGTTAACTACCCCGTTAAACATTATGGGAATTGTTAAGGGTGCCCAATTAAGGTGTCGTGTCACGGTGTCACATAATCACCCAGTCAATTTTGTTAACGAGATACACAAAATGCTTGATAACTTCGTCATTTCTAATCCGTTTTGCCTCATGTTTTCAGATCATATGCAGCATTTGATAATCTACCGTCTCTGAAAAAATTAGGCGTTCAGCATGTTCAGAGAAAACAATATAGGTCTTTTAATATTGAATGGGCGTGGTCTAAAATATTCGAATTTTCAAATTTTGACGACGGAATCCTCGAACCAGTAAGTACAGTATGCCATCTGCAAAGCAACAGCTCTCAAATATAAAACACGGCGGAGGTATAAGACCCAAAGTTTGCACACTGACTTTTGGCCCACCCTGTATATTCAGCAATTATGAAAATTTTTTCATTAATTTTTTTTGAGTATTTTTTTATAAATTCAAATTTTAAAAATACCACGTTCACGCCGTTTGCGCCGCCGATAAATTGTTCGGCGCAGCGGCGTGGGCTAAAAACTCGGCGGCGGCGGCGCACACCCCTGCTTGCCGAGCTGATGTTTGAAAATGGGACAGAAATGGCACAGTTCCAGCGGTAGTAATATTAGTCATATATCCGAGTCCCGATGGCACCATGGCGGCGCTCTCGGAGTTCTAATGAATGGCCGTAATATTAACAAAAGACCATTTTGGAAGCTCTATCTTAGAAATCTCTGAATCTGTTAATAGCTTCATTTACTGTTCCAGCTTTTATGATATGTGAGACGCCCATATTTAATGAGATCATATGGGCTCTGAATATGAGCATGTTACCAGCTCTTAAATTGATCGATAAATCCTAGATAAGTCCATTAGGTAATGCTGTAATAAATATTTAATTCACGTTTTTCAACATGAACAAAAATATCAGATACAAGCCACATCGATCTTATTCTCGAATTTCGCTATCAATTATGTTTCATAATCTGAGACTGGAAATTTCCCTTCTGCACGTAATCTTGCTGTTGTATTGTTCGTCAGGCAAATCTAAAAACAACAAGTGTGATTGTCACAGTCAGGAAATTGAAGACGACAAATTCTGTAAGCGGCAACTTGAGTTGTTGCATAAATGTGTTTACGAAAAAGGATACAAATTTGCCGATTGTGCTCAATTTCCGTACAATCCCGACCTGGCGATAAACACATATATAAAAAGCACTAAAAAAGTTTTAAAAAAGTGCAGACAAATTGAAAAGACGCACGTACAACGATGTGGATGTCCAGAAGAGGATTTAAGCGCCCACGCCACTGAAAGTCACTTGGACGACCCACCCGCCACTAAGGTCATGGAAATGATACCCCACCTTACCTGCTTCCTAGACGATGGTGCTGACTATCAAGGTTACGTTAGTACCACATGTTTTGGATACACGTGTCAGAACTGGTCTGATCAAAGTCCTCACGTACATAAATTTGATTACACTCACAGTGGATTGGGTGATCACAACTACTGCAGAAATCCAGACGATGGTATTGGACCGTGGTGCTACACAACGGATCCAAATGTCAGATGGAATTTTTGTGCTATCCCTTCCTGTCATGCTGTTGGCGTTACTCTAATTGACGAGGATGAAAATCAGCGAGCACATGAGGAATTTTCTGACGTGGTGGAAAAAGGGAGCGGGTAATTTGTTTACGGGACAATTTAAAAGTGGTCCGGTAATGCAAATGATTGGATTGTTTTTTATGTATTTTGATTGGCTGACCTTACGGACAATTTTTTAAAAACCACCAATTCTTAATCGGTGCATTATGGTCATGGATTGTAATGAATATCTGATATCAAAGATATAACTACATTAACATATAAGGTAAAAATTGTAAATTCCACGAATATACAAAAAGCATCCTCCTAGTAGTACTTAGAACGACTATCTTTTAAAAAACGGAAAGAGATAATTGAAGAAAAATAATAAAAAGGAAGGCGTCAAAAGCTAAATTCTTTAAAGTTTAATGATAATGTTATTCAAGTTTTACTTTTATTTTTATTTCTATTCTATTTTTATTATCTCAACATCCTTGGACCTTGCTAATCAGCAAAATTGTATTCATCTAAGGCCTCGTCAACATGGAATAGGATTATAAGGAATAGAAATAGAATACCGATCTCGATAAGTCATTTCTATACATGAAACTTGGGACCATGACTACGTACCTTTTGTTTCAAGTTTGAACTTACAGAAAAAAAAACGTAAAAAGATTAGTTTAAGCCATATTTTGTTCTGCCCTTTCATCTATTCCAAGTAATTTGTATTACCGGCCACGAAAGCTGTTCTTAATTTAGATTTAGATGGACTGGTCCGAAGAGAGATCGTAGAAGACGCTGAGCTAGAAACAAGCGATTTCTTTTTAGGACGCTTAATTACCAGCAACCAAGTCACCATAAAATTCGACTACTCTTACACACCCAGTAGTAGTACAAACTTAAAAATTACTCATACTGCAGCATGCAGGGACAAGTTTTTTAATTTAACAATTCAATTTTATAAGCTAAATAAAAACTTCAAAGCTCTATTTAAGCAGTTGAATCAATTAGAAATTGTTACAATCATTGTATGCATTATGCTAAAACCTTAACGTTAAAATATTTCTACGGCTAATATTTTGCAACTTTCAAATCATACAGTTTTGGTATAGTAGTTTCATTTATAAATATAATTGATGTTTTGGGACAAAGTTAGAGTCAGTAAAAACCATGAGTGGAGACTCTCACTTTGTCCCAAAATATCAATTATATGATCGACCCAGTCAAAAGAGCGAAAACAGATTGTTAGTTTCATTTAATCATGAAATATAAATTAATTTATGTAATTATTTTAAAATAGGACGAAAACATATGGTATATCTTTTTGATGTCTACTGTTTGTATCTCATTGGTATTGAATGCTGAGTAATTAAACACAGTGTTCTCAATTTGCTATGATGTTAGGTTGAGTTTCCCAGAAGAGGCCGGCTACCATCTCACTAGCTCGGTACAGGAAGGTATCCTCACAGGTCATGTCGTAGAAGGCGTATCTTCTCACCTTACTGTACACCTCCTTACACTCTCCTATCAGCTCCTGTTCGTATACCACCCCACCGCTCACCCTTATCTGGACAACTCCGTCTTTCAGTGCGAATGTCCATGCAGTCTTACCTTCCACATTGCGCATTTTTCTCAATGCTCGTGGAGCTTGACACCCAATGCATCCCGTCAGGTAGATACCACTCAGACTGAACCGAAACTTTCCCAGCTCTTTGCCAGCTTGGTCGTAGAGTACGATCGTGTTGAGTTTCTTCCACTTGAGTTTGGTGGTGACCTGGACTCCCTGGTCCGATGTGGTTAGGTCTTGCTTCACGGTGCACTCTAAGTTGTTGCAATAGCTGCACTCGGGTGTCCAGCAACTGCAGGCTCCCACTTCCTTGTCGTACACAATGTTGTCAGGTTCCGCACTCGCTGTTGGTGTAGTGGATAAACCGGGTGTGGTAGCCGCCTCTTCGCTCTCAATGGGTCTCCCTCTGATGTAGAACCCTTCCATGTGTTTAAATACGATCCTGTCAACTTGTGCCCTTCCCAGTGCTGCACACTTCTCCGGTAGTCCTGGTTTGCGGGGGTTGACGTCTCCATCGTTAAAGTACTGCGAGTACTGCAGCTCTCCATCACATGTCAGGAGTACAAACTCTTCAAAGAAGTTCCAGGCCCAGATCTGTTCTTTTCTTCCCTGAGCAGGGAATGAGTTGTAGGCCTCGTACCTCACATCACATTCCTCTACATTCACATCATATCCTCTGTCGTATTTAATAGTGTTCCAAACCAGTCTCCCGACCTTGCTGTTCCAGCTTCCCTCGTGAAGCAACATCATCATAGTGCTGGACTTGTCCGTTCTGAACAACTCCCCGTACGGAGGGTTGGTGTCAAACACGTCTGGTAGGAAAGCTTTAACCTCCAGGATGTACTCCTTGAGAGGGAACATCACTCTCTCCTCGTTACTCTCTATTAGTCTCCACTCTGTCAAGGAGGGGTCTAATACGGCACTCTGGGCAATGCCCGCCACCGCCAGCACGATCAGCGCTAACATTTCCTGGAGAGTAGTTTTTAGTGCATATATCGGTTTTTAGGATACCATTGGAGGACTTCGCCGCTTCGACGCGCCGCGCGAACTAGCATTCTTGCTTTGTCGATCGTTGCCCTGCTTCGCAGAGCAATGATCTCGATGGGTTGACATCGTCAATCAAAGGATACCACTGTTTCAGATCTAAATCATATTGTAAATTGTTCACGTTGAAAAAAAACACGATATTGACGATTAAGACGAACTTATTGTTTATTTTTACGTGTAAAACAGCAATTCATAATCATATTTTGATGCAATTAGTGAGCTGAATACGATTTACACAACCCCCTCCTAGTTAGCCCTTATCATCTGTTAAGAGATTGCAAGATGGGCGGCACTTTAAACGCGGACTATACTTGAGACTACCATGACACTGCTCACTTGGCTCAAAATTATGAGCGCAACAATTACTAGTAATCAGCTAACAGCTTTAATTTAAAAGTTCTCAGTAGTTAATTTAATGGTTGTACAATAGTGTCAAAATCGAGTTACAACGTGAGAAAAAAGGTGCTCTGCTCTAAAAAATATCTGAAACGTTTCAAAGGATTTTATTGAATCAATAATGCACCTGAGATTTGGTTACTAAGCGGCGCTAAGCCTGTCATTCGGCCGAATCTCTATTTATGAACAATGTAGCCTGGGGTCCGATCCCCAGGTAAAGATTTGGAGGAGCATAAAGGGCTAATAAGATTTAATTTTAATTGTTCGTTGTATGAATTACCCTGGTTGTCACCGTGCACTAGACATTAATTAGAATATTTCAATACAGTCCAAACTGCACCTTATCTCACAAATCTAATATATCCATCGTGATATAATGAAATAATATTTAAAAATTAGTTTATAAAATATTTGTTTAAGAAGTGTTGCAGTAGTTCTACTCGTGTAGGCCTGCACTGCGGGGTAATTCGTACCCTTCCAGCTCCACAATGTCAAGATAAGGTGGAAAAGCAGGGCACCTTAAATCTGGTTAACTACCCTGAAGTCTGCAACTCATTGCCTACATACATTTGAACATTGTTCACAACTAATAACCTCTAATTTACCTTTAGTTTCCCTCTAGTTCACCTTTAGTTTACCTTGTAAGGGAGACATACTTTACTTACAGTCATTATTATTAAATTAAACCCTAAAAGTGGACCGTGATTAGAGTCCCCCTCTAAACAAAAAGATGTTATATTAACTTAAATGACCGTTTCCGAATGAAACCGAGAATGAAATCAGTCGTTCGCTTTTCACAATTTGAAATATGTAATCAGCTGAGATTTATCACATCAATCGTTAAATGTATGTGATATAATGCTCCAGAATCTGTGTTACTGATAAACATTGAGAAACAAATCTTCATCAGAAACCTGTCCAGTGTTCATTCTCAAAGCATTCTCAAAGCATTTCTTCCTCTATTTAATCTCCTAAGCTATGTTCAAAATATTCTCCCCCCAACGTCGGCAATGACACCGTTTCTATTTACCCTGAATCTCCCTCTGCTCACCTCTTTCTGCTCACCTTGCCAGCTCACTACATATCTATCCAACCCTCTGTTATGACACTGTTTCTCTCTACCTTGCACCTTCCTCATCTCACTGCTTTCTGCTCATATCATGTTGCCAGCTCAATACATCCTTCTCCAATCCTCTGTAATGGCACGGTTTCACTCTACCCTGCATCTTCTCACTTCTTTCTGCTTATGTTGCCCGCTTAATACATCCATATCCAATTAGTTATCTGTAATGACACGGTTTCACTCTACCCTGCATCTTCTCACTTCTTTCTGCCCATCTCGCTCGCACAATACATCCTTCTCCCCCCTCCCTCTGTAATGACACAATTTATTTCCACTTTATCTCCTTCTGTTATTACACATGCTGAGTTTAGTTTTATAGTCTGAAATGATTAATACAGAGATACAGGAAGTATAAAACCCAAATAAATTAATTTAATTTAAATTTATCACAGATCATAGTAGAAGTGTAGCACAGTTTAACTACCATACTATAAGTTACATCTTGATGCAAGCTAGTAAAGCCAAAGTATCTTGATTCTTGATGCAAGCGAACTACAGTGGAATTCTTATTTAGAACGGCCTTCTTTTACTTGAACATTTACAAATTTAAATTTATCACAGATCATAGTAACAGACTGAAGTGTACGAGACTACAAATATATATCTTGATACAAGTAAGCAGATATGGAGGAACGTTGAGACCAAATATGATGAGCACAGCTCTGCTTAAGCTACGAGACTACAGATATATATCTTGATACAAGTATGCAGATAAGGAGGAATGTTGAGACCAAATATGATGAGCACAGCTGTCCTTAAATAGCTGCTCCACTTCCAGTTCACTAACATTCAGTTCTTTTTAAGTTTAAGTTTGTTTAAGACTCTGGGACGATATTTCAACGAATGGTTATCCTTTCATGACTCTCGCCCAGACTCAAGACTGTATCCATTAAAGGCATCCACTCCCTTCTTTGATTTACGATATTTATCGTGAAAAAAATTAGAGTCTGTTATTTTTCATAAATAGGTGTAGTTCTTCAAAATAGGGGCAAGGGATGTAAATTTCGTCACATACGTCATTTTAAAATTTAGATAGATTTTCTTTCATATCAACAGTCTTTATTATAGTTGGAATGGATTTATACAAGAAATGTAGAAACCCATGCCAATTTTTCGTCACATTGAAATTATACTGTTGGGGCAGGAAAAGTGAATTTCGTCACATTTCAGTAACTTAGTAAAATTAAACTCAGCATTGTTAAACTTGAGTTCTAATTTGCTGAACAATAACCAACCAATAATTCCTGGAAGAGCATTGAATTCTAACGGCCGAGGTATGGTTCTTCAAAATAGGGTCAAGAAATGTAAATTCACCTCTTTCTTATGCTGAACAGGTACAAACCCTTAAAAAGTTAAAAGTAATCAAATGTGCAATGTGCATCACCTCTCTCTTGTGCTGAACAGGTACTTACTGTTAAAAGTAAACAAATGTACCTCACCTCCCCACGAGGATCCACATCTATAGTTTACAGCGTTATATATTAGAATATGCGACTGTTGTTTGATTTGTTGTAATGATCGGAGAGTTCTGTAAAATTGCAGTCACAATTGTGCTAGAGTATTTTTAGTATTTACGATCGATATCAGATCTCGATCCCTACATACTTCAAAAAATTAACCCCCCAACTTTCTGCACAATGTACTGGAATGTTTTTTTAAATGAATGATATAGAAATAAAATCAACGATTAAATTTTAGGAAAGCAAAATTAATTCCCTGGTTTCTTTAGTCAGCTTTAAAGTCGGAAAATCAAAAAATGTAACGTCGATACCAAACCGATTATTGAGCGATAATAGCTAAGTAGTTGATTCCTGGGTTGCAGAGTCCTCCTGATTCCTCGGTCTTTGTATGTGGTTTTTGTTCTCGTTCAGTTCTGTCCATATTTCCTTGTGTTATGTAATATTTACGTCTTCAGTTTACAAATCAGTGAAACACAAACATACTATGCGGGGGGACTACAGACCCCCTCAAAGTCCTTTACAACGTTACTGCCAGGTTACATAGCACTGAAAGTGAAAATCAATATCATCAGAAATTCAAATTCAAAGCAATGCCGTCATAGTATTACAAAGCCCCAAAACGCAACAATGCTTCAAACTCTATTATAACATGAGCATGCAAATAACATAAATCATCTAAAAACTGAAAAGGGTAAAATAAAATAAGAATATAAACTAGGTCAACTAAATAGTACTAATACAACAACTCATCTCACCAAAGAGATCCCTAGACACGCACGAAATAACTCAAATAATGTAAATAAGGTGAAAATAGGAACTCAATCTAGGTTCCAGGTACAACCACACGCGGGAAGCGTGAGCCGAAGAGAAAAGGCACATTACACTCAAGATTCAAGGTCCAAATTAATAAAAGCGATATATGAAGGACAAACAAATATGAACTACTCCAACATATCAACAGTCTACACATTCCTAATCAAATATTTTGATAACACGATCGTAAATATCTACCCCAAATTTACACCAGATATTAAGTTTAGAATTGTAAAACTTCAAAAACTTTTTGCGCAAGGCAGCAGGAATAAAGCCTTGATTTACAAGCTTCTTAACTAAGTCACAAATGTTACTATAAAATCCCTCTACCGTGGTATTAATGTTAGCGAATCTAACAAGCTGAGAAATAAATACCCCGTAAGAAAGATTCTTTGGGATATTCCCATCTAAAAAAGGATAAGAAATGACATTAAAACTATAGTCTTTCCGTTTATCATAAAGTGTTACTCTAAACTTGCCCCTGTAAATGCTAATACATAAATCTAGATAATTGCACTTACGCGGTGAAACATTAGTACAGTTTACAATCATCTCCGTAGGATAGATATCTCCTAAAATATTCCCTAATAGACCAATATCATTAAACGAAATAAGATCATCTTGATATCGAAATATATTTTCCAAACTCTTAAGTGCAACCTCATCACCATTTTCTATGAGTTTCTTGATATACTCATATTCAAACACATGTAAATAAGTATTAGCAATCTGAGGTCCTGCATTAGTCCCCATCGGGATCCCAATAACTTGCTTGTATATCTTGCCTTGATAAATAACAAAAGAATTATCGATCAAATAGTTAACACATTCTATAAGCTCATCTTTGGTGAAACTAGTCTTATTAGAACTACGTCCTTGGCTAAAATAAGCTCTTTTCGTATAAATATTAGGAATGATAAACGGCTTCTCTTTAAATCCAAAAACACGGTTGATAAACTTTAAAAGATTAGCTTTTAATTGTGTATGAGGAATGGAAGTATAAAGAGTAGAGAAATCGTAAGTATTAATAGATTTAGAACCCATTCTCAAGTTATTAGCGTGAATAAAATCTATAACAGGCTCGTTATTGTCTATAACATAGAAATCATTTCTCGAGTGAAATTTATTATCATAAAGTGACCTATTTTTAGCTGAATGCAATAAAGATTTAAGACAAATTCCCACATATTTAGAAAGTTGCTGTAAGCTACATGCAGCACCTGAAGTAATAAATCTAAAACCCACTGGCGATTTATGCTGTTTAGGGGTAATATATAAATACGGTAATTTACGATTTTCAGGTAATAATTTAATTCCATATTTTAACATAAACTTTTCATGTTCTTGGACAATGTCATCAACTGACCTGTCAATCATCTCGAAATTATCTGAAGCCAGTTCTTCATGAATCTTCGAAATGTAAAACTTCTTACATACAATAGTAATATTATTAGCAGCTTTATCAGTAGGTACTAACACATATTTATCATGCAAAATATCAAGTTCATGTTTCACGTTCTCATCAGAAAGAGTAGTATTATAAGGAAAAGGTTTACAGTTCTCTAACTGTCTCTTTACTTGTTCTAATATAAGTGCTTTCCATTCAGCAAACATTTCTATAGGTTTTTTATATCGCTCCGACATTTTACTACAATAATCAATAATTGCTTTTTTAGCAGCTTTAAAAGATAGATCAGTCGAAGGGGGTGCTTGATCCCGATAATTAAGTCCTTTAGATAAAACAGTTCGTAACTTATCATCTTTAATTAAACTGAGATCTCCTGTAATAACATGATTAAAGTGATTATCCCTAAAGGAACTAGACGAACAATCACATGACATCGTGTTAGGGTCAGAATAATCATCATAAGCCTCTTTATAATTTAATACTCTCGATCTAATAGTTCTAGGATAATGATATGTAATAGTAGGTGCTGATAAATTATTAGAGTTAAAAGGAGAAGCTACAGAGACAGCCGAATCTTTAAATATCTTCCTAAAATTAATAGACTCCACATGCTTGTTAACGTAGTTAACAACAAGGAAAAAGGAAGATTTAGTCTTCTTCACTCCTAATCCCATTCTACACAGATAGAACCAAGCAAGGTCTTTAACAAGTAATAGACGATACAGATGTTCTGTTCTGGCTGATGCAGTCTGAGAAATAGCTTGAATATAGACCCTCTTTAAATGAACTTTCTTTAAACTAGCTAACTGTGTTCTGATAGAATGAAAGTCTATAACAGAGGATCTGATGAGAGTGTCAAAGAAAGTGTCCTCACAAAATGAAGTAGCATCACCAGCATGAGGGACCTGTATCCCACCCCTTAAATGCCTATTAATCTTTACCACGTCGAATTTACTATAAATAGTTTCCTTCGAACCCATTACTAGACTGCTTGAGTCCATAACCCCAACTTTCTTAGCTCGTAGGTTAAGCCCATATGGAAACAACGTGTTAAGCTTAAGCATCCAAGTATCCTCTATATCTTCACGTTGTTTCAAGGTGGTAATATCAGGAAGAAGATGTACCGGCATAATAGAAATGTTCTCAGGACTATGAACCTCAGTGAAGTGTTCTCTCAAAACCCTATGTAATATGTTCAACGTTTTGAAGTGTCCTTTTTTTACTTATGGACACTTGAGGGGCGCTCATATATTAGAATATTAGAATAGGAGCTACAAGATAGCATATTGAGTTTTACTTGTGGACACTTGAGGGGAGTTCAAAGTAAATTTACACTGATCACTGATGCAGCCGGTTGCGACTGAGCGTTTTCATACTTTTGCGCCGTTTTAACTTTTGCATCGTTTCCGCAGATCTTAGATTTAAAGATTTCTTATGCGGTTCGATTATACCCTAGCTAGATGGTACGAGACGCGTCACGTAACTGATCAAGTAACGCGTCACGCCACGTCTAGCTAGGACCAAATACTCCATCACGTCACGTGATCGAGTATTTGTTAGTACCGTCTAGCTAGAACGAAGACCGCATCACGTACTATAACTAGTACTACTCAGGACGTCACGTCTAACTAGGAACAAATACACCATCACGTGATGGGTCACGTAGTCGTACCGTCTAGCTAGGGCCTTAGTCTCAAATCTTGTCATTGTCATCATCTCTGATACCTCATTAAAGAACGTCATAAAACCTCTTACCACATGAATTAATGTTCGATATGATCTTAGATCAAAACAGTTCGAAATAAATGAAATTTGAGCTGATCTAACATAACCAACACCAAAAGCTAAAGGTAACGCTGATCTGAGACACGTGGTGACGGATAAGGAATATGGGGTATAATGAAATCCCAGACAAATCTGATGATGAGCCCGCCCAGCTCGTAATCTACGGCAAAGACGAACATTTCAAGGAAGCCACCAAGTCGTGCAATTCTTTTGAGTCACTTTTGTTGGATGAGGTGACGGATATCAGAAAGGAGTATGGCTGGAATGAGTTTGTGTCGAAGCAGCCTCATGTGGCCCTTAAACTGATAGAGGCGGTAGGTGTTACCCTAGTTTCACATAGACTGACATGACTTACAGATTTACCGACATATTATCACTTTGACTGACACCTTTTTAAGTTTTGTGACTGTGTATTATTATACCGAGTTTATAATCCTTGTCTCAGTTCAAAGATCCCCTGATCATGATGTTGCTCGCTTCTGCTGTCATCTCACTCGCTACTCAGCAGTATGACGATGCTATCAGTATCACCGTGGTATGTCCACCTTCATGTAGAAATTTTCAAAGATTATGTGTTATTTAAGCTAAGATACACTACATGAGTCATGGTACATTAAAAGGATTGAAGGGGGTGAATATTATATCCATGCGCCATTATGTATTGTTTCCTCAAAAGGAACGTTGTAAAGAATAATTTCAGGCAGTGATAATTGTAACACTAGTGGGGTTTATCCAAGAATATCGGTCAGAGAAATCTCTTGAAGCCCTTAACAACCTTGTCCCGCCCATCGCCCACTGGTTGGTTGGTTATTGGAATTTATCTGAAAAAATGTCTACAAATCGAGAAAAATCGTTTTCTTTTATTATGGCTATCTCTTGTCGCGAATAAAGATTATCTTTTTTCATGCATTGAATTTGATAAATGTAAGATTTTGATCGCAGTGTCAGAAACGGAATGAAACAAGATCTGTTAGCCAGAGAGCTGGTACCTGGTGACATTGTAGAGATAGGACTTGGTGACCGAGTACCCGCTGACGTCAGACTTCTTCAGGTAATATATTACCTGCAGTTTGCAAAAGAGTTTAGGAGAGTCAAATGATTCATTTTGTTGGATCATCACTTAGTTTTGATAGATGGTTTTGGATCTTAAAATTGAATATTTTCCACTAAAACAGCACATTAAGGTCAGCTACATTACAATTATCTTCATAATATAACTGTAGTCTGTAAAGTAACGTTACCGAGCCACCCTCTATTTTCAGTGTACCGGGTTAGAACTGGACGAGTCCTCCTTCACTGGAGAAACCACCCCCTGTCGGAAACAGAGCGACCCAGTGGTCGCTAACAAAGGGGAACTGGCTGAGCTCACCAACATTGCCTTTATGGGCACTCTCGTGTGCAATGGGCACGGCAGAGGAATGGTTATTAGCACTGGATACAACACTCAGTTTGGAGAGATTTTCACTCTTATGGAGTCAGAGGTCTGAGATTGATTTCAAGACAATACAAATTTCTTGCGTTATTTTTATACGAATAGCTCCATTTGAGAGATTTGATACTATTTTTAATAATGACTTTGACAAGTTGCCGACTGTTTGTTGATTTTTAACCGTCAGGAAACGCCAAAGACTCCTCTACAAAAGAACATGGACAAACTAGGAAAGCATTTGTCCCTCATGTCCTTCGCTATAATTGGAATGATATTGCTAGTTGGCTTCCTCAAGGGACAACCCTTTCAACAGATGCTAAATATAGGCGTCAGGTATTTAAGTTTATTTTTAATCGACCCCAGTCATCAGCAGAAACATTTTCCTTGAAACTAGACAAATTTAATTTTAATCGCTGTCATCACACTAAATTATCTAACCCTCCACTTAACCCACAGTTTGGCGGTAGCAGCTATCCCTGAAGGACTCCCCATAGTGGTTACAGTGACCCTGGCTCTAGGGGTCATCAGAATGAGTAAGAAGAAAGCAATCGTCAGAAAGTTACCCTCGGTGGAGACTTTGGGGTGTGTCAATGTGCTGTGTGTAGATAAAACCGGTACCCTCACTAAGAACGAAATGACCGGTAAGATTATTTACATCAATAAGATTGTTTATCGCAATTCATTTATAATTGAATAATAAATTTATAACTAAACTGGCTGTAAGATATTCCAGATATCTCTATTTTCCTAGAATTGAATACTGAATGTCGATAACGAACAATTTTGGCCATCATTCATTATCCATGCCTCTTATATCATTGTTGCTCCATCCTTCAGTGACGGAAGTGACCACCAGCAGTGATAACAACTATAATTTATCGGGTACGGGCTACTTTGAGTCAGGTCAGCTTTTCCTAAACGATAAGGTTCTTACGAGATGTCCTGAAGATCTGGCTGTGATAGCCAAAATCGGTTATCTGTGTAACAACTCCCAAATAACTGACCGGGAAATGTTCGGTAACCCCACTGATGGAGCTCTCTTGGCTCTATCGCAGAAACTAAACATCGCGATAGAGGACACTGCCAGATTAGAGGAGCTTCCCTTCACTCACGAGAGGAAGTGGATGGGCGTGAAGTGTGTTTCCAAATCTACGGTAAGGGGATTTTAAATTCTGAACCCGTTTATTTTCCAGAATTTTGAATTATATCCAACTTAGCAAATGCAGTCGTTGATGGTTTCATGATTGTTAAAGAAAGGAGGAGTATGAATGTCAACTATTTTAGAGTGACAGCGGTATTTACTACGTAAAGGGAGCGACGGAAAACGTCCTCAAAGTGTGCTCCCATATACTGATAGATGGAGCTCTCCAGTTATTAAACTCAGAATCCAAAGATGCGATTATAAATATAGTGCAAGAAAAAGAGGACAGGGGCATGAGAAGTAAGTTCTTTTTAACTCTAAATTTTTCTAGTCAGCGGACTCGCGCTGTGCATTTTTATTTTCAAATAGTTATAGAACATAAAGTTACTACTAAGTAACTTTTTTATCGCCTATGATTTTATTTTTTAAGACGTAATTTGCTGAGCATGTAAGTTGCACAAAATTTTGTGATTTTTTTTCAATGAAGTTCCCTGCAGCGTTGTCTTTATGCTACGGAGGCACGATGAATAGTCTCGTCTACGTTGGCAACGTTGGTATTGTGGATCCTCTCCGAAACGAAGTTCCAGACGTGAGTTTTCTGATTCAAGTGTCGACTATTTTAAGATAACGTCATCAAAAGGTCTGCGCAAAACACCGAATAATTTATCTGAGACCCTAGCTTTCCCCAATAGGCTCTGATATTAGTTCGCTTTTTTCAGACAATCCATGAACTACATGCCAATAGCATAAACATAAAGATGATCACCGGAGACTCCAAGAACATTGCCATTTCTATCGGCCAAAAACTTGATATCTACAAAGGGAGTGATACAGCCCTTAGCGGTAAGCAAAGAACAAAACCATTAAATGAGGTCTAATGATAATATTTGACAGTTTTCTAGACCTAAAGACTTTTCGATTCCCTTCTATTTGATGGATTTTTCTAGATTAACTTTCGTGGTGTAAGTATTTGTAATTTTACAATTACATATTTTAATTAAATTAATGTAAATACAACAACTATTTTATATAATAAATGTTGTACATTTATTTAATTAATGTTATAATACCAGGAGATATGATAGACGGAATGAGCTCGGAACAGCTTGCCGACGTCATCAAATCAGTTTCTATCGTATACCGCTCAACTCCCAGGCATAAGATGAAGGTTATCAAAGTAAGTGTCCCCCCCTCCCCCCCCCCCCCCACCCCCCACCCCCCGTAGTACCCGTAGCTTAGTAAGTCGGTACTCTAACGTTTCTTGCACTTTCTGGCGTGCTTAAAGTAAGAAAGTTTTCACTTTACCATGACAATGGATACAAATTGTCACGAAATAGACGTTTCGTTTTCAATAAATTCAAAATATTTAATAAGGTATTTGTAAGTACCCTATAAAAGTTAAAGAAATAATTTAAAAGTTACGAAAACAACACCACTGAAAATAAAGTATAATGAAAAAGCCGCTAGGCAGTGTCCTCTGATACGATTTTAAAATTCTACACTAGCAAACACTATCATGACGGTACCTCACACTTCAAAAAAGAGTCAACGTCCAAGTTAATGTCCTTATCTGAGTATTTCATTAGTGAGTCCGAACTCTCGTCGCTCAATTTAACTTCTCTCTTTTCCATCTCCTTTAAGAGTGTAGATTATGATGCCGACGCAAGTTATCCCCATCCCTGCCATATAACAGGCATCGTAGGACAGCTTCAAGAGGTGAACCCCTGCCACGGCTGCAGAGAGGTCCTCAGCCAGGATATTGATAGTCGCGGCTGAGTCCGCTACCAAACTTCAGAAGCATTTTGGGCATGATGGAGTAAAAAACAAACTGGGAGACTCCCAAAGCTACCATATACAATGTTATGGTTGGATTATTGCGTACAACTTTTATTAAAATTCCACCCTCCAGAGCCGCTACCTTCACAAGGCTGAGCCCTATCGCATACCAACATACCGTTCCCATGTACTCGTAAATGCCCACTTACTCAATGATCCACTCCTGACATATTGTACTGACTCAGGAGAGTAAAGCTCCCAATGCACACATGATATCTCCTTGTATATTGGCAGAGTCCTTGGGATCGTAGTCACTGTACACTATCAGCATCACACCCAGAACAGAGAGAAGTATGGCTCCGTATTGGTACCAGCTATACGCAATAAAACGGTAGCTATATTGAAGCCGAAGTTAACGGGTGATACTCGTAAAATATTTGTTTCAAATATCAACAGGACCGTCGACGAGTCCAACTCGGCGCGCGTCCTGGTAGGTTATAAACCTACAAAGCCGAAGGGCTATTCCATAGAAACATTTTAGCTACCCGATATCAAAATTCAAAGAATCTCAAAATTTGGTGATTTCAACCCTTGAGTATGAAATCCAGTGTCTCATTTTTTTTTCGTTTGAGAAAAAGGTTTAAAACAGCCAAAAATGGTAACAATTGGACGGAATTATAACCAGCAAGCCTCCCAGTGATCGTACTATGAGGTCTGGTCCGGTTCCTTGTCGATTTAATAAATTTTTTATGCAAAATATAAATTAACTCCCGTTTTAAATTTGCAGGCACTGCAATCGAACGGTCTGATCGTAGCGATGACTGGGGATGGTGTAAACGACGCGGTTGCTCTCAAATGTGCTGACATTGGTATGTCTTGTATTTTGTATTACTACAATCAGACCAGACTAACTAAATTGTTCTGCTCACAATTCACAGTCTACAATTGTTCTATGTCGTCTTACTCGGAAGAGCTTGGAAACGCCCAAAACTGACTGAGAAGATTCGTAAAATCAGTTTTGCCCTTAATCAGTATTGTAACTTTATCACAAAAATGCAGTCAGGTTATGTCAAGTACTCGAAATGTCCGTCTGTAAGACTAACATCTTTCTTTTACAGGTATTGCCATGGGCAAGGGCACAGATGTATGCAAGGAAGCTGCAGAAATGGTCCTCGGTAATGATGACATGTCTGCAATCGTGGAAGCTGTCAGAGAGGGCAAGAACATTTTCCTCAACATCAAGAACTTTGTTCGCTTCCAGCTTAGCACGTGAGTATAAAGCTGCTCATGTTGAACAGCATAATATCCCATGTTGTTACTCGGAGTAACTTATCTCTATTTACACGTGCTGGTTACTAATAGAGACTAAAAAAGATAAAAGAAGTGTACAACTTGATATGGCTAGTTTGAAGTATATGATTTGTTAATATTTTCCCCTAAGGTTGATTAGAGTGATTATTGACCTTCGGTAATTTGCAGGTCCGTATCGGCGCTAATGATAATCGCAATTACAACATTCCGGAACATTCCCTCACCCCTTAATCCCATGCAGATCCTCTGGATTAATATTATCATGGATGGTCCCCCAGCTCAGAGGTTTATACATCATGTTGTCTCACTGATCGATTCTGTCTGTCTGTTTGTTATTTTTTAACTGTCTCACCTCTCATGACTGTCTTTGTCTATTTGTTGTGTTCTCTGTGTGTCAACTTAGATCCTTCTTCGTAAACTACGGTATTCCAATCCTCTTGCAACATTATCTTAGAGAAGAATTGTCTTTTTTTATCTTAACTGTTACAAGCTCGATTTGACCACGCCTAGGCCCTAGAGTTGAGATCTCAATTGAGTAAAAGAGTTAAGGCCACAGGGGGGGTCGAGGCTTCAAAAAAATGCAAAAAAACATTATGCTTTGAATCAATATATATTTTTGTGGTGGATACTTTGCCACCACTCATTTGTCTGTAGCTATTTTACTTTTTTTAATAAATGAGGTTAACCAATTCTCATTTAACCTCATTTTTTTGATAAATCGATAATGGAGGGCAGAAATATTGATGCCATTACAACTGAAAACTACGATAAGCTTTGTTTTTATTGTTTTTGTGTTATTTCAGCAGTTAAACTTTGAAAAATATACAAATAAAGGCAAAATACTCAAAAATCACATAACATAAAAAACAGTTTTTTGCCTCTCCTGAAAACCTCGAATTTTTGACTTCAAAATCTATCTTCTCCTAGAGTTTTTATCCATTTCACCTCAAATTTGGAACTTATGTTCCTGACATAAATTTAAAAGTTTGTTATGTAACGATTGTTGTAATTTTGCTCCTAACTCTTTTTATGAGGTTAACCATTTTAAATTTTGTTACCCGCACTCATGGTTAACCTCATATCTCAGCTTTGGAGCAAGATATCATAAATCGTTACATAACAAAAACTCAAAATACCTTGATGAACACTGTTGCCAAGTTACAAGGTTCTAAGTCATAAACTGAAAAAGAAGATAGATTTTGAACACGATTTCATTTAAAGTTTTCATTTACAATAGAATTACAGGTAAACCTCAAAATTCAACGCGCGATATCTTCAAATAGGAAACTTTGTTTTCGGTAAGGACAAAAGCATTTGAAAATTTAGATCGAGCTCTACAACATATCTCAAAATCTCAAAATCGGCCTCGGACCCCCCCCCCCCCCCCCCCCTGTGGCCTTAAGGGCTTGCTTACTATGAACTTATTTTAACTCACAATTCACAGTGTACACTACAAAGTAATATAATAAGTAATCACTAAGGAGGAGGGAGGGGTTTCTAAATGATAACGCTAGTTTAATTTAACACAATAGCCATGTGTAAAACTAATTACGGAATGGGGGTCAAAAATTGGCCAAAAAGTGATAACATTATAATATGTAAACACCCCCTTAATCTAACTGTCGCGCAGTTTGGGCGTGGAGCCGATAGACAGTGGTGTGGTAAACTCGCCACCTCGACTACCCAAGAAACAGGTGGTAGATCTGTACATGCTGACTCGGGTTTGTGTCTCTGCCGCTGTTATCATCTCGGGGACTCTGTGGGTCTATAAGAATGAAGTGAGTATTACACGAGCGTGAAACTGTTGTGTGGGGTTACTGAGCATTTCATGTAATCACTATCAGTACCGCCTTAAATGAGGCTTTCTTTTAAATGGATTATAATCTTCAGTAAGTGATGTCTTCCTTTCAATATACATTCAGTTGGGATTAAGTCTCTATTTTTTTTAATCGTAGCCTTAGATTTTAAACTGAGCTGTTTCCGAGAAATCTGAAGCACTTTTTCACTTTTATATTTGCTCAAAACTTATAGCTGAAAACGCCTGCCATGATTTCAAAGAAATCCTTCAATAGTGCATGATCACTCTTGCATCTATTTTTGATGAGTTCAAATCATGGAATTCCTTGATTTCGTTTGCTGAATCGTGTCATAAGTCAAATTGTATTCCTTATCTTGAAGAGAAGTTATTTACGTGCCAGTTGGATAATGGATAACCTGTTACTAAGTTTTGTTTTAGATGGTTGACGGTCAGGTGACAGCACGTGACACGACGATGACATTTACCTGTTTCATCTTCTTCGACATGTTCAATGCTCTGTCTTGTCGGTCTTTGGTTAGTAAGGAGTACTCCTTCTATTTATCTACATTATTTTCTTAGTTCTTTAATCTCAGTCAAATAACAAATTGCTGCAATAAGAACTGCGTATTACACACGTCTAACATTATTTTTGATCCTTAAACTATTTTGCTTTCAGACCAAATCAATACTACAAATAAATCTGTTCGGCAACACGACTTTTTTCTTCGCAATCTCCGCATCTATTCTCTCGCTATTTGGACTCATTTATTTTCCCTTTTTACAGACCATATTTCAAACCGAGGCTCTTGCCTTGGATGACATTGTCATGCTTGTTTGTTTGAGTAGCAGTGTCCTTATCGTCGACGAGGTCTTCAAACTATTATTAAGAGTTTTTGGAGGTGATAAAAAATTGACAGCTAACACATCAGAAGACACTGAACACTTAATACCGTAATCTTTCACAGATTATTTAACGGTTATTTTATGTGATATTGGTTGAAGGATTTAATGCATTATTGATAGTTTATACTTATAGTTCTTTTAAATGCATTTGTGAACATTTAACCCGTTTCGTTTTATGATCAATGGAAATTAGAAATAGCTTAACTTTTTTACTGAAGCACAAGAATCCAAAGGTTGTGAAGTTAATGACAGTGTTTTTCAATCATATTCAGTTTCATGACTTTGACCCAAGTTGTATATGGTTAAATGCAAATACTAGCGATTACAATCACTAATAAATTAATCGTATACTCGAAAATCTCGCGCTGTATTGCAGCAAAATGATCTGCAGAGGCAGAGCAGACTGCACGAGTAATTATGGAACATGTATGTTCTTAGTTCTAATTATCAAATGTATCCTTTATATTACTACATAAAGGCACCAGTTGGTAATGATACGGCATGTTTTTGCAAAGTAAGCGGTACTACGATCAGCATTTGTCTCCAAAGAGTCGAGTTGCAGCAAATTTTTCCACATTATGTGGTGAATGTGAATATGCAGCTAATATGATATGAATTTGTAGGTTTATAACCTACGTACCAGGACGCGCGCCGAGTCGGACTCGTTGACGGTTTGGAACAAATATTTTACGAGTATCACCCGCCGTTAAAACTAAATATGAATGTGAATATGCAGCTAATATGAATGTGAATATGCGGCTAATATGAATGTGAATATGCGGCTAATATATATAATTGTAATAAATTACATGGTACAGGTTGCTGCAATGTGCAATGGGATCGGAACGGTCAATGATCCACTACATTCTAAATTATATAAGCAAAAGAGCTGTATACAAAGTGCAAAGTGTAACCCAACTCAATATCGGTCATTGACGGATTTTACTCGTCTAATTAATTTCTTCGAAGTAGCGTTCGCCGCTTTCTTCTCGAAATATTGCCCGATGGCAATTGATTCACGATGTCAATCCTTCGCAGCTCGGTGAGGCACAGTGTGAGTGGTGCATCTCGCCGATCTACCGAAGTTGGTGGTTGCGAGAAGAGTTATTTGATGCGCGGCGCGACCCAGTAGTGCATCGCGCTACAAGATGGCAAGTGCTACGAACAACGAAGTAGCGCGCGCCGGGCCAGACCATTAACAATGGTCAATATCGGTCACTGATCGATGATACGAAATAAATGTCACCGCTTCAATTCCCAGAGCTAGGTCCCAAGTTGAGACATTCGGCAGGGAACCAAAATATCACACCTACTTTAAAGTTAACCTAACCATGTGTTTTCGCGCTATACTACTACTTATCTGGATTGATAAAGCAAACTTTAAAGTACTAGTTTCAATAAGTTCTCAATCGGAGACTGAAATATCTATATAGGGGTCGTTCACATAAAGGGGTCGTTCACATATTAAGTAATCAGCCGATAATATAATATAAGGGGGAGGGTTTCTAAATGATTATGCTATGTGCTAGTTTGTCATACGTTGTATGATCCGCCGCGCACGAAGTGCGCGGCTCCCCCTGTATCGTCACCATAGTGAACGACCGTGGGGGTCGCAACGTGATACAAGTGATACAAGCTATTGCTGCGCACGTCACTCAATTAAGAAAAGTGTCATTTGGGCCGATCAAAAGTGTGCAACTTTTGACAGATGTTACTCGTCTAAATTTCTTCGAAGTAGCGCGCGCCGCTTTCTTCTCGAAATATTATGGCCCAATGGCAAGTGCCCGATGGCAAGTGCTACGAAGTAGCTTGATACATGTTTCGTATCCAAATATCAGAGATCTTCGCGCGCGAAAGTGAAAGTGGCATGCAACGTATGTCAAGCGCGTGCCGGGCCGGATGATGATTAATCACTCTACACTCGACTGTCACGTGACTTTTTCAACCCGTTCTCTAGCTGGCTCTGAAAGACTATTTCGAAACCCTAACCCTCTAGTCCGATTCCAACCCTAACCCTAACCCAATCCATAAAAAAGCATAATATGCTGAAACCCTAACCCTAACGAGAAATTAGACTAACTTCCTTATATGGTCATATCACGTGATCGAGACAGTTTTTCGCCAATATCTCGTCAGGGGAGCATTTTAACCCTATGTCATGGGGGGTGGTTCAGAATCAGCGTCCGAAAATACATCGATTGAAGGTGGTTTCAACTGTCGGGAGCCCTTTTAAAACAATCTCGAAGATCGACTGTAGAGTGATTTAGCACGCTCGTGCAGATCAAGTGTAAGAAGCAGTTCTTACTATTATCTCTCAATCGAGAGAATGTCCTTTTGCTAAAGTTGGCATGACAACCAGATGATTTAACGCACAATGTAACCTGACACCAGGAGCTTATACTCCAAAAGATTACTGTAGAGAGTCAAGAGGGTCAAGGGAGTCAAGAGGGTCAAGGGAGTCAAGAGGGTCAAGGGAGTCAAATTTCTTATATAAGGAAGCGATTTTGAGTTCAGAAGTGTCCAGTCGGGTTTGAGTTTGTATTGACTAATAGTTCTACTACTCTACCTGTTGTAAGATTGTTTGGCTCTTCCCTCGGGGAGAGACATAGTCTTAACTGGACAGCCTCTAGGAACAAATTTGTAGTAACTCTCTGGAAGGAGAGGCTTTGATCTTGTGATAGTGTTGTTGTCATACGTTGTATGACCCGCCGCGCACGAGTGCGCGGCTCCCCCTGTATCGTCGAAACTCTACAGTGAAGCGACCGTGGGGGTCACCACGTGATACAAATAGTGTTGTACTTCTTCATTATAATAATTCATTAAACTTAACTATGAGTCTCACTTGTCCAAACCTTGAATCATACTTAGAGACCGCCTGCACTAGCAGCCTCTGAACTTTTACGGTCCTTGGCATATTACTTACTGAACTGGGGTTTAACCTCTGAAGGTCCAAAGGGATCTTCTAGGCCACTCACTCTCAAATAAGTAACTAGTCATCTATCTGGACCAACTATAAGCCTTCGAGTAAATAGACATAGATTTCTAACGTTACACAAGCCGTAGCTGCTTAAATGTTAAATTAAACTACCTTTAGTAACACCGCCAGCCAGTAAGTTTTGCTGCGTCTGATCTCGATTCATGAAGTTTGAAAGTAGTTATTATATATTACTATGCGCGCAATTTGGGTATTTTGCGTTTGTGAGAAATATAAACTGCGCCAGTTATAAATTTCACAAAGCCATGAGTTTGTGTTTGGGCAAGCGATTTAGTAAGCGCGTATCTGGTATCACAGCAACCATCATGCTTTATGCAGTTTTATAGCTTTATACTTTATAGTGGCTACAATAATGATACTGTCCCCTATTGCAGATACCAAAATAATTGATATTCCTTATAGAATTAAAGTCCATCGCTTCGCGTCATTTTAGATTTTAGTTGCAAAAGCTGAGGACTTGTGGTTTGTTCATTTTTTGCAGTAGCCTCATTTTGGAGGTCAAAGTTCAAGTTTAATTTTATTCACATAACCTGGTCATTAAAAAAAGCTTTAAACAAAATACCGAAAAGTATTTTTTCCTTTTCACCCTTTTGAAAAAAGGCAATAGTGAAAGGTTACGAATGGACGTTTTTGCAGAAAAACGTGGATTTTGGAGATAGCGGTAGGTGGGTCAAATATATGTCGTGTTCCTTACTTGCTTGCTTCCGTTCGTTACCATGTCAACTTGCCGCGCGCACGCGCACGGGGATTGCTTGCGGAGATGTGGTGTATAGCTAGTCTGTGGTCAATGAATGCGCGGCACGAGCGTATTTTAATGTATACTAGTAATGTATAGTATTTTGTAATAAGCCCAACTTGAATGTGGCACGCCTAGTCTACTGATGTTTCAATATTATTATTGTAAGGTGAGCTGATTAGAGCTTATATTAATAGTTATAGTGAAATGGAAATCTAGCGTCCGCCAAAACGAAACAACGGGCGCAATTCTTGTTAATTGTCAAGACACTATCTTATAAAGAATGAATTAATAATTTAAACAAGGTCAGCTGTGGTAAAATCTAATTCATTTTTATCGTTTAAAATCAAAACCTAGTCAAAAGTAAGGGAGAATTCACCTATTATATATTACTACAGCACCAGCCACCGACGGTGAGGCATTTTGAAATCCAGGGTGTCAAGTGACAATGCAGTTGCATCCCAGACCCTTTTGACAAATAGTGAAAGATTATCTAATGGATAACTTTACGTACTCTGCACTGACTGGTGGTATGGGACAGTCTCATGCTTGGAGTGATTATCATATACTATATATTCAATATTATTTACAATTGCCAAACAGTAATACGCAAAGTGGCCATCACTGTGGAAAATCTGATTTTCTACATCATTCTTTATTGTAACTGTCTACCCTTATTTTAATTCATTATTTTCAGTTGTGTAGACTATAGCCATGTACAGCCCATCAGCAGAGCTTAATGCATACATTCTTGACTACAAGGCTCAGAAATCTCTAAAAAACTCTCCATTTTCAACACCTACTAGAAATCTGTACAATGTTGACAGCTTGTCGTCTAGTAAAAGTTGGCTTCAAGATGTTTTAACGATGCCACCTGAGTACAAGAACAAAAGCAGATCAACTACACCTTGTTCACCTCCAACCCAGGTGGTTCCAAATGGTTCAGGGGACTCATCTGTCGCACAGTGGCTCAATGAAATTGACGATAAGATCTCAAAGCGATTTCCCAAGGTCAGTAGTCCACATTCATATATCAGCCAAACTGCTGATAATGACGATAATGAATCAATTGGAAGTGACAAAACATTAGAACTTATTATGGCTGATCCTCAAACTGGGTTACTCAATTCGTGTCATTGTGCATCATATGATAGTCATCCAAATGCTTCAAATAATATCATGAAATCTCCTGATGGTAAGAAAGGAGAGGCGTATTACTGCGATTGCAGTGATCTTAGAGCCCCTGCATGGGTTGATGATGTTATCAATGAGAAGGATGTGTGTAGTACATGTTCCGAGGTAGATCTCACTTCTTATCGTCCTGAAAGCAAAGAGCATTCTGTTAACTTACCTAATGGTTACAAACTATTTGAAAGTAAAACAAAGACGAAGCCTGAAAAACCTCTCAAGCGATCTAAAGGCAAAAAGAAAAGTTCTTCCCGGGTTGCAGATGAAAAACTCTTCTTTAACGAAACATCTAACTCTCAAAGAGTTTCTCCGGAGACAGAAAACGTAATGAAATTATTGGAACGAGCTATACACCAGCTTCAGGAGGTTAAAGGTGCTGTGGAGGATAACACTGTCAGCGCAATCACCTCTGACATCAGCATCACCAGTCAGGCTCTTTCGGAACTGCCAGTCGATTGAAATATTAAATTGGAGTGTGGCATGTTTGATATGATATTTCATACTATTTCTAATATTTAATGAAGATTGATCATGAGTTAATATGATAGAATCTATACGATATAATGCATTCGTTTTAAGACCAATACAAAATTTATCCTCTTAATTTTATGATGATCTCAATTTTCATAATTTTATCATTGTTTTCATACCTTTACTACAATTCCTTATTACCTGATCAGTTTTCTACCTAAATTTGCCTACTTGACATTTTGTAAATTCGACATTGATTTATTTAGATCCTGAAAACACCACTGACTTGTGCGTAAGACACCAAAAATTAATTGACCCCACAAATTTGCTATATTTCTTTATTACATAAATCGTAACATTTCTGGACTATATTCTGACTTACCTATAAATTATAGGAACTCTATTTTACTTCAAATTGTGTTAGGGTTTACATTTTTTGTGAATTCAATAAAGTTATTACCACGTTTCCAATCCTAATATCATTGTTTCATTGCATTCCAGCTGACCCATACAAACTTCATGTAAAAATGAATTGAATAGTTCACCTCTAGCTCTATTTGTTAATGGTTATTTTTTGTTTTTATAATTATATTCGACATGTAATTGGTTCATTTATTTTCCTCAACTTATATCACAGGAAGAGACATGTGGCTCTACATGTACCCGCATTTTTGCTACATTTTGGTGCGGTATTTTCCTTTCCACAACAGACGAACTCTCAGGATACTACTGATTGGAGCTACCTTTATCATGCTCCTTCCTCAGCTTATCATTGTTCAAGGTGATCCTAATGTACTGATCTGTTCCCTTCAATTTGAAATATTTTTATCTTACTAATGTTTGCTGCACAACTTTAATTGAGATCGTCGTTTAAAAAACTGTGTTTTTTCAGATCCCAGTAACTGGCGTGACTGTGACAGGAACCTTCTGCAGCTCCTGATAACAAATATAATATTTACTGTCACTATGATGTGTTTCACAGTGATATTCTCTATTATGGAACCTATACCCTGGATTATAAAGAATACATTCCACGGCTTCGGAGGTTTTTAGTGGAGATCATCTGATTGTTTTGCCAACTTCTAATATACTTTTAGTTTTACAGTTATTCTGCATATGTTAAGAAGTTGATATAGTGATTAGTTTTAGTTAGAAACTCATGAGATACGTATCTTATTTTAGAATTAATGGCTAAGATACTAACCACTATTTTCAGGAGTAGCGTTTATATTTCAACTGGTACTGGACGCTAAATCCCTCACTAAAGATGATTACTGTTCAGTGACAGTGCCACAGCTTTACACTTACATGTACATTCTTGCTGTTGTGGGTGAGTTGAGATACTATGTACTTTTAAAGCTTTTAAAGAAAGCTTTTACACAGCGATATGTATTTAAAATGCACATGACGGTTCTCTACATATCGGTGTTGTACCTATATATTTTTAGATTTTTAATATTCGTTTAGTTTGTTACCATTTACCGTCCGTTTAACAGGTACACTGTGTATGGTGTTCTATGCTGTGATGGTCCCCTTCTGGCTTCTCAACTACTTCAGAAGAAATTCTCTCCTTAACAAAACCACCAGAGAAGGGGTCTGCTGGCCAATTGTTGACTGTTGTGGTTGTATCTGGCACGTTTAGTGCACAAAGTAAATATTTCAACAGAAATCAAAATTCTGAAAAGAACACATGTTTGGTGTCCTCATGATCATATTGTAATGAAGCCAATTTAATTTTTATGAATGTTTTGATTTAGATGTAAATTATTGCTGACATTTTCGTTATTGAATAGTTCACTGAAGTACAGTTTTTTACATTTAGAACTTTAGTAAATTTTATAGTATTAATAGTTATACGATTAGTTGTTCAGCTATTTTATAGTTGCTTATTTGAAAATGCAAACATGTCAATTACATTTATTGTTCATAACATTGACATTTATTGACATCTAGTTTTGTATTTTATCCTTTTTAAATTTTTAGTTTGATTATTTTTTAGTTTAATTATTTTTATTGATCATGATATAGTAATAGTATATAGTATTATATTAGTAACTGAAATATTGTAAAGTACTTAAATACTTAAATCAGTAAAATGTTTGAATGAATGCTTTGACCCTTGATTTCTATCTATGGACTGGTATAGTTTACCCTTACCCAAGCTAGGCTTGGTAATCCATCCCTCCCCATTTTTGCCAGCTGTGCTTCGACAGATTCCCGAGTTTTAAGATAACAAATAATAATTATCTCCTGCCAATTAATTGTTAACAAGTAACATGTAATGATACTACAATTTATTAATTGTTTGATAACACCACCTGTTTGATGTTGTAGCTAGTGTAAAGGAAGCCAGCACAACAACATCATCTCTGTAACCTGGTCGAGATGGAGGCTTCCTTGGAGGATAAGGTTAGTTTAACAGTTGCCATGGTAAATGTTACTGGAAGGGAGGAGTAGGAGGGAGGGAGGGGTAGGAGGAGGGGGAGGGAGGGAGGGGGAGGGAGGGGGTGCTGTGTGGTTTATAATATGAGAAATGATATCCTTGTACAACGAGCGTTTAGTTTATGTTATCTATTACTCCAGGTTTACGAGCTGACAGCGGAGAACACAGCACTAAAGAAACAGAGACACTCACAGGATGAGAAAATGAAACGTCTAGCTACTAAAATACTCAGATTGAAATCAGACATGAAGAAATTGCAAGGTTTATTATCTGAATTTTTGTGGAAAGTACAACAGTCTTAATACTATATTCTAAATGTGAAGCGTGGGATAAAAATTGTTGGGACAAGAAAGAGATATTGTGGGTTTGATATATAACGTTCAGAGTAAACTAATCATTTCTCAAATTCCAGTTGGAAAGCCTACCAAGTACACAAATGATGTGGAAGTGGTGGAAGATTTAAAGATGAAGGTATCCCAGCTAGAGGGGGAGATATCTAATCTAAAACAGAAACTTTTACTGGCTAAAAACCTTACTCCTGACCAGAACAAAAGCAAATCTCAAAAGGGATACAGCTTTGTGGAACCAAGAATAGACACTGGACTACCCTATAAACAAGGTATTTAGGTACTGGTAATTAGGTACTGGTATTTAAGTATTTGGTATGGGATTCAGAAGACGTAGTTACGTGGAATGATTATTTCTATTCAATAAAGTTTCTAGCTTAAAGTCTGCTGCTTCAATTTGTTCGCAAGTTAAGAGTGTAAAGAGAAATTCTCCAAGAGAAATCAAGGATTCAGATATGCTGTGTTTATGTATCTTTAAATAATTTGATATAATTATATGAGTACTGATCTGTACTGTTAACACAGGTGGAGTAGTAACGCCGGGGAGGAAGACTCCTGCTAGACAGCAGAAACCACCCCAGTTCCCTCAATATGGACAGAGTGTGTTAAATAACGCCAAAATGGAGATAGAACAGTTGGATGAGATAGTGGACCAGCTCAAATACCAACTGCAGGTATGTGAAACTAGGGTTTTTTCTATAACCTTTTCCATAACTTTGCTAACAATTTCGCTCGGAAACAAAATCGGATTACTTTTTGGTAAACTATTCGAGATTTTAATTGATTGACGGGGTGATCAACAGGCATTTTAATTACAACAAATTAATCTACGATGTTTGATATTTTTTGTTGTAGGCTTTATTTAGACTTCATCTAGTTCATCTAGTTCATCTAGTAGATCACAGATCCATCACATTCCAATCAATCGAAACACGTACATCATAACAAGCAAAATCTATACTTTATACAACATGCAACACAAAGAGCGACTCACTAAAATGTAATAACGTACTTAAAATAAGAACGGTAAAATACAAAGGAAATACAAATTTCTGAATAATCTATAATTATATATGGTGAAATGACGTCTTTAAATGGCTAAATTAGAGGTTGTTTTAGAGGTTGTTTTAAAAAGCTGTTTTCATAACAAATATCTACATTTTACCTTCTGGTTCACTGAGTGGGGTACCAACAATGCAAATATTTAGCTCTTGGATATTTAACGGTTGTAGTGGGTTAACAAAGTTACAAAAGCTAACTTATATTAAAAATGATATTGCAATATCCAGAAACTTATCAATACAAAATCGTAAAATGTTCATTTGGGCCTTGGGGGCTCAATACTCCAATTGCCCAGTCCAATCTTTACTTCAAGTGACTGGACCCAGATTCAGCTGCAATCTGTTGTCTTCTGTTATCTCCCCCGAATTACATTTTCTCCCCGATATGATACAGCTTAATGTTGTAAACACTATCGAAGCTAGTACAAATATACTCAAAACTTTCCATACGAAATCAACTGAAATTATTAAATGATTATCAAATTTAATGTCAACATAAAATCCGATGGAATAATTGTTCCATATATATGTATATCTGGATTATTGTTTAGATCTTTTCCTGGGACCTTAAATCTAACTATCTTAAGGGGGGGGGGGGGGGGGGGGCCAATGGATATTTTTTTGTGAAACTTGATTTCGAGATAGCAGTTGACCAACAAACTAAGACCAGTGACCGAACTTTTGAGGGGGTCCCGGACCCCAACCGCCAAACGGTGCCCGCGGGGCAGCCACGCCCATATTTGGTCCAAATTAGGCCCAATTTAGCCAAATACTCTGAACATGCCCAAAACCCAAATTTTAGGTGCTCTACTTGTAGCTAGTGGTCTCTTGAAGTCGTATATGAAATTTCATCAAGATTGGACAAAAAATGACTGAGTTATGAGCCAAAAACCATATGCCCATATTTGGGAATACGCACCAAATTTGGTAGATTTCGTCCCATAAATTGGTCAAATATCAATATTTTTCACTGAAACTTACTTTATATGAAAGGTAAGCCTAAACTACATATTCTTTGTAAGTTATAGCTTTATATCTGTTTAAATGTGGATACTAAGGCGAAAAGACCACAAAAAATGAACTAAATTGCCCATATCTTGGTTCGCGATATTCGCGGAATTGATCTCATTAAAATTGTAACAACTCAATCAGTTTTCAAAATTTTTCCATGAAATTTTCGGAATCGACTCGAAATCGCATTTCCACCTTAGTTTCAGAACAGATTTTTGATTAAGGCCTCAAAATAAATTTGGCGGCCAAATTCTGAATTTCTCCGGGAAAATTTTGGAATTTGGCCGCCAAATTTTTTTGGAGGCCTAAATCAAAAATCTGTTCTCAAACTAAGGTGGAAATGCGATTTCGAGTCGATTCCGAAAATTTCATGGAAAAATTTTGAAAACTGATTGAGTTGTTACAATTTTAATGAGATCAATTCCGCGAATATCGCGAACCAAGATATGGGCAATTTAGTTCATTTTTTGTGGTCTTTTCGCCTTAGTATCCACATTTAAACAGATATAAAGCTATAACTTACAGAGAATATGTAGTTTAGGCTTACCTTTCATATAAAGTAAGTTTCAGTGAAAAATATTGATATTTGAACAATTTATGGGACGAAATCTACCAAATTTGGTGCGTATGCCCAAATATGGGCATATGGTTTTTGGCTCATAACTCAGTCATTTTTTGTCCAATCTTGATGAAATTTCATATACGAGTTCAGGAGACCACTAGCTACAAGTAGAGCACCTAAAATTTGGGTTTTGGGCATGTTCAGGGTATTTGGCTAAATTGGGCCTAATTTGGACCAAATATGGGCGTGGCTGCCCCGCAGGCACCGTTTGGCGGTTAGGGTCCGGGACCCCCTCAAAAGTTCGGTCACTGGTCCTAGTTTGTTGGTCAACTGCTATCTCGAAATCAAGTTTCACAAAAAAATATCCATTGGCCCCCCCCCCCCCCCCCCCCCTTAAACCATGACAGTAAAACCCCAATTTACCGCACCCCGATTTACCACAAAGTGCAAACCCCGATTTACCACAAAGTGCAAACCCCGATTTACCGCGGCTGTTTCCTATCCCCCAAAGTCCGCGTTAGATTAGGTTTTACTGTATATTATAACTATCAATGTAGCGTAAAAAGGGAATACAAACCTGGACACTGTTTTAAGTTACAGTGCTGAGAGTGGGTGTGGTTACCCGAGCAGTGCCTCCCCCCGTTAGTGGGGGCAGGGTTGCTGCAGTTCCTCACTCTCCTCTGAGTTCCCTCCCCACAATCCTGGGAACAGTGAGACCACTCACTGAATCCAGTCCAGCCACCGTTCACTGAGACACCCAGGATGTTAGGAGGTAGAAGTAGTCACTAATTGGTTACTAATTGGTTACTAACTAGTAATTTACAAATATTGAGACCAAGCAGTCACGAGTGACGAGACTAGAGTTTTTATAATTTAGTAAAATAATTAAATTTTAGGACCATTATGAAAGCCAGGTTGCTTGATGAGGGTTGGGACCCTTCATACCACACCATATAATACACTTATACAGGCACCCTACTTTACAGTATACACTATACGGCACTCTCACCTAGGAGCTGACTGAGATCAGATACAGCTCTCCAATAAACAGTACTAGGATACTTGTTATCAGGAGATAAGTTGATTAACTGAGGAGTCCTGCTCCAGTAGAGCTTCCAGAACTTGTAACCAGTGCAGGTAGCTTCAGAGAGGTGGAACTTCAGCACCAGCTCCTGTTCACAGAAGATCCTGATAGTGCGGGGCGATGTGCGCTCCAGTGTCCACACCTACAGTGAAATGTAGTGAAACATGGAGAAATATTTTGGAACAAGAAAATCTTAGAGAAATAGTAAATACATCGCAAAATAGTGAAATACAGATAATTACAGTGAAATATAAATAAATACAGCGAAACATAGTGAAATACATCGAAATACAGCGAATCATAGTAAAATGTAGTGAAATAAAGAGATATATAGTAAGAAAAAAGTTAAACTTTAGTGAAATAAATTAAGTTAGCTATATACAGTAAAATTGGGTGGAACATAATAAAATATGATTAAATATTATAAGGTGTTCTAAAAATAGAGAAATATCTATGTATATTATTTAGTGTACAACATAGAAAATATAGTTAAATAAAAATAAAGTAGTGAAATGTTCGCTGCAAGGTGCAGACCTTGAGATTAGTATCAGGTATAGTTGAAGGAAAAAGAGAGTAAGTGTTCATACAGTATCTGATCCGGTACTGCACAGAACCAGAGAAGAGTAACCTCACTCCCCCCGCCCTCTCCCTCGCCTCGTTCTCAAAATACACGTTAAGTGTAGCGCCGCCCCCTGGGTAGGTTGTAGCGCCGCCCGCTGGTGTAGTGCCGCCCGACTGGTAGCGAGTCTGTATTTGTACTGGTTTCCAGCTCCACTCTACTTCCGAAAACGCCAACCCATCTGCCGCCTCCCAATCTGTAGTTCATACTATCATCCCCTCTCACCACAATAATTAATTAATAAAACAGTATTTGGCAATATTTAAAAAATAGATTTTAAATTAAATGTAGCCGTATTAACTTAAATACAACTGAGTGAAATTGTTCAACTTACCAAACAGATGGGCTCTGTTTCTAGCTCTGCTGCTTGTGGTGTTCTGTTGTTTAGAGATAGCTGTCAGGATTGTAACAACAAGAATGCCTCTCATTCCCTGTTACAATAACACACACACTTTTCTACCTCTAAACCTACATATAACATACAACTACTAAGAGAGACATATAAGGATCAGGAAAATACAACAAAAATGTAAAGATGAGAGGAAAGTAGGATTCAAGCTTTTGAAACTTTCAACACTACTAATTCCCAATCAACTGAGAGGAAAGTTAAATAGCGCACAACAACAAAGTAGATGGTTTGGAGATGACGTTCTAATATGAATTACAACTGAGAACGAAGATACATCATATTGGAGACTGGACAGACAAACCAAACTGTCAGTTGTGCTAACTTGCATCACACCATGTGCATGGTGGAGTATACACGTACTGGGTACCGGTAATGGGTATTACCAACTAGTCATTGATTACTAAATTGCTCATTATTATTAATATTTAATTAGTCATTAATAAGTCCCTAAGTAGTCACTAATAAGTCCCTAAGTAGTCACTAATAAGTCCCTAAGTAGTCACACACGAAGTTGATTCAGTGTTTAAAGTAGCTAAGCTTTAACTACACCGTAGTCGGAGGTGATGTGCAGAGTTATGCAAAGTTTCTTGTAATGTAATGTATGTTTGTCAGGTGGTGGAGGATGAGAAGCAGGATCTTCTCAACAGACAACAAGATTTAGAGCTGGGCTACGAGAACAAGCTTCTCGCGCTGAGAGAACAGCTTCTACAGCATCAAAGAACGGGCATTTCTGAGGATATCGATATTATCAACTTACAACGGTGCGAAACAGTTTTATTTTTGTGTTATCTAAGTAATCTTTATTAAGCTATTTTCCTCTTCTTTTTATTGCCCTATATCACGACACTGCAGTTTATGAATCATAATAGCATAAAGTAACTCGTTAAACCCCATTACAAGTATTTTTCTTTCAGTAAGATAAAAGACTATGAAGACCAACTGGGGGACGGCGACACTAAAGTTCTGAAAATACGTAACGAGCTGAGCACGTCTAAAAGAGAACGCGACCGCGCGGAGGAGGAGGTGTCCGAACTGCGGGGACAAATTGAGAAACTTAATGCTCAGCTGAGAGCTACTCATAACCGAGCTGAAAACTCCTTGTTGCAGAGTAATCAGGCTAATGAGATGAGTGTGGCGCTGGAGGAGGTAGAGAGGGAGAGGGAGATACTGAAGCAGGTGGGGTACTTTTAGAGAAGGAGGATGGCTTATTATTCTTCTGTTCCTTCAAGGGGTGCTTATAGTGTAAGAAACCATATCTTTATAGTCTCTGTATTATTATCATTATTCAGTCGTTTAGTTAGATTTACTCAGCATGTTCGGCATTTTCAGGAAAACAGCCGGCTGATTGAGGATGTGTTTGATATTGAGAAGGAGAAGAACTATAAGCAGAATGAAAGAAAACTACGGGACAGAGTGAAACAGTTAGAACATAGACTAGAGAGGTTGCAGTCAACCACTCAGGTTTTTAAATAGTAGAGAGACTAGATTATGTACCCAAGCTGTGCCCCAATTGGAGCCCAACTGTACCTCGAGAGTGTCCAGATATGTACAATAAGTACATCCATAATTATTTATCGACAAATTTCCAAGTTGCACGTTTATTCCCGTTTCCCAATAGTTCCAGTTTCCCAATAATTCTCGTTTCCCAGGACGCAGTACCAGAACATGATGAGGTATTCGACAAGTTCCTGACTGAGCGAGACAAAGCATCTGAGTTAGAACACAGAGTTAACAAACTTGAGATGACTAACCGAGAGTTGGAGATGCAACTGGACAGAACTAGGGAACTACTTGGTATGTTCTTATCTGCTTTCTTATCTATGATTCGTTACAGGACTGATGATGATGATGCTAACAAACTTGATAAACATCTCGAAGAGGCGTTAGTCTACCATTCATGAGAGGTAGTTCTAGTAATTTGATTGGCTAACTAATTAAGTAATTATAATTTTAGAGGAGGAAGAGAAAATAAGAATACGGGAAAGAGAGGAGCGTATAGCTGAAGACCAGGAGTCTGTTACCAGAGATACAGTTACCAGAGATACAGTTACCAGAGATACAGTTACCAATGTGGTTACCAGGGAGATTCCAGTTCAAGTCAGTACAATCTTATTAAAGTGTATTTGGTTTAATACATTTTGATAGAATAGCCAATAATAATTTGGATACTGTACTGTAAATTTACTAAACTTATAATAATAAATGTGTTTATCAGTCGAGTAAAGCACTGCAGTTGGATGTGGAGAGTCTAGTTGGGGAGGACCCGGCCAGTGAGCTAAGAGAACTGCAAAGTGAGCATGCTAACTTGGTTATGGAGCTGGAGAAAACTAACATGCTCCTGGATATTCAGTACAAACTTAAGCAGGACTACCAGGATGAGGTTAGGAAAATATCACTAAATAATTACGGACAAAATTAAGTTTTAGTCTACCCGATTGATCTTGCTTGTAACGAATAATTATAAAAATCAACTTTATAAACAAATAATTACTTTGTTTTCTCCTACAGGTTACTGGTCTAACAGGAAAGTACGAGCGTGTGAGGAGAGAGTTCGCAAGACGGGAAGATGAAACAGCCAAACTGCTGGACATAAGGAACCACACGATAAACAAACTGGAGCTGCAGTTGAGAGACATTGCGTATGGAACTAAAATGGTGAAGATAGAACCCACAAGTGATAGTGATAGTCCTGCAGATTATAATATTAATTTAGAGCGGGGCCAGGTAATTACAGTGCACTTTTATTGTTAGTAATTTGTTATGATTTAGTAGCAGTCTTTAAGCTAACCTATTCTGGTTTTTTTAAGGGACAGAAAAATAAATAAAAATATGAACGGGTTGAATTTATAGTGTATACTAAATTATTGACAATATAAACAATATGAACACTAAACGTTAATAAACACTCTGAACAATATGAACAATAAACATTATAAACACTCTGAACAATATGAACACTAAAACTTCAGAATGTGATGGAGATACACATTGGTAAACTCTACCTCTCACAAGAGCATCTACTGAATCCTGATGAGAAGTTATTTGTGGTTCTCAACTTCTACCATTTTGAGACGGTCATTAGTAAGGGTGAGTAGCTTCTTCTGCTTTAATACCTCTGTTTTTACTGTGCAGTGCGGTGGTGTTGTTAATTACTATCGCTCCATATTCTAGAAATGATGCGTGTAGTTGTATTTTAATTTATTTTAACTTTGAAGATGAAATATTTAAGATGTAATTAAATACAGACTCGGGATAGAACTCCCAAATCAGTCACAAGATTACTTATACATAGTTATATGTATTTTAAGGTTAACATCCTTCATAAACCGACACATTGCAGTTGTTGGGGGTTTGCAGCCTGATTTCAATACAACTAGTCAGAATATCGTTAATGTTGACGATTTCTTCCTGAAGAGTTTGCAAAGTGAGAGCGCCGGAGTGTATCTGTACAGTTGTAATGGCGTTGAATTCAGGTTAGCGGTATTTTACATCTTTAAAATAAAGTTAAGAGGTTGGTTGCCAATATTTCTATATTTATTCATTATTACTTACTATGGTGATGTTATTAGGATTTTGTAAGATGTAAACTAATTACTGTCAGGTGTATTGGAGCTTGTCAGCTGTTTTTCAAAGAGATTATAAACCAGCCCTCCAATTCAAGAGTTCACGGCTCACTTCAGATATTAGGTAAGTGGGGTTAAGTACGTTAATGATAATAAATATCCTGGAGAGCTCGAGCCGCGGCCGGAGACATCATTGTTTTGACCGTCTGTATTGTGCGCGTCTACGTTATATTTGTCACGGAACACGCAGACGCCGAATTAAAATTTACTGACGCAAGCAAATGTTGTGTGCAGTCAGTATGACAAAATGTCAAATTAAATATAATTTTGGCACCGATGATTGGTATTTTTTACATTCAAGAGACAACTCGATTGAAGTTGGAATATTTTAACCCTCAGGCTTGGGACTGAGTGTTCTTACTCTAATATACTAAGGAAATAAATAACAATGCGTGGTGCATCATTGCTATCCTGTGTAGTGTGTACAGTAAAACCCCGATTTATTGGGTTTTACTGTTTTTCTCACGAACAAGATATTTGAACCTGACTGTAACTTCTAATCCAGGTACAAGTGGTGAAATAAACGGAGTTGTGTTCGCTAACCTGGAGTACTATACTCGACTCAAGTTCCCGATAACACACTCACTTACCTTGTTCAAAGAGAGAATGAAGGCTAATACTTACCTTAACAACAACAACCAACCAGGTCCGATATCTAGTGTTACACTCGTTTGTTAGGTGCTAGTATTTTGTGGAGTTACCTTCATTTATTACCATGTTAGACTTATAAACTTGTTTGTATTTTGTTGATATTTTATTTTATTGCAGATGCAGCAAGTGATGGTGTGGCACGTGACAATTACAACGAACTGAAGATAACCGTACTGAACTGTTCACAACTCAAATCATCTTCTAATTCTCAACCTTCACCGTTAGTTCCACCTTTATTCCACATTTTTGTTACTCAGGTAATAAATAATTAATATCAGCTATTTATCAACCTCCAAACAGGGCACTATCCGTCGCGGAGTCGAGTCCGCGGCGGAGCCGCCGGACTCCGAGCGGACTCCGAGCGGACTCCGGCGGAGCCGCCGGACTCCGAGCGGACTCCGGCGTTGCTCCGCCAAAATGTATTTACAGTGGACTCGAGTACATTTTGGCGGACTCCGAGCGGAGCCGAGCGGACTCCGAGCGGACTTTAAAGTCCGCCGCGGACTCCGAGCGGCTCCGCGGCGGCTCGGTGGAGTGTCCGCCGCGGACTAAGCCACTAGGCGGACTCCGGTCCGCCGCGGACTCCGGCGGAGTGCTTGGCGGACTCCGCCGGACCTCTCCGCCAGACTTGAATCCGGCGGAGTCCGGCGGAGCTTGGCGGACTCCGCCAGCTCGGCGGACTCCGCTCGGAGTCCGCCGGACTCCAACAGAGTCCACTGACTTCCGACCTCCGTCTTCCGACCCTCGGCTAAATTTGTCACGTGACATACAACATAGCATTTTGCAATATTGTGGTCAGATGAAAAGGTCGCTAGTGATAAACCTTAACCATTACCCTCACAATGTCAATAGTTTACAACTCTAGTCCTAACTTTGACCCTATAATGTATAAACGTTGACCCTAACCCTCCACCAAACCGTCCGCAGCGAAATATCAATGTCATTGACTGGTCACGTGACCAAAACAATTTTTGTCATATTATCTCATATGGGGAAGCGTTTTTAGCAAGCAAAAATACGTCGACCATCACAGGACGACGCCAGCCAGCACTCTCTACGCTCTTCGAGCTCCGATCGTCCTGTGACGAAGTAAGGACGAAGCCTGAGGTCCTCAGGTAACGTCGACCACCGATTGAAAATTCAAAGATTTTTTGACATAAAGGTCAAATGTAAAACTAAAATCTTGATGTTGATTGATTGACGACGTCAATTTTTGAGCACAGCGCGAGCGCATGCGGAAAAGGACCGCGTAGCTAGTCAAGATGTTGATAAATATTTGGCTTGTGGCGCGATGTGTTGCTCTAACTATAGCCCTCTCGCTTGCAGTAGCGCGCGACCGCCGGAGGCGGAAATGACCTGGTTAGCTAGGTAAACGCGATGTGCCTTGTAGGATGAAATCCTACTAGCTGACGCCATTCGCAGCTGTGCTGCTCGCTGTACGTCAGTGATCGGAATTTATACGCGTATCCCCCGTTAAGATGTGCCACTCGACGCGCCACACAATTTTTCTCGTTGCTCGTCGCACGTCGATGAACAACGAAGCTCGTTGCGACGCGCCGCGCAATGAGCTGCCAGGCTAGGACATCGTCCTGGTCCAACAAATTTTGGCGAGCGATTTTCTCCAAAAATTTAATGAGGGCGCCGACTTCCACTCTGGCTAGGTTTCTTTTTACCCAGCGCGCGTTCCTTAATGGGATGAGGTAAAATTAGGTAAAAAGAATCCACTGACTTGGCCAGAGTGCTTTCATAAAACTTTATTACTAGCTTAGCGTTGTAGGATTATATACTTTAATTTCGGATCGAGTGAAGCGAGTGATACACATTACTTTGATTAAACTCATGCTGATCACAATACAGTACAGGGAAGTGGGTAACACGGCTTGCAGTCGCAGCTGCGGCTCCTAGCTGGCGGTAATATTTCAATGAACAAGAATTAAGAAAAAGAGAATTTAAGAAAAAGAGAATTTTATTTGCCACAGAATAATCAATACATATAATATACTTCAAAAAAAACTTCAAAATATATTGTTAGTTCATCTATCGTTCATAAGATGGGGTACTCTTAATAATCAAGTACATGAGTACCCGACCCGCCGCGCCACGCAAGCACCACACTGCAATTGAAATTGGAGATGTAAGCATAATGGGCGCGGGGGCGCCGCGCACGTGGATCGTGCCGGCCCACGTACCCAAATTGCAAATGCAAATGTACATGTCACAATGTCACACTCACAGTCACATTTATTCATTTCTACACAATTTATTCATTATACTTATCTGCCCACGAGTGCTGGTATCAGTTTGTGTCTTAAGACACTCTCTAGTGGTCTGAATAGTTCTGCTATGTTGGGAACAGTTCTTTGAAGGTATTGCCATCTGCAATTTACTCCTTTACTGTATGCAGCTAACGCTGCCTGTGGCTCATCGGCAGCAAAAGTAAAAAGTTTCTCTATATCCTTTATACATTTCTCTACTTTCTTTTTGACATGATATTCCTCCTTGAACCTAGGGGTTCCAATTACCGCTCCGAGGTAATAATATATGTACCTATAATATAAGTTAAATTTTGAAGTGAAGGAAAAAGGACGAGTTTTCGATAATCTGTGATGATGTTTATGACATTATTTTTGATTTGATTTGATTTGATTTGAAGGCATTCTCAGCATCTATAAGAATAACTGCTTCACATTCACTGCTCTCAAAGATTTGTCGCATTACATGTGTTGCTGCTTCTATCCCTCTCTCAAGACCTGCGCATGTTTAAACATCCGCTTGCTGCCAATATGTCCGGCTTTAATACGGTTACCACTGCCTTGCTAATTATTCTCCTCAAACAAATAGATATAGAGTATCCTTCCCGACCTCCAATTGCAACAAAAATTGGTAAGCTTACTCATAAACTTACAAGGAAAGTGTCCGAAAAATTTAAAGCATATCCAACCATCAGACATTATGTTACAGCTAAAAGCAGCGTATTTTGCCCCATTTTTATTACTATATCAACTCCGATATCCACCAAATTTTTCGGACAGTTGTGAAAGCCCAATTGGAAGGTCGTCGCCAATTTCCAGAATGATCTCATTTAAGGAACTGAAGATAAATCCGAATAATACGACAAAAATGGTCAAATTTGGACGAATTTGGTCAAATTACGCGACTTTTACAGCTACTTTTGCTCCAAAAGCCGCGCACCATCAAATATGGCACCTAGGCGAAACTCACTGATCTTTCCAAAAAGGTATAACAAATTTGGTATTGTGAAAATTCTCACAGTCTCTAGAAAACAGTGGTACAAAAATTTTTTAAATCCAAGCAACTTTATTTTTATCGTGCACCCCCTATAAAAAGAAACCTAGCCAGAGTGGAAGTCGGCGCCCTCATTAAATTTTTGGAGAAAATCGCTCGCGCTCGCTAAAATTTGTTGGACCAGGACGATGTCCTAGCCTGGCAGCTCATTGCGCGTCGCAACGAGCTTCGTTGTTCGTCGACGTGCGACGAGCAACGAGAAAAATTGCGTGGCGCGTCGGGTGGCACATCTTAACGGGTGATACGCGTATAAATTTCGATCGCTGACGTACAGCGAACATCACAGCTGCGAGTGGGGTCAGCTAGTAGGATTTCATCCTACAATGCAAGGCACATCGCGTTCATTTAGTGTTTAGCTAACCAGGTGCTTTCGCGCCGCTGCGGGCGCGCTTGTTCCACAAGTCATTTTGGCGTCGTCCTGTGATGGTCGACGTATTTTTGCTTGCTGGGATCCGGCCGAATGACGCCACATGCAACGTGTAAGGTAAAACTAAAAACGCTTCCCCATATGAGATAATATGACAAAAATTGTTTTGGTCACGTGACCAGTCAATGACATTGATATTTCGCTGCGGACGGTTTGGTGGAGGGTTAGGGTCAACGTTTATACATTATAGGGTCAAAGTTAGGACTAGAGTTGTAAACTATTGACATTGTGAGGGTAATGGTTAAGGTTTATCACTAGCGACCTTTTCATCTGACCACAATATTGCAAAATGCTATGTTGTATGTCACGTGACAAATTTAGCCGAGGGTCGGAAGACGGAGGTCGGAAGTCAGTGGACTCTGTTGGAGTCCGGCGGACTCCGAGCGGAGTCCGCCGAGCTGGCGGAGTCCGCCAAGCTCCGCCGGACTCCGCCGGATTCAAGTCTGGCGGAGAGGTCCGGCGGAGTCCGCCAAGCACTCCGCCGGAGTCCGCGGCGGACCGGAGTCCGCCTAGTGGCTTAGTCCGCGGCGGACACTCCACCGAGCCGCCGCGGAGCCGCTCGGAGTCCGCGGCGGACTTTAAAGTCCGCTCGGAGTCCGCTCGGCTCCGCTCGGAGTCCGCCAAAATGTACTCGAGTCCACTGTAAATACATTTTGGCGGAGCAACGCCGGAGTCCGCTCGGAGTCCGGCGGCTCCGCCGGAGTCCGCTCGGAGTCCGCTCGGAGTCCGGCGGCTCCGCCGCGGACTCGACTCCGCGACGGATAGTGCCCCAAACAGCAACCCCTCGCTCTGAACTCTGAAGCTCTCGTATCAATGATACAACTTTGTAGGTTTGATGTCTAAACATCAGTTAATATCAGAGTACACTCGTATTAACATTCCCAATATCGACCAGGTATGTAATGTACAAGTTCTACACGTTCGAGGACCACGACACAGCTATAATAGACAGCACTAATAGTCCCCAGTACAACGACACTATGAGTTACCCTGTCTCTACTGATGGACATCTGCACAGGTTATAATCAGCTACATCCTTCATTAACTGTACATGACAGTGTACACCTTATTAGCTTATTCTCATACACGAGAAACGTGTACCCTCTTTTGCTACCCCTATACCTTTTTTACCACCTCTTGCAGCTTCGACATATTTGTATTAATTGTTAAACTGACCTATTTAACTTGATGACTGGCAGGTACCTAACCCAGGGAGTTTGCCACATCTATGTGTTTGATGACTCTGAGCAGCCAGATAGCCTGTTAGGAGTGGTAGAAGTGCCCCTCCTGCCCCTAGCTCACGGTAACAATATCTCCGGTGTGTTTGAGATCTCCAACAAGACTCTTGGAGGTGGGGTGGTTGGGGTTATGTCCCTGAAGTTGGAGTGGCAGATGAGCTATCTGCCTCCCTCGGCTCAGCCTGATATTCTTACTCCTGATCAGACTGACAGACGATACGCAGCCTGTGACTTGGACACTGGTCAGTTCTTTGGTTTTACTTTAACGTTCATCTACATTTTTATTTACGTTTTGTTAAACGTTCATTTACATTTTTGAACGTTTTGTTAAACGTTCATTTATATTTAAAGATTATCCGAAAGTTATAAATTGTAACCAGGGTACAATAATAATAGCTTGTTATTTGAACGTTTGTCTGAACGTCTGAATGTTTGTTTGTTTCAGAACCGCAGTCACTGCTCCCAGAACACTACGAGCAGATTTCACGTGAACAAGATGAGAAAAGGAGAGCAGAAGAGAGGAGAAGGGAAGACGAGGAGGAGAGGAGGAGAGAGGCAGCACAAAGGAGAGAAGAGGAAGAGCAGAGGAGGGCTAAAGAAGAGGGTGTAAAAGAAGAGGAATTGATAAAGGAGCAGAGTAAACCAGCTCTTCAACATGTTCGTTATTGCCCTCTAACCCTCATAACCCCTTCCATAAAACCACCTAGCAGTCCCCTCATAGACTAACCCCTGTTTAACCTATAGATTACAGTAGATAATAACTTACTGTAACCAATCAGGTGACGTTCAAGATAGAAGAAGCAGAGTTAAGGGAGGAACAAGAGGTAACAACAGTTGAGGCTCCCCAAACTGAGTTCTTATCCTTCAGAAGTGTGGAGGAGTATGAGAGGGCTGTCAAGAAAACTAAAGAGGTAAACTATCTTGTTAGTAATGGGTGTGTATTTAAACGTTTTAGGTTTCACAATATTTGGACGAATACGTCTATTTTCTGTGCACGAGTTAAAGGTTTTTTTTCACTGATTTAACAAATCAATAGATATCGCAGGAATCTTCTGGAAGCACCATCTCGGAAATATCCTCGGTGGATGAACCGCCCAAAACTCTGGTTACACAGGGTGACCACATTGTGCAAGCCATCATTAGCGATGAAATTAGCGAGGAAATTAGCGATGAGATTAGTGAGGAGATGGAAGAATTAGCTGGACTGGCTAGTTCTTCTGATAATGACCAAGAAACATCTCAGAAAGCCGCAGCCGACGCCCAGAGCGCTCAAGAAAAAGAAGAATCCTCAGCTCCTGGAGAAAACTCACAAGTGTCGAGACTCAAAAAGGTTTTTATTTAGTGCAGAATAGCGGAGTGGATTATATGTATATTAGTACAGATGTCCTCATATTTAACTTTAATATTAATAAATATATAAATATTTAAGTTTAACTTGATTGATATTATAAAGAAAGATAGTACGGGAGATACTGAGAAAAGAGATACTAACTGTAACTCCCAGTTACAACAGAGTGTACTAGACGACAGTAGTGACGAAGATGATATTGTTCTGGGCACGTTTGAAGTGAGATCCACAACTCCAGTCCCTTCCCCTCGACCTCCCAGCTACATGGACCTCTCTGACGACGAACCTGACATCGGTAATCAATTAGTTAATCGCTAATAAGTTAATAATTCATTGATCAATTATTCATTACTTATGTAGCTAATTAATTATTCTAAAAATCATCCGCATACCCCATAATAGTTAAAGCAGGTAAGTTGGTTTACAATTATACACCCCCTAAAGTCCCCTAAAACTGCCGTAATTTACACCGTAAACTCTATAATTATCAGTTGAAACAGAGTTGGAGCCCACTTCTGCAGCTCAGCTGAACCAGGCCACTCCTTTTGATACCACATTCTTCGAGGAGGAGCCATCGGAGGAGGACTCACTTGAAATAGGTCAGACACGACATCAAGTAGTTACCTATTATGTATATTAATATAATATTGAGTGTTGACAGTTGTCAAAGTAGCTAGCTTTAAGTTGCCATTTTTATTAGTTACAAGTAACTAAATATTTGTTGCTGGTGACTAGTTACCAATGGTAACCTTGGTAACTTACCACAGTTCCATGTTCTCAGGTAACTCAGCAAATAACGCGGGACTAGACGAGGACGAGACGTTGGAACAGGTAACAGAGCGGATGATGTCCAGTGATGACGACGAGATGGTGGTGATGACGACACGTGACTTTACAGCTACACGTGACTTTACTGCTACACGTGACATGTCAATGTCCAGGACTGCTGACTCGCTTGATCTCGGAGAGACAGTCTCCTCTACTCCTGACCCTACTCCCCGCCCTCCTCCCCTCGTCGTCATTATTCACTATCTCTCCTTCAGACCTGACGCATTCTTTGTTGTGGAGGCAGAAATCGGGCAGGTAAGAAGTTTGTTTATTAGCAATAATGCGTATGCAACCATACGTAATCAATAATTTAAATTAGACCACGCTACTGACTTTGATTACTTTTACAATTTACACTATGTATTTTGTATTATATTTTACTGTTTAATCTTTAATATCTAATAGTGCTTCTTTTCCAGGTATTTGTAGAATACAAGCTACTAAATGTGGACCCAGCAGACACAGAAACGCCCGGATCAGTAAAAGTTACACCGGACACAAAACTGAACTTTAACTTCAGGAAAACATTTTACATCGAGAAGGAAACAGAGGATTGGCGTATGCTCAAAGATATTGTCAACAACTCTGCCGAGAAAAAGATCACATTCACAGTGGTATCAGACCCTGGTGATGATACAGATGCTGAGTGCAATAACCTGTGTAGGGCTACTGTGGATTTACCCGTGTTGGAAGATATCACAGAAGAGGAGTTACCGCTCTTCGGGGCGAGGGATGGTAATCAGGTGGGGGTCCTCTGTGTTACCATAGAAACAATGAGCGCTATCAGGGCACTTACCTGACACAAACGATGAAATCTTCTGTCAAATATTCAGCTTAGTGTTGGATTTATTTGATTTTATGGCTGTTTTTGTTATGCAGCTAATTTATTATGACGGTGGTCCTACCACTGGTAATATCACTGGTAGACTCGATGACTGATTTTGACTTTTTCTACTTTTTCCTTAACAGTTAACAGTTTATGTTCATATTTGTTTGATGTAAGTTTATTATTTAAATTTATGCTGATTGATTTCGTAATAACTTAATGGAACAGATAAACCGCACGATTATTGGGTGGTAAGCCACTTGAAACGTCAAAAATATCATTAAACAGTAAACTCTGTTTGCCCACTACAGTTAAGCTAAAACTGTTACCAGCGTGTTTTAAAACAAACTGCTTTGTGGTCAATAGCTTTAACAAGAATTCAATACATTATTCATAAATATTGCATGAAGAGAATGGTTTCTCAGACTTATCAGGAAAAAATAAAACTAGTTCCACAGAAGGGTCAGGAAAAGAGATAAGTGGTACCTCAGACCAGTCTGATAAAGACATGACCAGTTCCTCAGACCAGTCTAAGGGGAGTGTCTTCTGCCAGTTGGGGCGAAGATGGCGGAGCTGAAACAGGTTTGGGTTTCAATCTATTCAGCTCCTGTGGCCCTCTTATCAAACAAAAGGGTCTAAATGTCTGTTTTCTCACAGTTCTATCGGGCTGTGTTTGCTCAAGAGTTGGTCGGGACAGTTTGATGAAGACTCTCTGATCCTGGCCATCTCTACAGACCCCGTGATCGTCTGACAACAGAGAGTGGGTGACAGTGTGGTGTTTTCTCACCCTACTCCGTTGTGTGGGAACACCCAGAGCGCTGAACGTTACTCTCTGTGAGGTGGCTGGACTCTGCTGCTTGCTCCGAGCTGTAAGGATTAGTGGTAGAATAGTGGTAAAATAGTGGTAAATGGTGGAGTAGTGACCAGATAATACCTCTATAGAGTCTATAGTCGATGGAAGTTCAATGAGTGGTCAAACAGTGGTGTGTATGGTAAAATAGTGTTAGATGGAGGATTACTGGTCAGATAATACTTGTAAAGTCGATGAATTGCTTGCGCAGACCAAGATACCCTGAATCCGCGTCCCCTCCTTCTATCTTTCTATGCATATGGGGCTGCCATTTCTGATTCCAATTCCAAGCTTAAACCTTGATATAAAAAGGTGCCTTACTTGTTTTAGCTGAGATAATAGGTTTATAGTTCTGGAGTCGGCAGGATTGGAACTCTTTCAATTTCTTTGCCTGTTCGAACATTTCTCTTAGGTAGTAGTGCACCTGAGAATTGTGGGTGATTTAAAAATTCGAAACATGTCATAACATTCAACTTGTAAGAAAGAACCAAGAGACACTCCTTAAAACACATATAAAAAGATATGTAGTGATATTGTACCTCTTGACTGCACTGTCTGTCAGCTGCGTTGTGGAGTACTAACAGCTCCGTAACTGCCCCCAATTGTCTTGGCTTGCTCTGAAAGACTATGTCGTATCAATTGTTATCTTAAGCTCTTAAGGGACATAAACCAACACCTTTTTTTGTCGGGAACCGCGATTTGACTTCATATTATGAAAGTATAGATAAAAACAATAAGATTTGATACATTGAAAAAAAAATTTTGAGAATATGCACTTTCGGAAAAAAATATTTTCTTTTTGGAAAGTTTTTTCAAATTTTAGAAGTCTGTCACTGTAATACCGATATTTCAGTCATTTTAAAAGTTTTTTGGCTGATTTTTGTTACTAAACATTATTGACAGTCCGTATAAGAAGCCCTTTCTCATTTTTGAGTTTTGAGGTATGAAGTCTGGCCTCAAATGACTTCGTAAAAAAGGGCCAAAAATGGCAGATTTAAGGCTTAAAAGAGAGAGAAATCATGTTCCAAAAAGTTGGATATGATACTCAAAATACAAGAATTTTTGAAGCGATATCTTATGACCTGGGTGATTGGTAAAATATACAACTTTGATAGTAGGCAAAAATTTCAATTTTGCTTCTCTCGACCTTGTTTGGTCTGTAACTTCGTCATATATTGTTTAATTATAAAATCCTTTAATACTGAAAAAAAATTTCAATGTATCAAATCTTATTTTTTAAATCTATACTTTCATAATTAATATGAAGTCAAATCGCGGGTCCCGGCAAAAAAAGTTTTGGTGTATGTCCTCTTAAGATACTGTTGCTAAGCTACTGTTACTAAGATACAATTCCTAAGAGAATATTACTTATTATAAGTACACTGTTATAAAGATAGTGTTACTGGAGCACAAATATTAATTTTTACTGGAGTACAGATAGTATCTTACTGGAGTACAAGTAGCATCTTACTGGAGTACAGATAGCATCTTACCGGAGTACAGATAGCATCTTACTGGAGTACAGATAGTATCTTACTGGAGTACAGATAGTATCTTACTGGAGTACAGATAGCATCTTACCGGAGTACAGATAGCATCTTACCGGAGTGCAGATAGTATTTTACCGGAGTACAGATAGTATTTCACCGGAGTACGGATAGCATCTAACCGGAGTACAGATAGTATCTTACCGGAGTACAGATGGTAGCTCTAGTCTTATTAGCGTGGTATCTACAGAGTTGTATTTTGTTGTACTCCTCGTACCGGGAGCTGGTGGTGCACATTTTAGGAACCCTCTTCACTCTGTCGAGCTGGGTCATCTGCAACTTACTGAATTATTAGTTCCATATTTTTACTGCGGTAAATTTGTAACCATTAGTAAAAGTACCACAATAACTGCAATAGCTACTCATCTGATTACATTATAAAACCGATGCTATCCAATTTTACTTCCCAACAAAAAAGAGTTGAGCCAATACAAAGAAAGCGTATGAAGACGAAAGTAACAGTGGAAAGCACAGTCCAACCGAGTGTAACAAGTAAGAATAAGTTGGTCAGTTGGTATTACAGTTAATACAAGTAAGAAGGTGTTCTAAAAACTAATGAATAACCCGCTCCCCGGGGGAGATCTGGCATCTAATTAATAACTGTAGCGTTACTAAGCTTCATTGTATTGAACCTGTTCCGTCACATAACGAGCACCTTGCAACTAACTCACTACTTAGAGCTTAATCTCTACTCACATTCACAACTCTCTACTCGAAAGGCTTACTAACTATCTACTCGAAAAATCACTAACTCTCTACTCGTAAAACTCACTAACTCTCTACTTGTAAAACTCACAAAAATAAACGGCAAATTTCAAAAAAAGTGTTTTAAACTCTGGTTATGATCATACTTGACACATTCACACTTGAAGAAGCAAATAAACTTGTAGACGAATTGTGCAGCTGTATCAAGAGTGGCGCGTACAAGGAGCATTACGATGTTTATTATTTTGTATTTAGCAAAATCTAGCTGACTTTCTGACAAGCATTGCTTAGGAGGATCATGCAGGCCATTAACGTTCTGGCGACCTCACTGATCGTCAGATCATAAGCAAAAGACGTTGCAAGGCTTAATTGTTCAGTTATCAAGGGAATCGACTGACTGTAAAATCGTAAATTTTATTTCAAGAATTGGATACAATGGAACTGTCGCCTAACAAATGGTTTATTAGAGGGTTGAAACTTAGAAAGTACAATTCCGCTAGCTGGACCCTGGTTATTAGGTCAAGGCTTCACTGTTTGGGGTGGCATCACATTATGGGTAATTTGAGCTCATGTTACAAGTTCATGGTAACACACTTCTTATCAACTTTAAACCTTCTGTTTTCTTAGTAAGTTGTGCTGCTATGTAATTGCGATACGTTAAAACGAACTTACAGTTAAATATTCGGTCAAGGTTAATAGATGATAAATTGTTGGTTAAGTTTGTACAGTTCAAAAAACCGTTGTAGTTAATAAGGGATCAGGCTGGAGGCACTGGAAAGTGAAATAAAGAGTGAGCAAATGAAAATATACGTCACTATTTGCTGCTCACAAGATAGCTCATTTATCACCTAGGTGATCATTAGATCAAATAACGGGTTCCATGGCAATCTGGTGTTGTGGTAAGTGTAACAGAACGATTGAATATGTTGAAATAATGGCGTTATTCAGCAAGATTATCAAAATTCTGATGACTGAGAATCGGACTCTCTTCATAAGTCCAATCATCCCTGCACATCCCTGAATAGACGCCAGTTTAGGTGTGTGGTTTTCAGGGAGTGGCCACTACTATCAACCCTGGACCCTGGTGGAACTACACACATCAACATTGATAATCCTTGTGCAACCATTATACGAATTAACATTGTTCTATTTGACTAATATTTAGTAAGTAAACTAAAACCACATTCAGTTAAATTCATTCAAAATTCATTCTCATTCGAGTGTTTTTCGGATAGCTTAGACTTTTAAAATTACAGTTCATTTTAATTTATTCATTTCTGGTTTCGCTTCAGACTGCAGGGTTATGTTAGCTCCTATTTCATCACGTCTATTTTCTTTTCTAAATCTACGGTTCAGTCTGAGTGATGGTTGTGCTCATCTCATCCGGTTTATTTCTTTTCTGATTTTTCTTCATCTTCTTCTTATTCTTCTTATTCTTCAATTTTGCTTTTCCTCCCCCGCAGTCTTTTAGTTTTCCCAGAACGGAATCAGGGCTCTTAGTCGTACGTATCTTGTTATAGAAGAACAGTCCAGGATCCTCACTTTGTCCATCGTCCTTAATTTCCCCCAGAGCGCTGTCATCATTACAGTCTTTTGCTTTTTTCGCACTAAAAGTTTGGAAGAGTATTAGCGCTATTGCAAGCACCTGCCATTTGAAGCCTATTGTGGTGATTGCCATCATGCACTAAAACTAAAATCATTAGATACTATGGAATGAACAAATGTATGTGACACTATTATTGCACGACGCACGTGCAATTAGGTATTATAGTCAGTCATCGTTGTTATGGTAACTATTGCATAATTATCATTATTTTAATAAATCACACTGTATGTTATTATAGAGTCAAGCAAATTTCCCCGCCTTATTATAGTCATTTCACTTAAAACAGAAAACTACCTACTTATTTCGAAAACACTGTACATACGTAAAATAAAAAACCGTGCGTCCTTCACAGAACTTTTGATACATTGCAATTGGGTAATAATCTTGATCTTACTGCTCAAAACTAAACAATTGAGGCATACTGCTTATTTCTAATAAATGGTTGTGCATATAACTATAAGAATTATAAATATAATAGCCCGACAAAAATAAATCAACTGGATTTAGATAAAAAGTGACTTAATTATATTTCCTTGAGGTGAATCATTCCCCAAAGGAGCCTTAAACTAGGCACCGTCTCTGCCTAATTATTTTCGTCATCCAACAGGTGTGGTCCAAATATCCATTTGGTCCTGATCCTCAAGACCAAGGTTGCATATCATGATCCCTTCATATTTGACAAAATTGAGATACTTTGATTGATAACTAGTTTTGAAAGCTACAAAGTCAAAAGAGTTTTCTAGTGACAGTTGTAGAATCGGGTTACCCAACAGCTTCGGCCATAACTTTCAAAATGCTCCGCCAAGTCGACTGTCATCCCGTCTGATCGAGTTATTTTCGCCATTTTGCAACGCAAAGTTGGGAGCAATATAAAAATGTGAAATAAAACGATTTAATGCGTCTTCAGTGTTTGCTGCTAAAACGTAAATTGGGGGATCTATCAAGCACAATTAACAATAATGAAAAAACCAATCAATTTACTCCTTCATAAAATAAAGCATCAACAATCAACATTTTGAATTTGGACACTGGTCTTGGAACACCCTGAAAATCTAATAAAAAATAGATTCTTCAGCACACAAATTAAGTCATAAGTGCGTTTACGGTTTAAGCCATGATGCCACAGATTTTATTTTTGATCAGGTGGAAGCATACCATAATTATGGTACGGGAAAAATGTGCAAATTATCAGCTCTCGGTGTCCGAGACTTTTAGTGGATATAATTCCCGGAAGGTATTATATGTTATAAGTATCAAGAGAGTATTATACCCAACATTGACCGGCGAACTGATAGCTACTTCAGAAGCAATGAAACTACAATCTTCTAGATAAAATGAGTCATAGTACTTTCAGCCGGAGCCATCATAAGTGACATAAATCTAAAAGATAGTATGGTTAGTTTCTAAATATAAACTCAAACTCTGAAAAGGAAACTGCCGTGAAATATGAAACATCAATAAAAGGACCAATTATGTTATAAGTATTACAAGTTTTACAAGTTTTATTGGTTTTGTAAGTTTTGAAAGTTTTGCAAGTTTATAATTACATTATTATTACATGCATAGATTTAGAATACTAAATACTTTAAGTCTAACTCTAAATATTACCGTCGCGTATAGTTCTAATTATTTATGTCATAATGTAATAACACGGGTTACATAAATCGTTCACATTCTTTTGTCAAAATTAAACTTAAAGAATAGTGACTGCAAGGAAAGAGACGAGCTGGATGAGAAGGAACGAGATCGTCAGCTTAGTTTCCGAGGACACATAGTTCTCCCTTTCTCCGTCGTCCTGGAATTTCTCCATTCCTTGTGTGTTGCAGTTATCAGTACTGCAGACATCCAATTTGCAAGATTTAAAATCTATGGTATTAGCATCCGAAGAATCCTTTGTCATCGATTCTTCAATCGACGTACAAAATTGCTCCATTGCCTCGTCGGTAATGTCACCAACATCGGCCAGACATTCTCTAAGGACCGTTTCGCCTGTCATTGACACACCGAAGAAACTGGCACTATAGCTTATGCTGACAGCTCCGCAAACTTCCGTATCACTAGAACAAGCGGTCATGTGGGATGAGTCACACTTCGGAGGAGCTTCTTCGTCACCTTCCTCTCCCTCACTCTGTTCCACCATATCGTTCACGGCAGCGGAGTCGTACTTAAGGGCCACATCTTGGCACTGATAACAGCTTATAGCCTTGGTGCAAACCACAATACAACTTGCAGCTATTATAGCTAGTATTATTTTCATCTTCTGAACTTCTGACTACTGCAAATATGTTTGTAATTAATACTCACTAGATGTGAAGTATAATCGATCAAAGATATTAAATCATAAAACAATAGGTACTCGTACTTATATATCCAAATTAAGCTTTTCAATTTTATTTACTATCGATAAAAAACCTAAATCATAAATGGTATTAGTATTACTATTAGTATTAGTATAAGTTGGTTGTCACAAATAAGCAGTCGATCCTTGTGCAGACTCGAGCGTACTAAATTACTTTCAATTTAATGACTTATGTACACTCCATCTTCGAGATTTTACTAAAAAGGCCCCCGACAGTTAAAACCAACTTAAATCGATGTATTTTTGACACTGATTCCGAATCACCCCACATGCAGACATAGGGTTAAAATGCTCCCCTTGCGATATATCGGCGAAACACTGTCTCGATCATGTGATATGACCGTATAAGGAAGTTGGTCTCATTTCTCGTTATAGGCTGGGTTTCAGGTTAGGGTTTTAGCATATGCTTCAGTTAGCTGGATTGGGTTAGGGTTAGTATAGGGTTGGGATAAGATTTGAGGGTTCGTTAGGGTTTCGAATACTAGTCATTCTGATTCAGGGCCACCTAGAGAACGTGTTAAAAAGTCACGTGATAGTCAAGTGTAGAGTAATTAATCATCATTCGTACTGTAGTGGCGGAACTCCTGACTTACAATAGTAATACTAATTTAACCTCTAAAAAAATTCCATTTTGAGGAAAGAATAAAATGCAAAAAACACACAGTGAGTAAGTAAAAGGGAGAGATAGAGAGATAAGAGAGCACAGCTACAAAAAGGGAGAGAAAGGGAGAGAGAGGGCCGGAGAGAAAAATAATTAAACAGGTTACCTGGTTACCTCAGGCTTTTTCTGTCCATAATAATATAAACCAATTGGATATTCGGTGGGATGACAGGCTGAGCACCGCGAGCGTGCTAAATCACTCTTCAAACACCCACAATCGAATTATTAGTTTCTCTGAAGCATTGAAATTAGGCAGGAAGAAATTAAATTACAAATCTGAAAATATTCCTTTTTCATAGTCTTTAGCTAACATTTTTTCAACCTTTAGTCTAGCCAGTAGCCAAAGCGTTAGGAAGCCCTTTCGCAGGATCCCCAGCTTGGAATAATATTAATAACGGATTTCACGTTTTATATCGCGGGCTTATCACGCACGAGCGTCGAGCGTGCTATCGATGTATTTTCGGACGCTGATTCCGAATCACCGGCACCCCACAATCCACATGACACAGGGTTAAAATGTTCCCCTGGCAAGATATTGGCGAAAAACTGTCTCGATCACGTGATACGACCGTATAAGGAAGTTGATATAAATGTAAATCGCTCTGCAAAACACCCACAATCGAATTATTAATTTTTCTGAAGTATTCAAAGTAGGAATAGGAAGAAAAAAGGCAGGAAGAAATTAAAATTAAATTGCAAATCTTTAAAAAACATTCCTTTCTCGTAGTCTTCAGCTAACTAAAATCTTTTAGCAATTTTCATGAAATACGCACCAGCACTGTTATAGTTAAACGAAATTTTGTTTAAAAAACCCAAAATCGCTGTATTCAGGTGCCTTAAAAACCATGTTAAAATCGCTAGCTTTTTTGATTCATTCACGGCTTTAACGAATTGTAATCAGTTTTGGTTTATTACATCAATCACACTCTGTAAACATTTTTTTAGGTTGCTTTCGGGCCGATACTTAGTTCTTAGAGATAAGGGCGGTAGTTGATTCACGATGTCAGTCCTTTGCAGCTCGACGATGCCCAGTGGTGCATTTCGCCGATCAACCGAAGTGTGGTTGCTATCAGAATTGTAGTTTATAACCTTCCAGTTGGACTCGTCGACGGTATACCCAATACCAGTATGGTAGTGCATCGCGCTACAAGGGCGGTAGTTAGTCTCCAATTACAAATTAGCTGAAGTCTATCGAATCGTTATTGCCGAGTACAGCTGCCTCTGTAGTGCTCCTTTATCAATTTGAATTAATTAGTAATAGTATTACAATTGTAATAGTATTACAATTGTAAATGAATGGGAAAAGCGACCGATCTATTTCATTCTCGGTATGAATATGATCATTTTGCATTTGAGAACAGAAAATGGCAGCGGTCCACTCTACCCAATTAGAGTTCTGCTGAGCGTCATCCGACCGAAATCTAACTTCCAGCACCGCAATCGTCGATCGTGTCATATTTCAATACGTTATTTGATGTTTCTCAACATTCAGTTGTTATTCACACTCTGAGCAATCATAACAAATATTTCAGATTTCCACAAGTAAAACTCAATTTGTCTCGTCATTTTTGCGATGTTTGTCCAGTCTTGTTGTTCTTCACTGAATTGTACTGTTCAATGACTAATTCCCCTTAATAGCGACTAATAGTAATATAAAATGAAATGAAATAACAGAGAGAAACTTGTGTGTTTTGGCCTTTGTACTGTTAGTTGGGTATTCACTGTTTGGCAGGCACTTTTAAACAATAAAAACACAATATCTGATATCATAACAACTTAAAGTTAAAATGGAATGCTTATCGTCCAAACGTAATCAAGTATTAAAATGGATAAAAATCAAGTTACAAATGACAAAACAAAAATAAAATCCCCATAAAAATAGTAAATATTCTTCTGAATCTGAGCGTCAATTGTCAGTTCCCTTCCCAATCTTAGGAGCAAGTATAAAAACGGCGCAAGAAGCGGACTTTTCAATCTCATTCTTGGGTATTTTAATGATTCTTTAATCTTAATCTACTCGCAGAAATACCAATCCGCCAACATGTCTTGAACATAACAATTACAACATGGGTATCAAAATAACGATGTTGATCAGTTTCATATCAGCAACACATATTCCTTGACATTGCTTTATGAAGAACATTGTCTATCTTTTCATTTCAAGTAGTTAGAGAAAGTGAGAGGCTGAGAAGCCAGGTTGAGCAGACCCAGGAGAATAATGGAACCATGTCCAACAGCTGAGTACCTGTAATAATCAGGGTAATTAGGGGTAATTAGGGTATTTAGGGGTAATCCTGTAATAATCAGGGTAATTGCTTGAATCTGCTCCGTTGAGGGTAATCCTTAAAGTAGCCCAACTTTCTCAGCTGAATTGGTAATTCACATGCAGGCTAGTTGTACCACACCCCAATAGATCATCAAGTAAAAATTCCAAAAATATTTCAGCTTTTCAGATAAAAATACAAAATACATCTATACATTTGGTAAGGCGATTAAATTAAATTAACGCCCCAACATTAGATAAGATAACGATAAAAAATGTTGTAACTGGAGACTTGTTAGACCGTACCATGTCAGCTTGTTGTTTTTGTAGCAATGTAGCAGGTACACAAAGCAGGGGAAGAAGAACACGTACGCTAAACCCGCCACCGAACCCACGTACCTGATAACAGTACGTGATTGTATTGAGGTAGACTGTAAAGATAACAAATTAGACCTACCCCAGCCTTGTCGCCATGGTTACTGGAACCCTCAACAGGTTGTGCGGTGGTATACTCTTAATCAGCTATCTTAAGTGAACAAGCCTGGTACTTTGGATATCAAATATTTCTTAATGGATATGGAATCCTTCTTCATGCAGTGATACAGCGGTACTACCATATTTACACCGTGTTGGTACAATGTGTTTTTTACAAACCTGATCACTGTGTTTACTCGTGGGTAGAATATCGATATCAAGACACATATCAATATTGTCAATATGTTGAATACTATCACGTGCTTGTAGCTGAAATGTTATCAGTCAATCGCAGTAACAAAATATGCCAAAGAAACTGACCCAAAAATGTCTTCGAAAAGAAAATAACCTACAAAAAGGGTTGTTAAAGAGAAGCTAACCTGCAAAAAGGATCCTTGAAAATGCCGAGAAAGAGTTGTGACCTGAGCACGAAGTTAACAGTGGGGTAAACGGTGATAAGCTGAAGAATCTGGAAAAACTTCGCCACAAACACCATAAGATCATTAAGAGAGATGTTGTCAAACAGCAACTGAAATAAGTAAACCAGTTTATGATATCAATTATAATTTCTAATAACCTATTATCAGTAGAACAATTGGTGATACACTTGATTTTTAACATAGTAGTATTGAAAAAATAACTTAGTTAAAAGTGTATAACTTAGTAAACTTAGTAACCTGACTAGCTACATCTGAGATACAGGATTTCGCGAGAGGGAATGTGAGAATGAATAGAACTCCGACCAACCCGTACGTGAGTGCAACCATTGTGAACGCAACCGTCACGTCTCTTGTCTAGAAACACAAGATTTATAAACACAATATTAATTATAAATATTGTAAATGATATCATCGCGTCTCTTTTATAGAAACACAAACATTATAAGAACAGACAGTTCTTTTAATCAAGTATTTATTCAAATTTTTAAGTACAAATATTAAGAACTTAAACAAATACTTCTCTTTGTGGAAAACAGCTAAAACTCACATTATTTTTAGGGTTTTTATTATTTCTGACGAGTGCCACCACAGCGTTATGGATGAAGAACGAGAGGGTGAGTGTACCAGTTAGTTTGTTGAAGTCTATCATTGCCGGAGCAACATAAGATATATTGTCCTTGTCACCAACCGTGATATTGATACCCCACTCGAACGCTTTAGTTACAACGAATATCACTGCCATAGCAATACACACTACACCTGTTAATATTAAGTTAAGTTAATTTGAAGTACTTATTATCTGGACTAGAGTAGTTTTTACTCACTTTCTTATTAGAGTAATTCTTAGTTAACTTTAGTTAACTTTAGTTAACTTTATTTAACTTTATTTAACTTTATTTAACTTTAGTTAACTCTTAGATATCCAGTTCAGCAGTACAGTAGGCACCAAATAAATTACCTAGAGAATTGAACTTTGCGAGGATGGTAGCAGATTTGAGGCAGCAGAGCGGGAAGATAATGATAACAAGGTAGATAGGTACAGTGTTAGAAGTCCACAAACCCCAGTCAGATTCAGATGTGCCTACAAGACTTGTGTTGTACGTGTCGCACACCGCTGAAGAGTTAATATGAGGCAACTGTGATTGTGAAATGAACACAACAAATCAACATTACAAGTTACTATACTTAACAATACAATTTGATTTTCCCAAAATGTTCTGAGAAATGTAAAATATAAAATATTCAAGTACTGACCTCCACTGTTGGATAAGTTGTGGTAATGAAAGGTCCCGGCGGCCATGTTGCCCAGTGCGATGCCAGTGCCGTATGTGAAGTTACTCAGAAGGATCCAGAATATCACTAGAGCCCCCAAAAAAGAGGCAGATCCTGCTGAGAGGGCTATCTGGGCTGAAATAAAATTGTGCTAAGCTTTGTGTGCTGCACTTGTGATATGATATGATCGATGTAATAATATATATATATAATATATTATATATATATATTTCATGGCTGGACTTCTACACAATAAAAGAAAGCGGTTGTGATTAGATCTTCGAAAGTCTTTGCATCGTTTATTTACATCAATTCTGAGAAATTATATCATTAAAGTAACTACAACAAATACGAATCATATACAATTGAGAATAAATACAAACTAAAAGCAGTGGGAAAATCTGATGAACTGAAATTTAAAAAAGAAACTGAAAGCCGTTAAAAATGTACTCTTATCTTATCTCTTATCTAAATACTGATAACTGATTCTCGGAAAATCACTTAAAATCACAACAAAAACCTGTAAAATTTATACTTAAGTAAAAAATGTTATATGCACGTCTCTGGAATAATGGTATAACTAAATAAAATCTACAAAATATACTAAAACTAAAACTAAGCTCCGGCAGATTTAAAAAGTAGATGGTTACTATCAAGGGTGTTCATACCCCCAAACCGTTCAAGGGTTTTCAATTGGGTCTGGTAGAACCCCTCTCTAGCTTCCTTAGCCTTTTCTTTGTCTGCTTTACTAATATTAGGCTCAAATACTAAAGCGTCTACTATAATGACAGAAAGGTGCTTACTGAGTGAGGAATTATAGGAGGCTATGGTACTAAAATCTAAATCATGATCAATATCTAAAAAATGGTTAACTAATTTACAACTTCTTATACCTTTCTTTATGTGACTCTTATGGTTAGAGAATCTCTTAGGGAGATTTGAGGTAGTATAACCGACATACGACTGTTTACAAGTCTTACACTCCATTAAATAAATGAGGTTATAACTCTGACAAGATATATACTTAGTTATAGGGAAAACTTGTTTAGAATGGTGACTACTAAAATTGGAACAGGGGGACAGGAAATTTTGCTTACAAACATAACATTTACCACAAGCATGGCACCCTGGGTCGACAGCCCCGGGAACCGCCCTTAGACTTTCGGAGTCTGGTTCCTGGATCTGGCTTGCAGTTGTTTCTCTCTCATTATCACAGTTTAAAGTTCCACTGGCACGGTACTTATTGTGTACAAGCATGCCACCGATAGTTTGATTCTTTCGATGACTCACGAATACACTGTCCGCACGTACCAGCTTCTTCAGGGCCGGATCAAGGTTGAGAAGGTGCTTATACTTATGGATAATGCCCCCCATGTTGGGAAGTGCTGGATTTTGATCCATCACCATGGGTATTAAACAGGCAGTCGACTCATCCTTGTCTTTCAGGGTATACAAGTTTTTCCTATTAGCTATATCACTAAATTTGTTAAAGGCATCTTCTATAATACTGGAATGATAACCTCGGGCTAGAAGGTAACGTGTATATATATTTATTATGTTGATTTGTTATATTGCGCGCATACTTCTACAAATATAATATCGCCGTTTCCAATAAAATTCCCGGAAGACCCTTTAGCAGGATATGTCTCAGTTTGCTAATTATAGAAAAATATCAATGTTGTATTAATAACATTTTTCGATGTGATCGGGTGATGACGATAACGAAAGAACTAAATCCAATCTAAAGTTAAACGATCATTCATAAATGAGTAGTAATTCCCAGGAGAGTTGCAATCCCCTTTGGAGTTGTACAAAATGATCTTACAATTATAAGATCAAGCAATTAAATAATCTAACCGGCAGGCGAGGGCATGTAATACTCGATCACATCCACAAATTCTATAGGAGAGTTCTTGAAGGTATCAAGAAGTTGAATATCCATTGTGATTTGAACCGTAATAACAGCAGTGTAACATGTAACTAGCCCAACTCCTAACACTATCAAACTTCCTGATAAATATAGCAAAGTTATACAATAATTAGAGATATTACACATTACAATCATTTTATATTTCAGGATATGCAAGCAGTTCAACTCATAATATCTTAATATAAAATAAAGGAAAGTAAAAGTAAATAATAACTTATCGTAAATAGAATAACATTTAAATATTGTGCAAGAAATACCCAGTATGATTCCAGCGTGTAGCATTGCAGCGGGCATACATAGCAGAGATGTGCCCAACATAGTGTTCCACAGTGAGAATCTGTATAAATGTAGAATGTAATGTAGAATGTATAGATGTAGAATGTATAGATGTAGAATGTATAGATGTAGAATGTATAGATGTAGAATGTATAGATGTAGAATGTATAGATGGACAATGTATAGATGTACAATGTACAGATGTACAATGTACAGATGTACCATCTATATATGTACAATGTATAGATGTACAATGTATATACTATCTTACTATATATGTACATTGTACATTTTACAAATAATAACATTACTGCTGTACACATTTTTTCAAAAATACGATATTATTATTATTGTACACATCAAAAATAATATGATAGCATTATTGGCCAAAAATTCATTGCACACAGGTCTGAGCTTATTGCTCAGTCACTTTTGGCTTGACTCGGAAACTTGCTTTTATCACCAATTATTGGATAACTTACATGGTAACCATGGAGCTCTGTTTCTGTCCCCTGACTATTGGAACCACAGTGAAGAATTCAGGGGGTATCATGTGATCTGGTACAAGCTGAAAATGGGGGAACAATGTGAATCTGTGATTTATTGAAGACGGGGGAAAACTGAGTACAAAAAAATAAGGAGACTTTAAAAAACGAGCAAGCAAATAAGAAGCTGACCATGGTCATAGGGGGAGCCAAGCGCTGATAGTATCTATAGCGCTGTAGTCTGCTAAGTTTCTCGGGGTCAATACCATGTTGTACCGAGTAATTGAAGGGTCTTCTCCACAGTGGTTCATCTTCGTACCTGATGGAGAACTGTTTAATAAGTACAGTCTGGGAACTGTAGTATGTACGGTCAGAAAAGTGTAGTACGGTCAGAAAAGTGTAGTACGGCCAGCAAAACTGTAGTACGGTCAGAAAACTGTAGAGCGTACCGTCTGATCATTTTACAGACAGTAACCTTTAGTAGGTACGATATCGGAACTTTAAAACGTACAATTTGGGAACGTTAGTACGTACGGTCTGGGGACTTTAGTGCTGGTGCTGAAGGACTGTGAACTCAACAAGGGCTGCTCTTCTTCGGCATCTGTGTTTATTTCAACCATCTACTTTATAAAAGGGAAGTTGATTAATTTACAGTCATGTTTTCAATAACTCCTATAAATTTAAAATCAGATATTAAATCAGTGGACCAACTTGGTTATAATAATATTGAGCTTTACTTATAGACTTGGATACTGAGTCATACTTGATTTTGTCCTGTCACAACATTATTAAGCTAGGAGATTATTTGATTAAAAAACAAGAGGTCAATATAGTTAAGTAAGTAAATTGGCAGAGTTAGGAAAATTGGAGCGGGGAAGAACCCGGTCCAAGTCAATCTCAGCTAAGGCTCATTTAACAGACTGACAAATAACGTCGCTGATTCGGCTTGAATGAAATTACTTCAAACAGAAATGTTAAGTTCCGAACAGACTGTTTTAGCAACAATCTAGTAATCTAGTGGAAGTTCGTAATATGTGAACATTTGTTTAGTTAGAATTGCAGTAGTAGAAGAAGAATGTAGTAGTAGGAGAGGAAGTTTTCAAACAAAAAGTTTGCGGATATTATTACGATGCCACAATATCTTTCTAAAAAGATAGAGTTTCCAACCGAAATATTTTCATTAGGACGAAGAACAGAACAAACCAGAACAAAAATGTTGTGAAAATTAAGAAATGAAGGAAAGATAAGACGAGCAAGCTATCAGATATTTTATCAGGTAATATGATCCCTGCACGTCAGAAAAACAGCAGTATTACATCAACTGTATCATGATATACATGTGAAATACAGGGCCTAACATGGGGCCTAAATCTTACTATTAGTAAGTTTTCAGGGCACCTTAGGTTACAAGATCTGATTTATCATTTAACAATCTAAGACCATCATTTCAATTGTAGCGTACAGCATAATTCAAGACAATACACTACTACATCTCGACTAATGAATACTCTCCGCAACAAACAAGATTTTCGTCTCCGTTACACCACCCACCACTGTTACATCAGACAGTCAAAATAAAAACTAGCACACTAGGAACAGGTTTCATAAGACTGCTACAACTAGACAACTGGTTATTTTATCTCTTTTTGTAAATTGGTTATTAGAACCACCGGAATCGTGTCCGGGGTAAAAACAACTGGTAAACTAAACCATTAACTAACACCCAATTGTGAGATGAGTCTCTGGCAGATGATTCTGTTAATGATTAACAGTTGTAGCTAATTAGAGTTGTAGCTTCTCAGATGACCGAGATACGAAGTATAACGAGTTTATTCATTATGTGCGATCAGGTGATTGGTTTACCTAATAACATGATTAGGTGACCCCGTTAAACATTATGGGAATTGTTAAGAATGCCTAATTAAGGTATCGTGTCCCGGTGTCACATAATCACCCAGTCAATTTTGTTAACGAGATACAAAAAATGCTTGAAAACTAAAATATTGCCATCTGCAAAGCAACAAATCTCAAATATAAAACACGGTGGAGGTATAAAACCCAACGTTTGCAGTTTGCACATTGACTCCCCCCCCCCCCCCCCCAGAGCCCCTGCCCCTGCAGTACTTGATAGCAATAATTTGATGAGCTACTGCAGCTAGTAAGATTACTTTACATTTTACAGGGTCCCACCCAGACCGAGGCCGAGGACTCAGTAGACCCCTGGTACTTTAGTTTAACCATTTCACATTTGCATCTGACTCCACCGTGAACTGCATAATCAATAAAACGTCACGCAGCATGCAAACTATGGCAGGGGAAAACTCGGCTACTTCTAAATGGGATCGAAAAATTTGCAGACACAAACAATTTAAGTGTTTAATATAGAAGATCAATTATTAAATTAGCAGCATTCACTCACATTAGTCATTACTAATTCATACTGGTCAAGTTATTGAGTACACAATGATTAACACTTGGTGAGCTTGTTGGCAGGAATATCGTTGGAAAGGAATCAGCTGAGGTACATTATATAGAAACTCCATGAGGTAAACTATAAAACTAAAGGAAATACACCAATATAGTGACAAGACAATAAGCTATTGACAATAACCTTGGCAATGACCCAAATAGAAACACACATCGTCCAAAATTAACTGCATCGGATAGGCCCGATGTAGTAGCTGCCGTTTTTAAATTACACTTAGAAGCATTAAAAGTTGATCTTAAGAAAATGTTTGGTAAACAATTAGCTAACATCCATGTAATAGAATATCAGAAACGTGGCTTGCCTCATGCGCATATCCTTATTTGGTTGGTGAACGAGGCAAAAGTTAGAACAGTAGAGGAGTTAGATAGCTTGATTAGTGCTGAAATTCCTGATCCTAATGTATTTCCACGATTGCACGAAATAGTAACTTCGTGTATGCTACACGGCCCTTGCGGTTTGGTGAAACCTAACGCATCATGTATGGAAAATGGTAAATGCACAAAGAAGTTTCCTAAAGATTTCCAAGAGGAAACGGTCATGGATGTTAATGGATACCCATTGTATAAACGCCCAAACAACGGTAGGATGGTGATGAAAAATGGTGTACCGCTTGACAATAGATACGTAGTACCGTACTGTCCTTACTTATCACTGAAGTATAATGCCCACATCAACGTAGAAGCCTGTACATCCATAAAATCTATTAAGTACATTTTCAAGTATGTTTACAAAGGTCATGACTGTGCGAGAATTGAGACAACTGAAAGAGATCCCACCTCTCGGGACGAGATTAAGAAATACATTGATACCAGATACGTGAGTGCACCGGAGAGTGTGTGGAGACTCAGTGGATTTGATGTGTGCGATAAGAGCCACACTGTTGTGAGATTAGACATACACGAACACCTCCATCAGAGTGTCACTTTTAGAGAGGGTGCTGATATTGATGGGGTGTTGGAGCGAGATCACAGTACGAAGTTGACAGCTTGGTTTGAGTTGAATGAGAGAACTCCTGAGGCACGACAGTATTTGTATAATGAGATACCTAAGCACTATAGGTGGGACCAGAAAAACAAGAAGTGGATTAAACGAGTGAAGTCGGGTGCTGCGGTGATAGCAAGAATCTACAGTGTAGGTCCCAGGCAGCGGGAGAAATTTTACTTGAGAATGTTACTGCTTCATGTGCGCGGTGCGAGGTCGTTTCGTGAGATGAAAGTGTACGATGATGTGAGGTATGATACGTACGAGGAGGTGTGTCGTGAGAGAGGTCTGTTAACTGATGACACAGAGTGGAAGAGAACACTGGAGGAAGCGTGTGGGATAGCTACGTGTAGGCAGATAAGAGAGCTTTTTGTGACGATATTAGGCTGTTGTGAGCCGAGTAATCCTAGAGAACTGTGGGATGACTTCCAGGAACAGATGTATGAGGACTATGTGAATATCCATAATTTACCTCCTGATAGGGCGGTACATTATGCCCTTAGAGACATCAATCATTCACTGCTTGCAAATTACCGTGTTTCTGTCACAACTTTTAATATAGACTTACTCGAAAACTGGGAAGATTTGCCCTCACTTGACGAGGCTGAGCACGACTATATAGATGTTGCTGCTGAGGCTGATAGATTTGACACCATGTATAGTCGACTTAATGATGAACAAAGGTTTATAGTAGATTCAATTATTCACGAACTTACACTGCATGGTTCAGCACCTAGCTCCGACAGGGTACGTGCCTATTTCATAGACGCTCCTTGTGGTACCGGTAAAACGTTTGTCTTTAACACTCTTATTGCAAAAGCACTTGCATTGGACCATAAAGTATCCTCTTGTGCCTGGACCGGGATAGCTGGTAATCTGCTTAGATTCGGCCGCACTGTCCACAGTTTATTCAAGCTTCCAGTCCCAATCCTTGAAACGTCGACTTGCAATATAACACCTTCATCAAAGCAAGCTGCTTTTATAAGATCTTTAAGTGTAATCTTTATCGACGAGGCGTCCATGATACCAAAACATGCTCTCTCAGCTATTGATTTAATGCTCAGGGACATAACAAACAACACAGTTCCATTTGGAGGTAAACTTTTGCTTTTTGCTGGGGACTTTCGACAAACATTACCGGTTACCCCTAGAGCACAGCCTGCTGGAATATTGGAAAACTGTATAAACAAATCACCTTTATGGGAGCACATTACTCAATTACAGTTGACACAGAACATGCGTGCGAGGCCTGGAGAGCGTGAGTTTTGTGAATGGTTGATTAAATTAGGTGATGGGAAACTTAGGTCGGACCTCCCCGATGCTTTACCCAGTCAAATCGATATACCTGATCAATGTAACATAACATCCGGTGTAGTAGACGCTATCTATCCTGATTTTAACGTAGATAGATCTAAGAGCATTATATTGACACCGAAAAACGTTGATACACATGTCATTAACAGGGACACTTTAGCTAAATTTAAACCTGAGGAACAGAGTAGGTCGTACTTTAGTTCAAATGTATATGTTGAGGATGAGGGTAATGAGGTAAATAACATGTCTGTTGAGTTTCTACACTCTCTAACGCCTAGCGGCTTGCCTTTGCATGAACTTGAGCTGAAAATTGGGTGCCCAATCATGCTTCTAAGGAATTTGGATGTCAAGAACGGTCTATGTAATGGCACAAGGCTTATTGTTAGGCATTTGGGCGATAGGTGCATAGCAGCGGACATAATATCCGGATCTGAGGCTTCAATAGGACGTCAAGTATTGATACCCCGCGTGAAACTGATCACGTCTGATATAACAATACCGTTCAAGTTCCAACGGACCCAGTATCCGGTCCGCCTGGCGTACTGCATGACCATCAATAAGAGCCAAGGCCAAACATTCAACAAAGTAGGACTGTATTTACCTCAACCCGTGTTCTCACATGGCCAACTGTATGTAGGCTTTTCGAGGGGTAAATGTTTTGAAGACATTTATCTGCAATTGAAAAATACTGTATTTCAATACACAACCGAAAATCAGGCAGTTACAGTTAACGTTGTATTCGAGGTTAAATAGCTTTTCTCTTTATATGCACTTTTAGCTCATGGAATGAGGGGTGACAGTTGCTTTTTGCCAGTTACTCTCATTAATTTTATCTTTTTATAACACAGTAGCAATAAACAGTAGCAAATAACAGTAATTTACTATTATTTATTAACAATTATACAATGAGAGGTGACAGTTGCTTTTTGCCAGTTACTCTCATTAATTCTATAACACCGTAGCAATGAACAGTAGCAAATAACAGTAATTTACTATTATCTATTTTAACAATTATACAATGAGAGGTGACAGTTGCTTTTTGCCAGTTACTGATCTCATTAATTTTATAACACAGTAGCAATAAACAGTTGAGATTTAACGTCGCAGAACATATTTTGTACCATATTACTGTACCGCATAACTGAGCTATAAGCTGGAACTGGTGTAGATCCTTGGCTTTCAGAAATAGAATTTGATAAAAGGGGAATTGCAATTCCTGCTTCGTTTCTTTTTCCAAAGCCTATGGTAACTATTGGGCTGAGTATCATAAATAGATTTATATATATATCACCGAACTAAAAATGCATGGATGAGATTTATATTTTACTTTTATGTTTGAGACTATTTAAGTTTGCACCAGAGTTTGCGCCAGAGTTAGCACCAGCCTCAGACTTTGATACAAATTAAATAATTTAATAAACATTTGGTTGGGAGGGGAGGAAGTTGACTGGAAGGACAGATCAATTTACATACAAAACGACTACTGCTCGAGGAGCACATTCCTTTTAGTGCCACTCAAATTTCGACGAGGCCAGTACGACATAAATTTCAAATCTACATATGTTTCCTGATTATTTGCATCAAAAATTCGACGATAATTTTTAAAAACAGGCAGGCTAGAAGGAGTGTAAACGACGGCTCAGAATCCCAACGGCTGAGACTATAATAGTATTTATCTTTCATATAAACCTATATTTGTTGATTTAAGTTAAATACTATTGGATACGTGAGGGCACTCCGAATAAAATTGCTCACCTAATGCGAATTTTGACTAAGCGGGTAAATACTCTACCCTTTTTTAACTGCGGCAGTGAAATCCCGGCCGAAGGCCGGGTTACACTAGTACACCAATATAGTGACAAGACAATAAGATTGGAGCATAACCAAACATAAACATGTGATATGGTAAGATATGAAATGGTTACATTTGATTTCGTAAAATGTGATAAAATGGTAACATCTTTAAAGATATGATCCACATTACAATATGTGCACGTCATGACATTACATCATATGCTGCACTTACACACTAACAGGTGAAGTTTACACACAGGACCAGGAGTGTGTTGTTACACGTATTGTTAGTATGTCGGGTGTTGTTATACCAGTGTTAGTGGGTGTTGTTATTGTGGGGTTCATCTTGCTCATCATGTGTCTCTGTAGTAATAAGAACAAGGGTTCTACTGTTGTTAGATACGATCCATCCAGGTGAATAATTATTTATTTACTCAGTTACTCACTTGAGTATTACCCCCCCTGAGTAATACTCAGTTACTAAGTTACTAAGTTATTCAGTAACTAGGTGATTTATTCACTAGGTAATTAGATAACTAAGTAACTGGGTTAATTAGTCATTTAGTCACTAGATTACTCGGTCACTAGATTACTCGGTTGCTAAATCTAGGTGACGTGAGTGATAACAGGAACCTAGTTTTCTGATTCAGCAAATATTTCAGAGAACCGACCGAGGGTCACTCTTACGGAGGGTACGGGGGGAACACAGACGCAATATGGGACTACTCAGGTATAATATTTGTGAGCCAAGACCGGATAGCTGTTGTTACATTGCGTACGCCATGGGTTTGTACTTGTTCATAAGATTACCATAACCTTGTGGTCTGTATTTCCCAATGTAGTAGAAGCAGTAATAACATTGACTAACGCACCAGGACCAGATAACAGTACACACATCCTGCTGGAGATGAGGAGAAAGAGGTTAGCAGCGGACATGACCCACCACGTCGCTGACGAAGAGGCGGTGCACGTTACCAGTGGGAACAGCGCGCTGAGTAGGGACAGTAATCTAGACTCTGTTGAGGAGCCTCGTGAACACGTGTGAAACTTATAGACTGCTGCACACAGTGACAAATAGTTGTTTTATATGTGAAATAGGGGCATCAGTCTTCGAGATACTCTCAATATGAAAAATAACTCTTGCCACATGTGTTCACGTGGTTTGGATTTGTGATTCAGTCCTTTTTTTGAGTTCAGTATATTGTCTGTTGTTATTTACTACATCATTTCTTAAAGGACGTTATGTTAATGAGTAGCAAAATTCATAGATCAAGATGTTAAGAGCTAATGCTGAACTCTGACTCCAGTCATGCCTCCCCAAACTAGTCAAGATGCAAGAGGAACTTCAGTAACGAGTATCACCATAGTAAGTGGGCCTTGATGTGTCAGACACATTGCATTTAATTAATTAAGTTTAATATTGCTACTTCAGTGAAGGAACTCTTAATGCCCATCTCTTATATAATATATTATAGAAAGTGCAACAATAACATTATTTCAAGACCTCAACTCTGCCTCAAGACATGGATCTCGGTATAGTTATTATGCTTTCTATTTGTCACATACTGTTAACGTTTCATCTCCTCTTTTTCAACATGGCCCCCAAATCCTGGAAAGCTCTTCACAAAGGTGTCGACAAACTGGCAAACAAAGTCAGCGACTTGGTGAGTCAGTTGCTTGTACTACACCTAATTGCAGATGTTTATTGTTTACGTCAGTTGGCCACTATGACGGCACTACTGGGTCAAATTGGTGAAGTTGTCGGTCACCCACTATGACACATTAAACTTCCGTCGTCCAATTAGAGTGTTAACCTTTGCTTCTAATTGAATTATTTGGCTTTATAACCTGGGGTTGCAGATAATTCACGTATGCGAGATTTTACAGAAGTTAAAATAACGGAACTTTAAGTAAATCACCAACAGAAACATGACCTCAAATTAATATTGATTCATAGTTTTTAGTTTAAAGTATTGAAATACTCGATACTTAAATTGTCATTATAATTTAGCGACCTCTGCAACCAATAAACTGCTATTCACCCGATACTAGATTATGAAAGAGAAACTGAAACAATAGCACTTAATTCTGGGGGGGGGGGGGGGGGGGTGGTCCAACTACATTTTTGTACACTAATTTAGCGTACATTTGGCAAAAATCGGATGGCCATGTACATTTATGGTAATATAAATGTCCAAAAAATCGGAAATCCCTGGAAACGGAACAGGAAAAACAGGAAAAAACATATTTTGTACATTTTTGTACATTTTTGTACATGTACATTTGGCAAAAATCTGGTGGCAAAACAGGAAAAAACATATTTTGTACATTTTTGTACATGTACATTTGGCAAAAATCTGGTGGCCATGTACAAAAATGTAGTTGGACCCCCCCCTAATTCTGCAGCTTGAAGAAAGCAAGACATTGCTGGCTGAGTGCAAAGAATTGGCTCCTGAATACACAGGTTAACGTCTTACAACAGTCATATCATTACATTTGTGAAATATACCTGTAAAGCTGTAATATCCACATGACTAATATTATGACTGTCAATAACAGTGCGCAAATAAATCAAATCACAGGATTGCTGACTAAGATGGGAGGTAGGCTGTCAATGACTACAGGTGCTATAAGTGGGGGAGTATCCACTGTGGAGGACAAAGCCAAGGGAGGTCTCTCCTATACCACTGGGACCTTCTCTAATATGGGTTTGTTTTTATCTTTATTAATTAAGTTGCTTTCATATCATTTAAAACCTTTTTTTTTCTTAAAAGTTAACTTTCTTAGCTTTTGAGTTCCAATTTCTGAGAACGTTTTTCCAAAATGAAAGGGCCCACTGTTGAAATTTAGATTATTATTGAGGAAATATAATCCAGAAAAATAGTTGCCAACTTGGTGTTATAAATACAACATGCGAGTAAGAGCTGTCGAAATATATTGTTTGGAATCTAGTTAGTCTAATAATATAAGTAGTCTAATAATATCTTAGATAATTTGTTACTTCTAGATTTACTTCTTAAAACTTTTATTTCTAGGTGAAGGTATCGTGTCAGCTGGCAAGTCAATGACAGGACAATAAAACGGAACTTCAATCTGATCTGTTGTAATTTGTTTAAGAGTTATTAACAGAAACTATCAATAAACTATAAAATCTTATTAGAAATAATCCCTAAAATTTAATAAGTTTAATCTTTGCATTCTCAAATTTAAAATTCAAAACATTTTAAATGTGATTTCAAGCATTAAGAATGGTATCGATATTTTTACAACCGTTGTTAAGTAACAAAATTACAATAGAAATTATTGTCATTATCTAACATACCCCATACATATGAAGACTAGCATTATATTTAATCTAATTAATTACATTGTCTGTACCCAATGCAATATAAAATTACCTAATCACTCTAAAGAGTATAAAATTTTAAAATTCCTAAAACGACGTCACATTCATAAAAAAATCGACTGTAGCATCAAAGTGTCATTCTTTGCCATGCAATGAAAATAAACCTTTTGAAGGAGGTTAGTGCTAACTATGAGGACAATGCAATGTTTCCAAGACAGCTAACTAGAACACTATAAGCAATAATGAACACCATGCAGATGTATGCCTACACCGCAATGTACCTTCTCAACTCGCAATGAACTGCACATCTCTCAAACAAAACTTGCTGCGGCAAGTAGGACAGGGGGCCTTGCCCGAGAGCCATTTATCAGGGCTATTCTGGTCTTGTCTGTTAGCAAACCACTTGGCCATGCATCTCATACACCACATTGGTCTACACAAACAGTGCTTACAGTCCCCAACACTTGCCTCATCACATAACTTGGATATCTTAACATCAGATAAGGCGTAAAGACATCCAATACATTCCTCCCTTTCTCTGTCTGTCTGAAACAGCCCGTTTTGAGTGACTTCTTCTTTAAACGCTTCTTCAAATTTCTCAGTCAGTGTTTCATGGAAAACCACATTTCTTACATTAAGAATGGTTCCAGAGACCTTGTTGCAAAGGTCATTGTAATCTGTGGAATTGAGTCTTATCCTAAAGTCAGACGAGGCAGCATTTACAGAGGAGACGTTGATGTTGATAAACTGTGTGGTGAGGCGAGTTTCTGGATTGATGTGCTCGGTTGTTGACTGTATTGACATGTGAACGTCAGGTTGATAAGCAACATTGATCACATAGAGACCACATCTTATTATCCAGTTGTCAGTGACCACGACTTTACCCCAGGTTCTGCCATGCACAAACTTGTCCACTCTCCTGAATTCTGTGGCTAGAGCATCTGAGACGTTGACCCAGTCGCGGGAGTGAGACGCATGTGCTGCCAGGGTTTTAGCTAGAGGGTGGTTTTTCCATGAGCCTCCAGAATACCAGTAAAATGAAAAAATACACGCCAATATGAGAGGAGAGCTGCTGAGAAGCAAGTAAGTCAGATTCAGCTCAACTACTTCAAATATAATGGCTGAGCACAAGTAGTAGTTAGGAATAACCCAGCAGTGCATCAACAGTCGAGCTGCAAAATGATAGTGTCAAGCTATCTTTTGATGATAAACATGGTATTACTACATAATATTCACTACTAGTTATTAAATAAAAAGACATTTTATTGACAGGATGGTGAATTCATGTTCTCATTCAATTAGATGAAATATTGCCAATAATACAATTATAATACACTCTCAAGAAACTACACAATAAAATCTCAGGCAGTTCAAACATGGCATGTTCCGTACCTGATGTTAGTCGCATATGATATTCAGTGAAATGCATTGCTTCATCACCAAGCATTCTGGAATAATTGGGCAAATTATTATATCTTTAAAATACCCAATTTTTAAAATGCATCAATAAACTTTATTTTTAAGCAAGGATTGGACTTTGGTTGAGTAAACTTGATTTAATGAGATCATTATTTGTTTATTTACACTCTGTATATACTACACATTCAACTTACGAGCGAAACATAGACTCCACTGTCAGTCCAATCCCATAAAACTCAGGAGGGGGAAACACCTGAGAATGTAATTATTAAGATGGGTGAAGAGGGTTCACTTTCTCAGATCGTGTATTTACCTATCTACACATCAATGGTCTGTACAACAGAACAATGAATACTCAATGCCTTCTAAATATTAAACAATCCCATTTAATCACAAGATAGAAACCTGAAAATTAACATGTCGATGTAACTTACAAATCCAAGAACAACAAGAAAGTATACGATTGATGCTAGAGCAAATTCAGACACCATCATGTTACCATGGTGTGTTATTCCTACTGGTTGCGGCAACATCTTCCTACACAGGGATAAAGCAAATCAAAACAGGAATAAATTGTTTCCAGATCCAGGACTACATGACAATATTATATGTTAAGATCTATACTAATAATCCCAAAAAGTGTGTGGGTTCGTGGATTGTGTGTGTGCGTGTGGGAAATTTATTTGTTCATTAATATAGTGAACAAACAAAATATAATAATAATAATAATTTAAACTTATAGATTATAGTGGTACAACAACTTAAAATGCACAGGTGTGCCACGAAAACATGTCAGGACACAAGAAAACCTGAAAAGCAGTCCACATTTAGGTTGGAAATTCACATTTAGGTTGTACCATGGAAAGATTGTTAAGACTTGATACACTAAATTACAAGATAAAGGGTATGCACTTAACAGTAGAAACGATGAAAAAATGTTTAGATTAATTAATACCATAAGCACGTTAAAAAAACTTTTTCAGATACACTTTAAAAGAGTCCAATGACATTCAAGAGGCAACTCATTCCATAATTTAGGGCAAACTTTCTGAAGCGATCTTTCTCCATACTGTCTATGTACTCTAGGTTCAGTCAAATAGATAAAATGATTATAATTGGCATATTTAAACATATTACTTAAATAATCTGGTCCCATACCATTTAAGCATTTTTTAATGATTATTAATGAAATTATCGTATATTTATAATTCAATATGTATTGATTCTTCTGTGGAAAATACAAATTGTATTTTACTTAAATTGTACTTTACTTAAGACATTTATAGACAAGAAGCAATAACTTATATTGAATTCTTTAACAAATAGGGCATAGGCTAAGGTCTTTCAGAGTGTCTCTTAGATTATTATGTTTAATTAGTCCTACTGTAGCTTTAGCAGCAGCATTCTGAACGAGTTGAAGTTGGTGGATGAGGTTGTCACTAATTTCATAATAAAGAGTATTACAGTAGTCCAATTTGCAGACGATGATACTGTTAACAATAAGCTTGAGCTGGGCTTTAATTAAAAGATATTTTTCCTAATTACATTTACTCATGGGCCGCGCTCAGCCTGTCATTCCGCCGAATCTCTATATCATATGTTAATGAACGTGATAGCCTGAGGTCCCCAGGTAAAATTACATTCCTAAAGAGTCTGAAACAATGTTTTTTGTGACCCCCACTGCCCACGGTCGTTTCACTATTGTAGAGTTTCTATAATGTATAAATTTCTACTATACAGGGGGAGCCGCGCACTCGTGCGCGGCGGGTCATACAACGTATGACAAACATTTAGTATTTGATTCACGATTCACGATGTCAATCCTTCGCAGCTCGGTGAGGCACAGTGGTGCATCTCGCCGATCTACCGAAGTGGTTGCGAGAAGCATTATTTGATGCGCGCGCGACCCAGTAGTGCATCGCGCTACAAATTTAGTATTTACTGGGCCGCGCTAAGCCTGTCTGCAGTCATTCCGCCGAATCTTTATTTATTTGTCTATGAACATGATAGCCTGAGGTCCCCAGGTAAGACAAACATACATAAACAGGACATGAGAAAACCTGAAAAAGCAATACACAGGTTTTAGATTCTAAACCATGCCGAACTATGACTTGATTTGTCCATTGTTAATGAACTGACCCGATCAGGCAAGAAGAAAGCTGTGCGCGCTACTTCGAAAAAATTTAGACGAAGGCATCCGTCAAGTTTTGCTCTAACCAGAACCCTTGGAGTTGCGCGAAAGCACATGGGTAGGTGAATTATATGTTTATAACCTACCGTGTACCAAGACGCGCGCAGAGTTGGACTCGTCGACGGTCTAATATATATTGGAAACAAATATTTTAAGAGTATCAGCCGTTAAAAATACCTCCAATTATATTCAGCGACAGAATCGTCTAGTCTTGGCTTACAATCAACCTCGGCATACACAAATTTTATTACTATTTAGCCTTACTTGACTGCTTTAAAGAATTGAAACGCTCGTATAAAATAATGATTTTGAAAAAACTTAAACAGATGGACGATTTGTATCTTGCTATTCTGTACAAATCAGCATCTAAGTAGAGAAATAATCTGACATAGACAATTCCAAAAATGTTACATTTTAATGAACAATAAAAAGTAGTGTCCGATGTTTCAAATCTAGCTGACTCCAATAACGTAAAAAAGTCTCGCTCAAGAATACATGTTTGGAATAAAAAGAATAAGTTAAAAATTATAATCAAACGTTGAATTACAATTACAGTTATTGATGAAAATGGGTCGAAAATGACCTAATTTATTAAACAATCAGTGTTCTCAGAGACATAAGTTGGATCTAGTTCCCCAGTTTTAATTAGCCCCTCGCCTGGCCCCAGTTCTCGAGATCTGCCAACAGCTCTAGTCAGCAATTAGTAATCAATTAATCAGTTAATTAATTACGAAGGGACCAGGCGGAGAGCTCGGATCCTTAACTTAATGACCAGCACGCCTCCGATAAACACTAATTTCAGTAGCCACTATTTGGCAGAGCGCCAACAGGTCGCCTAAGGGACTTGCAGTGCGCCAACAGATCGCCCAAGGGACCTGGCGGTACGCCAACAGGCCGCCTAAGGGACCTGGCGGTGCGCCAATTTAGATCTCCTTCTACACCTCTACCGAATAGAAGTCGAAACACTCACATTGAGTATTTATTTTTGTAACTATTTTAACTAATTGACATTAGATAATTAGTGTGCTACAGTACCCTATACAAGCAGGGCGATCAATAGCAGAATTGTTACTAATTATCAATTAATTAGTAAATTAAACTTCCAGCCAGGAGAGGGGAAGGAGCTGGCTAGTTAATTAGTCTGATATCAGGGGGTGGGTCAGCAGGTCCAGTACCTCTAGCAGTGAGACTGGTAACTGAATAGCGGCAAGTCACTATAGAAGTCACTAATAACTACTCCACTGCCAAGTACGGACATGCCCATCAAGTTACCATGGTAACACTGAGGAATAGAACCAACTAAAAAATTAACAAACATCTTATAGAATAGAGGAATTCCTTCTAAAACCTCTAGACTAAAACAACGTTCACTCAAATGAGTTTATATTTATAGCCGAAGAACTGTAGATGGTAATAGCAGAGTAATGTCGGTACTAAAACAATAAGTACAGAAACAATAATAGTTCAATATTGGTAGGGAACCAATATTATAGAGTTAAAGTTGGTTGAATTGTAGTTTTAAAGTTGGTTATAGATTGTACTTAATCTACCAAAGCTCGTCACTAGCAGGACCATCGTTCATATTCCAACCGGCACTAGCAGTATTACCACTGAAATAATAAATTACAGTAGCGAAGCTGGGCATTACAGATTAACCTTTACAATGTAAATTTTATTAGAATCGCCAATACGATTTCTAAAAAGAGCGCATTTTAATCTCAGTAAAACCAATCTTACCTGTCTCCTCCTCCCCAGCCACTGTCCCTGACATCTGATCCTCCAAATCCTCTTCCACCTCCACCTCCTCCACGAGAGTTCCAGCCTCCAGTTCCGGCTGCACCTGCTCCACTAGCCAGCTCCTCTAACCAACTAGGTACGTCCTGTAATATTGTGAATGGTAGTAAATCGTACTTTAACAACCCCTCAAACTTCAGGTTCAAACTAGGTAAGTAAATTGAAGCTGGAAATTCAGCAAAACTAGAAATTATTAATAAGACTCTATGGTTTTGTTGAAATTACCTGTTGAGCTTCAGAAAGGATCTTTACGAGCGCTCTAGCGAGGTCGCTGTTCTGAGAAGGATCAAAGAAAGAGATGGAGTTACCAGTGTTACCAGCTCTACCGGTCCTACCAATCCTGTGAACATACTCATCTATCTCATCAGGCATATCATAGTTGATCACGTGGGTAACCCCAGCAATATCCAGCCCACGTGCTGCTACACTGGTGGCTACGAGGATGGGGTGAGCTCCTGTCCTGAAGTCTCTCAGTGCCATCTCTCGCTCCTTCTGTTGTCGGTCTCCGTGGATACTGGTGGCTCCAAAGTCTTCCTGAGAGAGCAGGGACGCCAGGAAGTCAGCCTGTTTCTTGGTCTTCACGAATATTAGAGTCTTCTGGCCTTGTCCTGCAATTAAATTAGCAGTTAAACTACTGTTTAGTGTTTACCCAAACAAGAGGGAAGTTATTTTTAGATAATCTTCCGAGGATAACAGATCATCAGGTACGTGTTAAATTTGATGTTAATTGTAATAATTGATTACACTGCCTACATGTTAATTGTTCATGAGAAGTATGGTAATGTGTAATCGCTACCTTACACACACACACACACACACGCATGCTAGATACACGTAAAATTAGCCACACTACTTTTATACTTTCACAAATTCTGAAACAGAGCAATCTTCTTCCTATAATAATGTTAATTACTGAGAGATTGTACCATGTCTTGGCCTCTCTTTGCGTGCTAGCTTATCCACTTCGTCTGTGGATATTATGCTGCAATTCGATTTTTATGTTGTTTTGTTGCTGCATGCTTCTCTTTAGAACGATTTTGTTTATGCGATGTTCTTTCTCAGCTTCGGTAGTTTTTATTCACGTGTGTTTAAATGTGCTGTAATATTACATCCCTAAATCTAATAAGACTGCCCCCTGGGCTCTGATACCGTGACACAACAGTACACTCGAGAACACTAGTTACTCCAGATCTGCTCTGAAATTTGTACACCTTGTATTTTGTGTTGGAAATTTCTAGTCCCTATTTTACAATTTGTACCAGTAAACTGTAGTTTAAGTTAGCATCGCTAGCCAATCGCGATCGATTGAAACAGATTTTTAACATGCAACCTATCGATAGGTTGCATGTTAAAAATCTGTACTATCTATCTAACTTATATAATCGTATATGATATACGAGCATCGAAAGCATGATATGATGTATCATTTATGATTTATCTGTGTTAAGTGTGAGCGTATCTTAATTACAGACTCTTCGTCGTAGTGTAAACATGCTACGCAACAGTTTCGGCTACAATTGTATTGTTTAGCTTGTTTTAGCTTTTGTACGTGACAAGTTCCTCCCAGGTTTATAGTGTCAGGAGATGTCTGTTATTAAGATTGTCGGCTATTTTGTTTGAATAATGTTGAATCGCAAAATTAAATTTAACTTATAATCATCGATTTATCCTCCCATGAAATGCCAAATTATTGAACTATTAAACATCGAAGGCGACGAGACTTCAATTAATAAATATTTTAAGTTTATTTACAGTACGGAATATTATTTTTAGGAACTGAGATGTTAAGATCCGTGCTCCTGCTAGGAGCAATAGTTTTCATGGCAACCCTCACAACAGCACTGGAATGTTACTCATGTGGAGCGGTTCACGACAAGCCTTCCGAGACCCAAATGGCCAGTTTCAAGAGAGTTATAGAGAAGCTAAAGATGGGCTCATGCCACGCTGGAACTTACAAGGAATGCAAAAGCAAAGAGGACGAGTGCCAGAAGGTGGAAGTTCAGAGTTACCTAGGAGATAGTTCAGCTCCGATAATCCATGCTACTGTTTACAAGTGCGGTCAGAAGATCAAGAGGGAGAGATTGTGCCGTACTCTCAAGTTGACAGGTTCGCTGTTAGCCCACGTGCATTTGGATTATTGTGAGGTTGAGGGCTGTGATGGAGACATGTGTTTCGCACCTCCAATTTATTGATTTGAACAATGAACACTCTAACTTATTTATATTAACACTCATACTTATTTACATTATTTACTTTTACACCATTTATTTCAATAAGAAGAATTTTGAAAGTTTTAGATTTGTACTACTTTAACTTAAAGAATGACGAACAATTATTTAGGTTTTTGCCTATTCTTATTAGAAAAGTATTGTTTTGATTGCAATAAAAAGAGAAAAAATTCTTGAATAAACTGAAGAATAAACTGAAGAATAGACTGAATAATTAACTAACCTATCGAGTTGAGGACCTCTTTAACTTTGGCTGTTTTAGCTCTGCCGTCCACCTCCAGCACTTGCTGGGTAACGTCAGTCTGAGCGGAACCTATGATACCAACTGTCAGGAACTGGTAGTCAGCCTTGAGGAATGTTTTGGCTACTTGTTGTACCTCCTCCGGGAACGTGGCACTGTAAGAATTTATAGTTAAGTTTGTAGTTTAAATGTGAATTTATTACCAACTCACCAATTTAGAGAACCCTTCACTAGAAATTCAACGATAATTGTCGGATTAAAGCTAATGTTACTGTTCTACTCCTGGTAGCTCACCTGAATAGAAGCGTCTGCCTCTGGTCTTTTGGCGGAAAGCCGGGAGATTTGGCGAAGAATTCAATGTCGGAGGAGAATCCCATGTCCAACATCCTGTCAGCTTCGTCGAGAACAAAGAACTTGATGTTCTGGAGACTGATAGTTCCGTCAGTCACAAACTGCTTCAGTCTTCCCGGGGTTCCTGCGATGAAGGAAATTTTTAGCATAGCACATCCTTATTCCTATATCAAAGTTGTAACGCAATCAGCCGATGCGAAATGGGGGCTGCGAGCTTGGCTGGTTGTCAAGGACTGGCTCAAAGAAACGAACCCAGGGAGCACTGACACAGTGCGGGTCCTGAATACATTCAATAACAAAAGAGATAAATGAGAGTCTATCTTACCGATGAGGATATTGCAGCCTCTTCTTATACAGCTCCTCTGATGCTGGACAGATGCGCCTCCGTAAGCCAGCTGAGCTTTACACAAGGTGGAGAACGCGAACTTGCTCGTCTCCTTGTGGATCTGCATAGCCAGTTCCCTGGTCGGGGTGATAACCATAGCATCAGGAGTCTGAGTCGAACTGAACTCCGAGGAGGATGGACCACTGTTGTTTATGATGTTAATCATGGGAAGAACAAATGCTGCTGTCTTGCCTGAGCCAGTCTGGGCACATGCCATGATGTCCTTGCCACCGCAGATGATGGGAAGAGCCCACTTCTGAACTGGGGTTGGTTCGTCGTAACCGCTCCTGGCGATGTTCCTCTGCAGCTGGTCCCCAAGATTCAGTTCAGAGAACTTTTCTACAGCTCTCACCTGTTGACAGAGGATTAGTGTACAATTTTATTGAGTGATAGCACTCTTTCGTGTTATAAAGTAAGCAAGATCATCGGCTTTAAGATGAAAGAGATTTCAGAGCCTGACTCTACACGATCCGGGAAATAATGCAAGGTAGTACCACTCACCAGTTCACTTCCGGGTCCGGTGACCTTGCACGGAATGTTGCGATACTTCTTGAAGTTGAGTCCAGTGGTAAGTTTGGTACCGCTGAAGAGAGCGTTTTCGGAGTCGTCGAACGTTGGAACGTATGTCACTGGTCCGGGTGCATCAGGATCTCTGGTGTCTGAAATCAGTTAAAAGTGAGCTCATTGAAAATTAATATAAGAGTGACATTGGTAGAATATATTGAACACAAGTATAATTCTGGAGAATTCGTCTCGTGGCCGCAGCCTAGCTGACAGTCAAACAGGAGATTTTATGAGAGCCGCGCGAACGCGCACCAAATTTGATCGATATTCTGGCTAAGAAATTAGGTTGATATGCGCTAAGATTTTTCGCGCGTTCCGTTCATGACATTGCGGCGTGCGAAGCCTACCACGTTTTACTTGTCCATAATCAAAGTTCTAACTGCCAGTGAAACACTGAACACCTAATCGAATCAATCCAGAATTAATTAATTATCATACCACTTGGTACAGGCTGCCTAGATGTGATATCTAACTAACCCGGTTCAGTGCAGTCAGCGATCCTGTGACCAGTTTGTTGACATCTGAAACACTTTTCTTCTCCCTTGCTGGGACATTCTCGGGCGAAGTGACCATCTTCTCCGCATACTCGGCAACCATCTCCTCCTGGGATGGATTCTATTAGTTTTCTTTTTACTTACCATTGGATCTGAATTTATTTGAGACAGTATTTTTACGAAACCTATGAATTATTGACACGTTTCAACATAATTTTTACCGGCTGGTTTGTTAGGACTCGTGACAGATTCTACATCCGTCATCTGCGATAAACAAAGGAGGATATATTTAAGCGGGAAGAAGTCACGTGGTGTTTACTTAGCTGGGAAAATCACAAATAGATAATGAGATTATTAAAAAGGTGATTAGAAACGGGATCAAATTATACCGTGCAGGGTATTCTATGATTACCTTGATTAGGGGGTAATGAAGAGACAACCTGGGGCCAGTAAGACTGGTATTCTGTTTCAAAGTATTGAAATAACAACACTAAATGAAATATAGTGGCAATAAGGCACAGGTGATACCTATTTTTAGCATGTTGAAAGTAGTGAACACTGAGTAGTGGGTGGTCGGGGGAGTGTAAAGTGTGGAATGCAAATGTAAGTAAGTTGAACTGGTGAGGGAGGTATGAACAGGGGAATGCAGAGGTTCAGTAGCATTAATAATGTTCTGTAACAAAAGTTACACTTACCTCCGAACGAGCTTCCACCGCCTCCAGAGTAACCACCAGAGTTGTTGGACGCCTGGTTCCAACTACTACCATTGGACTGTCCTCCTCCTCCTCCTAAATTACTACCACCTCCAAACCCATTACTATTGCTACTATCTGAAAGGGTAAACGATTTTAAACTTTTAAAGAAAGATAACGAAAATTTCTTTTTTTTAACATGGTCTTAAAACAGCGTTGTTTGACTAAGGTCTAATTTGATATCCCTATCGATGCAGTACAAGTTAGTCAGACTAAAACTCATGATGTACATTGTACAGTGTACGGGGGGGGGGGGGGGGGGGGCGCCAAAAGTCAGTAAACATACGTTGAGTCTTTTAACGACTTATGGAGGCCACGCTTAATCGATATTGAATTGCCATTAAAATGCCAAACACAATCCATTACAATTCGACTTGCTCCAATCATTCGAAATATCTATAAGCCGCGAAAATAAACGTTCATTTGGGAAATTGAACATCATCATTATTTCATTTGATATATTCCTCGAATGAGTGAGAATAGCAGGTCATACCAGGAAGAATTATTTAAATCAGGCAGTTAGTGACTGAGAAACAAGCCTCAACGTATATGTACTGAATTTTTACGCCCCTTTATTTGTATTACACTAAAGTATACTCGGTGCGAGAATTCTGATAAGCGATAATGGAGCGAAGTTCGTTAACAAAATAACTTGTCTTGATAAAGCTGAACTGATAGAAAGTATTTGAAGTAGTATGGCAGTTATATTTTCAACATTGTGCCAGGCAAGACTGTTAGTCTGGTCCATTAAGATAATACCATATTCAGGTATGAGACATACAATGGGTCCCTCTATTTAGGGACAACTCAATAAGTAGAGATATTCCTAGAAAGTCTTCAGGGCCTTCACGCGACATTTCAAATTGTGTACGCTCTGTAGAGCTATAGCGAATAAAATTAATAGGAAATTAATAGGAAATCAGACTTAGTTGAAGGTAAGGATATAAATAGTCGTTGTAAACTTAATAGCTTCCTTGAGACCCATAAATGTGACTGGGGCTGTAAGTGTGTACTGTGTAAGTATAGACACATAACATAGTACATGCTAGTACATGCTCAGTACACAGTTTTAGATATGTAGTACTGTTGGTCCTAATTCGCATCATACACACATTTATCTCACAAGTAACATCGTTTAAATATGTAACTAATAATAAAATAGAGATAGCAGATAGAAAAGAGTTTTGATAGTTAGTTAAGTAGTAGTAAGTAATAAAACTCACTTGCTGCGGCTCCAGGGGTAGTGTCCACATTCCTGAAATGTGATAATTTTAACTCTAACTATTTTAACAGAACCAGTTTTAAAAATCAGGCTAGTTTCATACTGCTTTATTTGGAGGACTTCCCACCTATCGATGATTATTTATTTTGATTCGATAAAATCAACTTTTAGTCTTATCAACTTAGAAAAGTTAAATTAAAAGTACATTTAAGTAAGTAAAATTAACACGTTGCATTAAAATATCCACCTCTACTGAAAACATACTCACTTGAATAGTTCTCCTGAGACTGCTTTAGATTTTGCGGCTCCGCGACCACGACCAAACCCCATCTAAAATAACATTAAATTAACTCACTACATGATCATACAATTACCCCATAGTAATTCTAGATAGTATTTAAGGAGCGTAGCTTAGAGCAACATTGAAGAAAAAGAATTAATTAATGCGCTTAAGTGATGTCTCATGTGGCTAACTATTTTATTATCACACATCTTACACATATTGTAAGTGACTATATTCTTCTAAATGAGGTAGCAAAAATAACCAACATGTCTAAATGAAGTTGAGGAAATAATCGATATCGTGTCTAATGATGTTCTAGATGAATGTTGTAAATGAGTAATCAATGTCAACTTAACATAAGAAACATATTATGATACATAGGGTGATAAGAACCAGTAAACCAATAATTACAAGTCGAGCAAATGATACATTATTCATTAAGATCGATTTATTCTTGATATGATCATGCAAAGATAAAGGTAAATAAATCAGCGGTAAGTTCTAATTCCTGTACGAAAGCTTTTCTTTGACCATGCACACAGCTTAGAATAGTGAAATTTTGAGGAAAAGCAATAATGGTAATAATAGGGATAAAAGTCCTAATGTAAACTGTGCAGACAGCGAAAATGTGAGCAACATAAACCCAAAGGTAATTTTCAAGAACTAATACAAGACTGAATAGAGCGATTTATTCCAAATTTACAGGAAGCTCACACCACAATGAAAAATGCTGTACTAGTATTTTATATGATTTCACTCTTGAAGCAGGTAAATTTAAAACTAGATTCTTTGTTTAGTTCTCATTAGATGCAGAAAGGCAAGTTTCACTTCGTGGTTAAATTGGGGTATAAAATAGTTATTCTGTTATGACATCTATGAACGGTTTCCCAATTTCTTACTGGATTGGAAACCAAACTATGGAAAGAGACTGAGAGGACGACACCGCAAAGGCTGGATGGCCTGTGTACTCGAGGATGCGGCTGAATTTTCAGGTGTCGATAACGTCAGCAGAGACGCAGTAAAACAGTTAGCTCTAAAACGAGTGGAATGGAGGAACATGTTACGCCGTAGAAGAGATGTGTGTGATGCAGGCCACTCCAACGACTAGGAGCATGTATGTATGAATATTTCTATCCAAAGGAAGCGAGGTTTCATATTCTGCACGAGGCCCGATTTGAGGGAAAAAAAGTATTTTAGCACTTGCGATGCAGTGTCACCGGCGAAAATTCTGTTGTTTTTACCGATTTTGGTATATTTTGTTGAAAAATCTGATCTGTCCCCAAATTTATGAAATCTTATGTCCCTGGACACACTGTAGTTACTTCTTCTAGCAGCTTGTTGGATAATTTAACAAGACGAATTAATTAATTAATTGGAAGGAAAATCAAAATTATCCATGATACGGTCACAATTTATCGAATTAGCCAGCAGATTATTTAGCATGTAATAAAATTGAGTAAGATAGTGAATCATTAGATAGCCGTGCTGCACAATGAACTTGATCGTAAATCACATTATCAGGAAAAGGTGAAAATGAAAACAAACAAAAAAAGGGGGGACCCCTAACCAATGTAGCTAAATGTAAATTCTATAAACCCAACTTACTGGTGTTGTTATCATATAGCTAAGGGGAAACAGTGGGGTTAGTGAATGGTAAAATACCGTTAAGACTAAGTAAAGTTTAAAAAATTATAACATCACATTATCACAAATGTCTACAAAATATCATCACACTGTTTTTTTTATTTAAAAAAAAATTAATTTAAAGAGAGGCTGGGCCTGGTTGGCCCACGAGAGGATAGCATATGAATGCTTTGCCTACCTCTGGGGTATGGCAGTCCTGTGGGAGGATGCCAGTGGAATCAAGATGTGTAATCAAGGATGATAGTAAGTGTTGTGGGGTGTGTCATAGATGAACGCTTAAGTGGTGGTTGAGTGTGGAAGAGAGAGGCGAAATAAGACGGCGTTAAAGTAGTCGCTATCAGGCACGTAGCCAGGGGGGGGGCTAGGGGGGCGGCAGCCCCCCCGGAAAAAATCGAACCCCAGAAAAAAGATAAGCCCCCTAGTCCCCATGGTTGCCTGGTAACTGGGCTGTGTTTATGACTGCAGTCAGTCAAAGATTTGAACTGTGGATTAGTAAATATATGTCATTAAATCCAAGCAAACATTCTAGAAGACTTCTATAATTATAGTCAATAGTGTCCCCTAGACCGTAGGAAATGTAAAAATCTTAAGACGATGAGGCCTGAGTAAGTCGTAAATTCTGATTGGAGAATGCAGATTGCTGTTGTGAAGTTACCAAATTTACGTGAGTACTTGATTCTTTTCAATCCCAGTTTATTGCTGTCCTACAAATTTCTTTAATGCCAAATGTCGTCTAAAACACCCTGTTTCACAAAAAATTTCCGGGGGGCTGCGCCCCCCTAGCCCCCGCCAAGGGGCTCCGCCCCTGGACCCCGCTTGGGGCTGCGCCCCCAGACCCCTGCCACAGCTTGCTCGCTTCGCTCGCTGCGCAGCTTGATTGGACGCGTCGGCTCGCTTCGCTCGCCGACAGCCCCCCTCAAAGAAAAATCCTGGCTACGTCCCTGGTCGCTATGTTACACCTGTCTGGTCCAACTCCTCTGGCACCATTAAGCGTTTAGTGTGGTTTGCAAAGTTGACAATGGTGGAGATGTGTTGGTTGTCGAATATGTCATTGACAGAGAGGTAGTAGTTCTGGAAATATTGACCTCTTATTTGGGCAATAGCCGGGCACTGACCGAGAAAGTGTGAGACAGTCTCCTCTTTGTCGCCGCATTTAGGAAAAGCACTTGTGTCTGATTTGCGAATGGTGTGTAGGTGTTTGTTGAGGCCACAATGTCCCGTGATGAGGTGCACTGCAGTTCTGTAATTTTGTCTGTTGTTACTAAGTGTAGTGTTGAGATTTTTGATGATGTTGATGTTTTTGTGTCCAAGTGTCAGTTTAGTGTGTCTTGTCAGTATTATGTGTTACATGCGCACCAGGATTAGATTCTCAATCCTCAGGAGCACCCTGATAGCGGTCAGGGGTGAGAGAGGGAGACGGCAATCGTATACATTGCCAGTCAGTGTAACTTCGTTTAACTTGATACCTGCCACCATGGACTATGAATGTTTCTAGACACTATCCTTTGATATTGAGATATTGGTATCTCAGATCACGTGTACATCGTTCCTTTTTTTATGACACAGTAATTTATTGACACTCACAGCTATAATTTTAATCATTGAATCAGTATTTTTATCTATTAACTTATTACACAGTTGTGCTCTGCTTTAGCATCACTTGACTATTTAAAAAAATTGTTTGTCCATGACCTTATAGTCAGCCAATTGGCCATTGCTATATTATGTGTATATTGTTTGAATATTCTTTCTATGAATTCTGTACAATGTAAGCCATAAGAACTTTTCTCAACGCCAAACGTTTGAGCTTATGTTTAGTGTGTCTGGGACCATCAGTAATCCATAATTCTTGATTAAGTTTGGTGACTTTGTCGTTGATCAGGCACAGTGGGCCACCATGCTATATTAGGTTCAAAATTGAGTATTTCGATTTAGGATGCATTTAAAATGATCTGATCGGAAAACTGTTTCCCTACAAGATGCAAAAAACCAAAATTAATAATTCCGTACGGTTCAACTGCGACGCGGCCTCAAAAATCGCAATTTTTCAAAAATCGGTTTTGTTCCTTTTTGGAAGTGAAAAATTGCTGTTATTTTATGCCTGTTCCTCAAATATGATATAATTAAGTGAGCTGACTCCTTTTACATCTCAAAACAACTCTCAGATCTTAATTTATTGAAAAAAACCTTAATAGGCTATCTAATTTAGCAGATTTTTGACATTAGCCTGAGTTTTTGTCCCATTTTTAGGCAAATTTTTGGTCTTCCAGACCAAAAATAGTTGTTAGGCCGCAATAGGCCGCCATATTCCATAGTACCATCTGAAAGCTTAGAGGATTCCCTACAATATACAAGAAAAATCAACTTGGGCAAACTTGGGCATTATTTTAAAATGCCGATTTGTTACCAATTTATTGGCTTAAACTATGTTATTTAGGGCTTATGCCCAAATATGGGCAAACATATTTTTGTTATAACTCGGCCATCTTTTGTTCAATCTTGATGAAATTTTAAATACAAGTTCTGAAAGCCTTCAGCTACAAGTAAAGCATTTCAAAACTGATTTTGTGGCTTGTGTAAGGAATTTTGAATTTTTGGGCATTTTGGAGCTAAAAATTCAAGGAGCATAATTCAAAAATCCCCAATTTTCTCAGTTTTTGTGTATAGTAGGGTCTTGAAATTGGTTTGGATGGTTTTTTTGGGTCAAAGCAGTCTACAGAACACCTTTCAGACATATTTGGATGGTACTAACATGTCTAATATAGCTTGCCCCCCTATTCTGGCCCACTGTGTCAGGTGTTTGATGTAAGATCCACACACTGTGTGAAAAGATATATTATAATAAATATTTCCCCACCAATATTAATCATTTATCAAATACAATATTATTTTTTAACGTTGTCAACTACATTATGATGATTCGAAACCTATTGAAACTTCACAGTGGAATAAAGATTTGTAAACCGCTTCCTTGCCACGTGTTAAAATTAAATTTTTAAGAAATTTTGCACATTAGTCTGTGTAATATTTCATGGAGCCCTTAAATGCTGTAAAGAACATGTTACTGGCCGATCATGAGAATTCGTGAAAGACGGACGAACAGTCAAACTCTAACCGTTAACTAACCTTATTGTATCAATTTATGCCTCTTAAACACTGAACAACTTACGCGAACGTGCACTGTTCAATTGGTAGCATAGCCTGACGAGTGACGTCTGTTCCCATGTACACGAAAAATTGTGTCGTAGAAACACATCAGCTGATTGTATGTGTCACACAAATCGGGAGTCGCAGTCAACTATTACAAAGAAAATTCAAACAATATACACATAATATAGCAATGACCCTATATAAAAATTCTTTAAAAATGGTACAAATTTTAAAAACTGAGGTAAAAATAAAAACCCTTTGCAATAATATATAACAAATTCACATCACAACAAAAAGCAGTTTAGACCCCCATCCAACAAGCACTCCATGACCTTTTAGGGTTTAGGACTGTTCATCAGGTTAAGGTCCAAATCACGTATTGCCGTGGGTGGAAGAGTTCTGGTAGAGTTCTGGTACCTCTGTATCCCCTGATAGAGATTATACAAGTTCTGAGTAGATCAAAGCGCAGTCTGCGTCTGACAAATGACATCACATCACAATACCGTTGGCCTTTCTTAAGGCTGATCTTTTCAGCAAGATGTTTTAGGAACTGAGAAGCCTCAACTGCCATTCCTCCTGTAGTACTGAATACCAGTGGTGTGAAGGTAGCCTTTTCTACATTGAGGACTCTGTCATTGTACTCACGTTTTTTGTTTTTCTCGTGAGATTGGTACATCTGCGAGATGCTCTTGTCACTGTTGGACTGGGCTTGAGGGTGAAGTACCCTTACATCTGTGAATGCCCTGTCCAGCGGCGACCAGAACGATCTCGCACTGATGTCCAGTCTTGCACCATCTTGTCTATTTGTTCCATTTGATAGTTTAAGAGTGTGAGGAACGGAGAGAAGCTGAGGTTCTGTTTCAACGTCTTTGCAAACAGTGGTTAGGAGTTCAGCTATTGTATCTCTGAGTGAATTTTGTCGCAGTCAACTGCCGTCAAGCAGATTTAATAAAAGTGACGGCATCTAATGGCATTACAACTAGTAATGTAGGCTAGAGCAAGATTGTTAGGGAAACAGTAACTTTCCACAGCACATACAATGGATGGGCACGCTTGTAAGAGTCATAGTTTGAAGGCCAGGGTGCCTTCTCATTACAGTTTATAGATCGTATTGGATTTTTTTGTATAGGAAAAGTGTCAAACAGTATATATACAATTAAGTAATTCAAGTGTTGCAATTGGCAGAGCACAATACAGAGGTAACGGAAATTGTCCACTGCTACCAATATTATATAACATGAAATATCAACAATCAGATATGTACACATCTACTCCATCATAGGGGCAGGGATGAGGTTATAAGAGACTTCTGATAGTGGTGTCTCATATTTGCTGTCCATTTATTTCCCTCTGTACCCTCGTAGAGCTATGAGTGTGGTTCTTAACATAGCGAATCCTATTCTTGTCCTTACATGTCTTACCACATCGCAATACCTCTCTTTTCTTTTCCTGGCAATGAGGTAGATCGTATTGGATTGGTTTGACAATACCAATTTTCGGCACAGATGAACGTTCAATTATTAACATGTGTATTATAATGGTGCTATTCTTGTGTTGCAGAATGCTTCCAATTATGACGTGGACCTTACAATCGCTAACCCAAGTGAGGAAAATCACTGCAGGAGTATTGACCAAAAGGTATTTAAGGGCATGTAACTTGGACTAGTTTATTTATGTCAATGTACACAGAAATCTACCGTATTAAGAAATGCTTACCAGAATCACTATATAAACAAATTTACCATTCTCTCTTTGAATCACATCTCGGTTTAGCTATTTCTGTGTGGGGAAGTATTCCTAATATCCAGTTAAAACCACTATTTATT